GGCCCTGCCCTACCCCCGGGGGTTATGATTTGAACAAACTTGAATTTACACTACCTGAGGATGCTTCCATATAAATATGATCAATTATGGCTTAGTTATTCTTGAGAAGAAGATTTTAAAGAATTTCCCTATATATTTCTATGTAAAACTTTGGTCGGCCATTGTTGCCCCGCCCTACCCCCGGGGGTCATGATTTGAACAACTTTAATCTACACTATCTGAGGATGCTTCCATATAAGTTTCATCCTTTCTGGCACAGTGGTTCTTGAGAAGAAGATTTTTAAAACATGTCACCAAATTTTTATTAATTTCCAATTATCTCCCCTTGAATAAGGGTGTGGCCCTTCATTTGAACAAACTGGAATCCCCTTTACCCAAGGATGCTTTGTGGCAAGTTTGGTTGAAATTGGCCCAGCGGTTCTTGAGAAGTCGAAAATGTGAAAAGTTTACAGACAGACAGACAGACAGACGGACTACAGACAAAATGTGATCAGAAAAACTCACTTGAGCCTTCGGCTCAGGTGACGTAAAAAGTCCTATCGTGAAAATGTTGCAATTTATATATTTGAAGGAAATTACCCCCTCTTTATTTTAACAAAGAAAAAGGATGCCTTTATGATAAAATAAACGAGATATTTGACGTTTTCTTTTATTTTCGTACTCTTCTGTCATAAATATTGACCTTTCTGCACTAAAAAAGGTAAGTTAGCACTTACAAACATCTGAATGTAAAACTATTTTGCAAAAAACTTTCTTCTGCCTTCTAATCATTCTGCCCCCCCCCCCCCCCACTCTTTTACCCTGTCAACAACTAACATCTAATAGAACCTAGGAATGACTTTATACAATAAAATCTTCATACACTACAAAATCAATAAAATATAAGTACAAGTTAATTTCTTAATTTTTTTCTTAGTTTTATCCAGAAAATACAATTAATGGTAATCATAAAATTAAACATATTTCCCTGATTTAAGCCGCTGTCTGCTGAATTTTATCGTGTCTTTTTTGCAATTTTATATCATAATATCATGGACGTATTTCTTCACAACTGAAATTGCTATGAATTATCAACCAAAGGAAGAGAATTCTAATATTAACAAACTCCATAAATCAAATAAAACTGTTATAAATGATGAAAAAATTTTCTTTTTGTAAACTGCATGTGTACGTTATTTATTAAATACAATGTTATGCCTATAATCACAGTTGCAAAAGTCAGCGGGAAAAGAACAAACGTCGCTATTGTGACGTCACTTAACGCTGCTTTGACGTAGAACGACATAGGTTCCCCCTTAAATACTAATGCAGGTATAAAATGAATGGTTGAGTTTCTTTTAAACCTTTTGTAATTGCAGTAATTGCATCTATCTGACCAATGGAATTAAGTTGTCTTAAGAAGAAGGGCGCATTTGGCGTGTGATCTACAGGAATCATATGCACTAAACAATAAAAAATACTTAACGGCCAATGCCAGGCTCGAACCAAAACCTTTTCGATTTCATAGCACTGAATAGGTAGATCAACTTATTGAGCTACATGTGTCTCCGCTGTACATACACAAAAGTTTTAAATGGACAAAGAAGCACCTTATTCACACATTCGGATTTTTGGGGGAAAAAATCATTTTTTGTGGTCTCTGTGTCTTCTCTCCATTTTTTAAAAGTGTGTTTGTTTCTTTGAATTAAAATGCACACAAATAACATTTCAAAATCATGGAGAGAAGACAAAGAGATAATTTTTTTTTTAGAAAAACGAGTTTAAAAATGTTCCACTTTGTACGAAATGTTGATCTGGCCAATTTTAAAACTGCATTGTTGTAAATAATAGCATTTATGTACTCATGTAATGATTTTTTGAGTTTGTACGTTTAACTGGTTAATCAGTCCGTTTTTATCCGTGTTTTGATTTTGTGTCAATATTAGAGCGATCGATAGGGGGTAACTTTATCAACCAATCAGAAGATACACTAAATGTAGAATCTACGTCACTTTTTGTTTTGATTCGATCGCAGTGAGAAGGGTTTTCCAAGTGTTGGATTGATTGATTGATTTATATTGTTTAACGCCGAGACCAAGTGTTGGAGTTATACAAACTGAAACTTTGTCTGCGATCGATTTTATATACGAAAAACAGAAGTGCGATACAGAAGTATTCATGTACAGTTGGTTATTGTTAAATCATACGTATAAATGTCCATCAATGCCCTTTGGGTGGAAGGGAGTACAAACATTGCATGTTTGTCCTTTGGCAGTTTTTGTCTGCCACCTTTTTTGCTGATTGTTATTTTTTAGATTCTGGATTGTTTATTTGGATTTTCTAAATGTAATATGTTACACTGGGGAGATCAACTAATGTTTTGTACAAATTTACACATTTTTTCAAGAGTGATCTCCCCCTTTATCTGATGTTTCTTTTGATTATTTTTCGTCATTTATGCATGTACAATAAATGACGAATTCATCAATCAAAACTTTGTGTTTGTGTAACTTTCATATGGATGCGATATGGTCTACATAAGATTATAGGCGTGTGCCAAAATCTAGCTTCATTGAACTTGTAAAATTAGTTGAATTACACTGCAGAACATAAAACTGCATTATTGTAAATAATAGCATTTATGTACTCATTAATGAATTTTTGAGTTTGTACGTTTAACTGGTTAATCAATCCGTTTTATCTGTGGTTTGATTTTGTGTCAATATTAGAGCGATCGATAGGGGGTAATTTTATCGACCAATCAGAAGATACACTAAATGTAGAATCTACATCACTTTTTGTTTTGATTCGATCGCAGTAAGAAGGGTTTTCCAAATGTTGCCCACCAACCACCCCAATCATTATTCCACCTTTGTACTCAGGGACGTAGCAACCGGGGGGGGCCTGCCCCCCCCCCCCCAATTTTTTGGTTAACATTACCTTTACTATAGGAAATGTTCACTGAAAGGAAGGTTGGCCCCCCACTTTTTACAACAGTATAGTGTTATCAAGGAATTGTAGGAAGAAATTGGTATTGGCTTTGAAAAAGTTGGTCACTAACCCTCCACCCCCCCCCCCCCCCCCCCCCCCCACGAAATAGGATTTTCGACTTTGGGCGACATTTAACTTCTGAGTTTTTTTTTCTTTTGCTTGTCAACTTTTTTCAGGTAAGTAAAAAAAATTTTCTCTGGTTGGCCCCCCACTTTCAAAAACGATGCTACCTGCCTGGTACTGCTAAATGAATATGTACATTGTAATGTAAAAAATAAATGAATAAAAACCTTGGAAAATACATTTTTGTAAGTAGTTTAATATGTTTATATTTTGGCAGTTTTTTATCTGCCAGGGCAGTTTTTGTCTGTCACCTTTTTTTGCTGATTGTTATATTTTAGATTCTGGATTGTTTATTTGGATTTTCTTGATGTAATATGTTACACTGGGGAGATCAACTAATGTGTTGTACAAATTTACACATTTTTTCAAGAGTGATCTCCCCCTTTATCTGATGTTTCTTTTGATTATTTTTCGTCATTTATGCATGTACAATAAATGACAAATCCATCAATTAAAACTTTGTGTTTGTGTAACTTTCATATGGATGTGATATGGTCTACATAAGATTAAAGGCGTGTGCAAAAAACTAGCTTCATTGAACTTGTAAAATAGTTTAATTACACTGGAGAACATAAAATTAGTTTTTATCAAATCATAGCTCAACTCCGGGAAAATATTTTCCTTTCCTGTTGAACACAGGAACCCGATAAATTTAAAAAAAATGTTAAAATTTCATGCGGCATGTCGATAAACATAGCTGCCTTACCGACGATACGGCCGACTCAAGTATTTAAAAGGAAATCACCTGTTTCTATTAATAGATACATGTACCTTTTCAATTCAAGATCAACCTACATGTATGTAATCATTTGTAGACCAGTGTTATATTTTCATAGTTGCAAGTTTGTTACATGACAATCATTTTACTTGTTTAATACTCTTATTCTAAAAAAGATTTTTAGAAAATTTTGAAAATAAAACAAGATTGCAGCTACATGTATGACTTTGGGTCATTAAAATAGTTTTGGACTGTTTTTTTCCCGAGATAGTTTCAAGGTGTAATGTTGTTTTATATATCTCTTACATTATTTATAAATGTATTATAAAATAATAAAAGAAAACATAGGGAAAATGCACAGAGAAAAAAAAATAAAAGCATAGAAACACACAAAGTTAGAATCGAACTCACGATCAATTTTGAGAAGAAAAATTATATACATAATTTTAGCATTTTCAATATGAAGACCTCCATTAACCAAAATTATCTAAATGTAATGAAATGCAGTCATATCCAAATAAAATTATTCAGAAGTTGTTTTCTGGTTAAGGGTGGTTTTTTTTTTCGCTACAGTTCGTCATTGTTAAGGGGGATACCTCAGGTATTTACTATATCCTCAATACACATGATATAAACTGAACGATTTTTAAATGTATCATATAAGGGAATAATTAATATTTGAATACTATTTTTGTGTGATTTGCCTTAGGGCATGATTTACTATATTCTCAATACACATGATATAAACTGAACGATTTTTAAATGTATCATATAAGGGAATAATTAATATTTGAATACTATTTTTGTGTGATTTGCCTTAGGGCATGATTGTATAAACTAATGTTGTTTGACAAAATTTTGGTTAAACAATGTATTTGAAAAAATAACTACTTGAGTAGGCGAAAGTGACTATCAAATGCGCTATGGCTCTTTTCTCTTTTCAATAACGCCCAGATTCATGCCGAATGCCAATCAAAAGCGCCCTCGTTCTTTTAATAGACGCTACACTTAGATCACTGTTATTTTCTCGCTTGTGATTATGTAACCAAAACATAATAAAGGTCGCACGGGATTAAAATTAAAGATTTTGACCGAGCCCTCCTTTCAGCGGAAGAGTTTTTGAAAATTTGCGGATTTTCTTTTGGATAGTGAAGATGTTAATTTCGGATGACTAGCGGTTTATTTTGAAATGGATGATACTTTAAGTGTCGGAGATACAGTGTGTTTGTATTCGGCGGAACGTTCTGGATTTATCTTCTCAACCCAATCCAGGTGAGTTGATAACTCAGCTGTTTTTAATCAAGAAGATTGGGGAATAAGGCGGGCAGAATGCCTATAGCGCGACAAATAAGAAGTGAAATATTTAATCTCAATTATGTCCAAATTTTATTTCAGATTTCATTTAATATTAAAGTATACTTAAGGTAAAATCTCAATAATTTACAAAAATCCCACAAAGACTGAAAATATTTGCCTATGAAAAAGCATACACAGACATAAAAGAACAAAAACGATCATTTTTTCATACTTTTACAATTTTTTTCAATATGAGTGGGTCTTCGCTCCTTCTTTTTTTTTTTTTTTTAAATATAATCCTAAAAGTTTGCAATAAAATAAATATATTTTGGTTTACAAAAAAAAATGGAGAGAAGACCCACTATACCTTAAAAATACACTCTTATGACAAAACATTCGCGTCTTTCCGAGAAATACTTCAAGTCCATTAAGTCAAGGGTCATACATGTATCACAAACATGATATAAATACCTCTAATCAACATGAGCCAAGTAGCATATTTGTTAGCGCGTCAAAGCAGAGTGATACATAGGTATTTTTTTCTGGTGTTCGAATCCCACGTATACCATCTAATATTTTTATAAATGAAATATTTTAAAGAGATTTATTTTTCTCAGAAAAAAATTGTTTTCCTCATAATTTCATAAATTTCAATAATGAGAAGTTTTAAATACTCGATTTACATATCAAAAGTGATTTCCTAATATTTGACGCTATAGACATTCAGCTCGCCTTATCCCCCCATCTTCTTTGAGCATGTGCCTACCTGCATCCTCCAAACCCCGCACACACACCACCAATCAATCCCCCTTCCCTCGCCACAACAGCTGTCCTCTTTCCTCCAGTAAAATTTATTTAATCTTGTATTTTTTTAATCTAAATTTTGAGGTATGGTAAACTGTCTAAATTATTGTTGAATTTACGTAGAAAAACTTGAAAGAAATCAAAATATTGATTGATATTTGATTTTTTTTATCGTTAAAGACACTAAATTAATGTTTGTGTAAAAGACACGGAACTTAATTAATACACGTAAACTGCTTTATTTAAAAATAAAATGACCTTGAATTTAATTCATTTGAGGAGAGTTTAATTGGCTTTCCTTTTTATATCTTAAATATTTTTCAGTGTGAACTAAAACTTGATGATTTTTGAATTTCTGATACAATCGTCATTAATTTTTGAATTGAGATTGTGTTTGTTTAAGTTCACACATTTTGTAACCCTTCATACATGTATTGAAAAGAGCTCCAGAATTTTCCCCCCACAGTATATATGTATAAAATATGGATTTATTTTTATTTAACTTTAGACGCTTTTAATTCATTAAATTCAGTGAATGAGCATTAATTTTAACCCCATAGAAGATCAATTAAAAATTTTCAAACTTTGATGTTCTGCATAGAATTCATAAACATATTAATTACGAGTATAGTGTTAAAAAGTCGAGTGTAAGAAGGGTATTCTAAAAAGTGCATACAATCTTTGAAAATAATGAATCATTTAAATTGTTTCTTTTATTTTTTCTGTAGCTCAGTACACAATGAAGTCGCTGTGGGTTCACAACAAGACAGGCAACAACCCAACGTAAAAGATCAGCAGGGTGGGTGGCGGGCGAGAGAGAGAGAGAGAGAGAGAGTCGTACTACATACAAATGAGCAATCTTCATAATATTTCTGCTTTATAAGTCAATGAAAGTAAACGAAAATTTCAAATATCATCGACTTAGTCAAATGCAATACTTTCTTATCCTAGCTTTTAAGGAAGCAAAAAATATCGAGAACAAAGATTTGTTTAGTTATTGAATCCAAGTTTTTCTTTTGCTTTTACTCTGCATCAGAGTTTAATGAGTTTTAATAAGCAAGTATATATCTTACTTTAAAAATATGAAGAGGTCATCTGGAACTGAAAAGGTGCTGGCTCGAAAAAGTTCTCTAACAGACTCTTTTATTGCCAAGAAAAGGTCTAAAGTACATGAGCTATCGGTATATAGTAGTCCTTCACCAACAAATCTCAATGTAGGCCCTACATGAAAAGTTCTCAATGAGACGTTTAAAACAGATACGTTAAAAAAAAAAACTGAAGCCCCTACCCTAAGATTTAAAGAAAATATACGAAGATCTCTCTAATGTCAATATATTTAGGGTGCTATTAAATGAATACATTACACGGAGGCAAACTTTACATTTATTTTTGAAAAGGCATGTGAAGCAACGATATTTCTCTAACGATTTGCATATGCTTCAGTCGTAAGAAGTAAAAAAAAAACAAAACAAAACAAAACAAGGATGTTGCAAAATTCATGATTTAAAAAAATCGGAATTCAAATTTTTTGGATAACAGAAAAGTCAGAATCCTTTTAATTTTAAAATTACTTCATTATCTCAGTGATATTCCTTTAGAAAATAAAGGTCAATTTCTTTTGAACAAATGGGTACATGTAAATTCGGTTTATTAAGCTCTCAACATTCATGCAGTGCTCTGATCAAAGAAATGTTACATTTTTTAATGTTTAAAACTATAGATTATTGAGCATAAAACAAATCATTTTTTATTTAAATCTGAATGTTTTTAAAAAATCAAAACCCTTTTAATGTTTTTGTTATTTCTGTAAAAGAAAATCAAATCTAAGTTTGTTTTTTTTAGCACATTAACATCTATATACCGGTATACGAGCTTAATTGTTTTAGATAGATTTGATTATAATCCTGTTTAAAATAAGAAAAGACACGTTTTCTCTGAGATTTCCTTTGCAAGACGAACTTTGGGCTCATCCCACGAAGTAATTTTAACCTTTAAAATATTTGCTTAAGGTAAACAAAACCTTATTATTATCTACCCAATATTCTTTGTTTTTTTTTTAGTGATTTCATTCCATCTGGAGGTTGCTAATCGCTACAAACTCAACAAGCAGCTACGAAAGTTACAGGCAAAATTAGCAAAAGATCCAGATGATACAGATTTAAGGAACACAGTCTCCATGGCAAAGGTACCGTACAGGTTTATAACTTTATTTGTGATATAACAGTTGTAAAAAACAAACAAAACAAAACAAAAAACCACAACAACAACAACAAAAATCGTGAATGTAATCAAATGGTTCATTTGACAAAATATTTTTTGAATGGTTAGAATTGCACAGATAAGTTGTTATCCTTGTATCATGAAAACAAAATACACAAAATGCATGCACAGCTGGACCTAGTATTTTATAGAATATTTTTAATTGAACGACAAATACATGAATGGAGATAACGAACAGTGTTCATGTCCATTAGACAATACAGAATTGGGGCAGTCCAAATACGGACCTCCAAAAATTAGAGATCAGATCAGGTGCCATGGAGGAGTGAGCATCCCCAGCCGACCGTTTAAACCCGCCGTGTGCTTCTTGTCATGAACTGGAAATAATGGAAAAATCCGTCGACAATCAATGTGTATGACTTTACAATTAGTATGAAAAACCTCAGTCAGCATTTGAATCAACGATAAATTGTATTTGCTGACAAGGTCATTGTATTGAACATAGAATTTACGAAATGATGACTTTCATCGATACTACTCTAAGAAATTGTTCAATTGTATAACTTGCTCTTACGTATCGAATCATCGAATCAAATGATTGATATAAATTCCGTTTGCAGGTGATAAAGGTATATTGCTTCATTAGTAAGGGAAGTTGACGATAGAGAAGTTAAAGTCATTACGTTTATCTTGGTTGTGAAATAATCTTGAAAGTCTATGTCAAGTAAAACATCTCAAGATGAAAAGATGTGTCAGTCTGTGTGGTATCTTTAATTTCAAGCTCACCGGGATATATTGTATTGAGATAAGAGTGGAAATAACCAGTTAGTTGACAATACCACGTCGATATATCTTAATGTCGAATTGGCCACAACAAGTGTTTTCTTTTTTCACGTATTAAATTTTGGAGAAATTCTGCTTCTTAGAGATACAAAAATAGGTCTACTAATAACAAGGCGCAATTGCTACATGTACCAATGGGAATTCCAATAAATTTGTGGAAGAACTGGTCTCCAAAAACCACATATATATTGTCAATCAGAAATTCAAGCATCTTTTTAATATCTTTAGAGTACTTGTGTGTATAATCAGAATATTTTAAACAAAATAATTGTCAAATGAGCAATGACAAGCTTTTAAGACAAATAAATTTACGAATTCCATTTTTTTTTTTGAAAAAGCAGCTGTGAATGAAACGAAAGAAATTTAAAAAAAAACTTCGAGGATCCCAGAACAAAAAACTACATACTATATATAAATATACAACGTAAATGTGTAAGATTCTCAACATCAAAATTTAACAACAGTAACAGACGTTTTGCTAAAGTTCAGCTTCTTCGAATAACAAGAAGTCATTCTATAATGGAACACAATTATTCTTCTTGAAAAATCCTGCACTTTGTTTTCAGACCTTATCTCCAAAGATAACCTTAATTTTATCGATGAAATTCTCAATTTTTTTTTTTCATACTGACCTCGACGTACCTTTTATCTTTTACATTCATAATTGTTTTTTACGAAAATAAGTTTGAATATGACAGGTGAGAAAGTACTAAATTGATCATTTAGTTAGAATGGGAAATATATTTGATTAATGTGTTGTAAACTCGTACTTTTGATGCTTTATATATATATATATATATATATATATATATATATATATATATATATATATATATATATATATATATATATATATATATATATTATATATATATATATATATATATATATATATATATATATATATATATATATATATATATGCTTTATATATATATATATATATATATATATATATATATATATATATATATATATATATATATATATATATATATATATATATATATATATCTGGTATTTCACAATTTTGTGTGATTAACTTTATATGGTGTGCCCCTGAAGTTTATCCTTTATTTCCATTAATATTGATAATAATAAAGTCTGCCTTCTGTGAGAAAATATTTTCTTGATATGTTACAATTCATTTACTTTCTTTATTACAGTGGTTCAACATTTAAAGGTAAATGCATACGACTGGTTATTCAAAAACAACATTGCATTATTCAGTTGAATGGCAAATTACCATCAATATACGATCTGGATAATCCTTAATATAATTATATAATATAATTCTGGTTGTAACGCTGTATTTGATTGGATAAAAAATTTACTTCATATCGTATCAAATGGGTTGCTTACGTCACAATGACTTTCGTCAAAAACGTAGCAATCCGCCTGACGTAACATTCAAATTTTGTACAAATTGGAGTCATTTTGTTAGAACAATCATCTTTTTTTTCTTACATCAAATGAATGAAAATTAAATTGTAAGCAATGAATTGGTATAAACTGGGTTGGAACAGTTTACACTTTTTTTAAACCGCTTCGCGGTTAATAAAGCGTAAACTGCCCCAACCCAGTTTATACCGTATAAAATGGGTAGCTATTAGATTCATTCCTTTAATAGAATATTAGGGCCAACACATTAACCATGCACATTCCGAGTTCGAATAAATTGCTTTAAGCCGCAAAGCTTGACCCAAGGTCGTTTGATTAAAAACTAGGAGAGTTAATTGTGATTCCATGCAGCGTGTTGTGAAATATTACAATCAAAAATCACTGGTTTAATTTGAATGTGTGAAATTTAGAACATTTGTTATAAGAAAAATATGGTTTTTCAAAATCCCCAAGGAACAATTACTTTTTTGAAATTTTAAACTCATTCAATTTGTCAGAAGTCAATTACATCAAAAGATACCACATTTCTACACATTATACACCCATTCCTTATGACTACTTCTGCTAGCTAAATATCTGACATCACCTTAGATATTTCCAGGGTCAGTGTTTATTTCCTCTTCAACGTGTTGTGCTGTTGAAAGATTTTCTAAAATTGACAACTGCTGGTTATTTTCACTCGTTGTCATAATAAATTAAAACTAAGTCTTTTTGACATATCATAGAGATTTGCTTCGTCAATAAATATTGAACTCAGAATTTTTCATATCTATATACTTTTAAAAGGCAACGATTCTACACACACGTTTAACTGAACCGAAAATGGGTGCTGGAGTTCCTCATCATATATATATATATATATATATATATATATATATATATATATATATATATATATATATATATATATATATATATATCAGAAGTCCATGAATTCACAGTGGTCGGTATAGTAGTATAGTAAAAAATAATTAAAAAGAAAACACGAAGACAACAAAGTAAAGCATTAGCTTTGTTTAAAGTACTCCGTGTTTCCATCACGATCACTGGTAAATTATATATAATTTACCAGTGATCGTGATGGAAACACGGAGTACTTTAAACAAAGATTTTTAAATGAAAGGGCTAATGCTTTACTTTGTTGTCTTCGTGTTTTCTTTTTAATTATTTTTTATATATATATTTTTTACTATATATATATATATATATATATATATATATATATATATATATATATATATATATATATATATATATATATATATATATTTATATATAAAGCACTAAAAATGACCAACGACACGAACAATAATAATTGTCAAAATTTCGGGACGCCCTGTCCCTTCCTCAGGACAAAGGAAAAAGTTAAAAAGTAATAAGAACAAAGGAAAAAGAGAAACAAAAACAACTAGCACTACTACTAAACTACTAAACACTAGATATTTACATACTTAATTACATGTTGAATTGGAAATTTTTAAGAACACTAATAAAGAAAGAAATCCGGATCGCTATGAAATGCGTCCGGTCTATCGGGTATACTCGGGTGAAGTGCTATTTACATAATTGAACGAATTAATTATGCTAATTAATTACGACAATCAGTAAATTGTACATTGTTTCATTCTCTCAAAATGGCGTAACTTTACTTAATAAAGAATAATGAAAGAAAAATCATATAGTAGGGATATTTAAACATATGAATTGTGATCAATTATAAATTTTGAAATATTAAAGGACTTATTATAGGGAAAAAATAATTAACAAAGGCGTAAGCAATACATAGTTATGTGGGTTGTTCGAGAGTTGGTGACGCAAATTAACTGTAGAGTTTACACTAAATTAGAGAATAATCTTGTTTAGTATGATCAGGAATTGGATCTAGTTTACGTTCATTCTGGTGAAGTCATTCAATTTGTTAATACCATTAGGGCGGAATGACTTCAATTTGTATATATATATATATATATATAAAAACATTGTTACGGTCTTCATCTCGACATTCAGTTAAACAATGACGATGTTTTGTCTTTTAACTCAGATTTATCTCCGTTCATTTGTAACATTTGAAAATTGATTGAAAATTAATTCGTATGTCAAGAAAAGAAATATTTTTGCAAATGTAAATATTTAGATTTCTTTGAAAACGGCGTCAGAAATAATAAAACAGTGTGTGTACACTTTCAACGATCTTAAATTTTTAAACATTGTTTTTGAATAAACATTTCAGAAAATGCTTTTATGAATTGAATTTACTCTGTTCCTAAAATTAAAATTTGAACATTGAACTATACTTTAGCCTGCTGCTGAAGAAGAAAATGAGGACAACATTTTGGAACAAAAGAGACAGCAAGGAAAGAAAGTCCTTTATGGACAGATCATACAGGTAATAAATTACATCGTTTGGGCAAAAAACAAAAACAAAACAAAACAAACACAAAAACAAAGTTGAAACAATAAACAATCAAACATTTTTCATATCATTATTCTAATTTTAAATTAATGAAGCGCAGTAATTTATTTTTAAATGATTTCTCAGATTTATAGAATTTTTTACTAATATATGTCGATCTCTATTTTTGCAAAGTAAAAAAGAATTAGACCGCACAACAGACAAGAAATCATGTTTGAGAAATGTATTTATAAATTAACATAATATGTACAATGTACATGCATATTATTTTATAAATTAGTTTCAAAAAAATTCTCTTTCAGTTACGGCATCTCTTTACGAATAAATATATCCATGTCAGTACCACAAAAACGTCGGACACAGAAACAAACAACATGGCGGTATGTACATTTGCATGAAAATAAAATACAGTCTCAAACTTATAAATGAAGGATATAGAGATAACGAACAGTATACAATCTCAAAGTCCATAAAACAATACAAAATAAGTAAAAAGGAAAATATCATTATAATCTTTAATGAGAATTAAGTCTTCCTTTTTAAAAGAAAAAAGATTTTTTTCTTAAAATGAATAACATAATGTCATCACAAATTATTATGATCAAATCCATTTGAAAAAATTTCTCTTGTTATAGGTGGAACTGAAAGAAGAGAATTCTAAGCATGCGCAATTCCGATTAATGCCGAGATACAAAGTCAAAGCAGAAGGCGACGTGGTAAGGTTGAAATAAATTCAATGTCCTTTCTATTAGAATATGCAGTTACGATGATCAACCTTTTATTTGAAATAATTTTGCTCATTTAAAAAGTTCTAAATTAAGTTAAAACACAGGTAGATTAAGGAACACGGAAATTGTAATTATAGAGAGATTTGCCTTTTATGGCTTTGATAAAATTTGATAAAGCCCTTGAAAACCACGTCAAATATTCTACTATTAACATTTTTAAATGTATTTTATCGACTAATCTATGCCTTAATTCTCCAAAAACGACATTTCAATACATTTTTCATTTTGTACTTTGAAAATATTTACATTTTGAAACTGAGAAATTTTGATAGCAGGTTTTGCTTACGTAAAGATTGTCTCCCCTAGGTCCAAGTTGACGACCAGGTGGTCCTGGAGAGCGTCAAGTCCCCGTACTCCTACCTACACGTTAGCAAGTCCTTCCTGGGTCAGCTGTCCGTCTACAGTAAAAGGTAAGATTAGTATCACGCTGTAACTATAACTTAGTTTCAATACCACGCTGTATGTAAACTGTATACAGAGTTATTTTCGCCCCGTCTTATTTTCGACCTTTCACATTTACAAACAACTTTGCCCCGTTTAAAATTCCCCAGTCATAGTTTTGTTTACTACTGTATTCTTTGAATTCGCCCCGTTTTAAATTCGCCCAAATGAGGGTAGGGCGAAAGGGGCGAAAATAAAACGGGGGCGAAAATTTCCTGTATACAGTAATTTATCTTTAAATCGTATGATCGTAAGGTCATCTTAAAATTTCCTTGTTTCCCAAGACATACTTCATCGTAAGCTAAGTTTTCAAAAAAATTTTGCGTCAAAAAAAAGTCAAAACCAATAGTCATTTAAAAGCAACATTCTTCTAAAAGATCAACAGTGTAGTAAACACCCCTTTATTTATCTAAATTGTTTCCATAACGGCAAATTCATCTAACCATGGACGTTCATCCATGTCACCTGTCTGCTACATGTATTTACAGTATGTTTAAGCATATGTACTCACTTGATTTATCACAGTTGTCATGCTGTATTTTATATTTCATTTTGCTTTTAAAGTATTATATCTTATCACACGGAAAATGATTGCATCTTATGCATGGAATCCATAATTTACCAGAAAGTAGTATATAAGCCTATTAGCTATAAAAAAAAAATTAAACGTTTTCGATAAAATTTTGACTGCTAGTACATGTACTATCTTTGTTCAGTGAAATCTCTTTAATGTCCTTTCAGTCATGAGTTAAATGTGTCGGTCCAGCAGTCAGGCTTCACGATCTATCGGAAGTATAAACCTGCAGCAGGGGACAGCACTAAAATAAAATTTGGGGATCTTATTCGCTTCTACCACAAAGAAATGGAGGCCTATTTAGTGGCATCAGGGCTGTTTGATGATGAACTTTTAGAAGATGGTAAGAAATAAAAAAAAATATGGAAATATTTCCATTATATGAAGAATAAAAAATAAAGGAACAAAATATCATGGACAAATTAACTAATAGATACTAATATATATACTAGGAAAACGGATTTACCCAATGAATATATTTCCAATTAATATACATCCAAAAATACATATTAAGACTTTCTAAAAAAAAAAAAAAGACTATATTTTCACTTTTGCTTTGTTTCTTAGTACACATGAGACTAAGACCGATGGACCAGACCATTCCCAAAACCTTGTTCCCAAGTTCTTCTGCAATCACATACTGGCAGATAGAGCGGCAGGAGGGGCCTGTTTCCGGTAGGTTGGAATCAAACCTTTTACAATACCAAAATGTAGCATGAATGATTATTATCTATATCTCTTAAAATGGATCAAAACTGAAATGTTGCAGTTTCAAACAGTCAAAACTAATTAGATGCATCTCAAAACGTTATTTGTATGAATGAGAGATGACAAAAAACTTAAAGTTCTCTAAAATTAATTATATAAATAAAGGTGTAAATATTTTGATATTCTATTTTTTGTAGGAGGCGTTTTGAAATGGGAGCAACAGTGTAAAATCATTCATATGTGCACAAGGAAATACTTGACAGTCAAGGACGGTCACGTGACCTTAACAAGTGATCACCTAGATCCAACTACTGTGTTCAGACTACATCCGGTCATAAGGGTACGACGTAGAACTGAGTTCACAAATGGCTGCGGTCGAATAAATTGATTTGATTTTATTTCGAAGAGAAGGGGTTGAAGATGGGATTGGCCTTAAATACTCTTTTTTGTCTACGTCATATACAAAATTAAGAATTAAATTTGAACAAAATCTTTAAAAATACAAAGACTCTAAAATTGAGAAATCTGCGTTGAGATCAGTCAGGTTTCCATTTTTCTTATTTAAATACAGTAGCTGTTTTGGTATTATTAGTAATATTAAATGAACCTAGCTAGGCCGTTTTGATTTAACAAGCTTGGGTTTTATCTTAAAATTGCAATCATCCCCTTGATTTGAAGACATGTGTTATTTTTTTTGCCATGTTTTTCTTTCTACTACTTCAATGCTATACAAATCTTTCTGTGACTGTCCATTGTGTCTGTTTGGAGACCATATATTATTTTTTTTTGTTATACAGGAAAATTATGACATACCCCCAGACAGTTACTGTCGAATTGAACACGTGGTGACAGGACGCTGGCTTCATGGAGGAACAGGTGAGATTAAGAAAGTCACACCTGAAAAAAGTGTAATTGCTTAGTATTAATATCAGAAATGTGCCAGTTGACTTATCTTCCATAGAATAACTATAGTATTTTCTTCATTAGCTGCTAAAATAGACTTGTAGGAATATGGTTTTTTTACTACCAAGAAAAATAATGAAAAGGACATCAAATAAATTCACAATTTTTACCTTTCTATATATATTTGTAATATTACTACAATTGGAAGTTGAATTGTTCTGAAGCAGATATAAAAGTAAATGGTACCAAATATAAAACATTTAAAGGAAACAAACATGTAGTTAATCTTAAAATAAAAAAAAATGTTTTTACGTGTAACAGAGGAATACAAGAAAAGACAGAAGGATGGAGATGATAGCACACAATCTATGTCATCATTAAAGTGGAGCACGGCGGAACTTAAAGAGGTCAGACTATTTACAGCATTAAAGTAAAAAAAAAATGAATGTCCTTCCTCTGTTTGAGTCCATTTTGATGTTGTATAAATATTTAAAAATAGCTTTTTTAAAATATGAATTCTTGTTAAATTCATAATGCCTTTCATTTTTCGATTTGCTTAAATTTTTATAAAATTATGAAACAGCTACTTCCCCTAGGGTTCTTAAGGTCTTTGGATCACCTTGTTTCTCATATGTAAATAAGATTCATTCAAATGATTTTTTTCATGTTTCAATTCCTTTGTAGAAAAAACTTTGACAAGAATTAACGTTTAATAATACAAGATTAATTGCCTTTGCTTACTTAGATCGATACGATCGAAGAGATGCAATATGATGATGCCTTCACTATACAAAAAGTGGATGAGGAATTTGTCAGTATATTCAACTATATGGCGGGAATGGTCCCATTTATACAAAAGCTTATAGCAGATGTGAGTAATATTTAAGATATTGTATAAATGCTAAGTGTATTTTCCCTATGTGTAGAGATTCTTATTTTTTCCTGTTTATCTTTTTCATACCAATTCACTTTCACATATGTTTGACCATGTCTATTATGTTAAAAAAAATATATTTCTAATGAAATTATAATGAATTCTTACAATGTTTAATTTTTCTCTCAGGTCATCTTAAATACATGTTTTAAATTTTAATGTTTTTTTTTCTTTTGAATGCATCCTGATTTATTTTCAGAAAAAGGCAGGATTGAAATTAAATGCAAAGATGGCCCACGATGCTGAATGTGTTAGTATATCTTTTTGTTTTTTCAAAGTGTTTCAATTATAAACACGTATATATATTTATCTACCTGAAGATGCTTTTTTCTAGGCGTTACAAGAAGTAAGCGCCTTTATGGTAGTCAACGGATACCCGATCAAGAGCAGACAAAAATTGCTAAGAAACCTTAGAGTGAGTGTTCTTGATGTCTTACTTGAGTTGATCTTCTAAATTGTTTTATGCATGCATTTTTCAAATAGGTTTCGTTAACATAAAACATTTTGTAAATACAGTATTAAAAAGAGGAATGAACTTTTTTTCTTTTGATACATTAAAAATACTAAAAAAAAATATTTTCATCCACCTATTTCATAAAACATATTGATGAATTCAGAAATTAATTTACACAGTACTACATTAATTTTATAAGAGGAGCCCTTCGCAAATTAAAATATAACTTGGTAGTCATATTATGTTCTATTCTAAATCCAAATGATAAAGCAATTTCTCATCCAGATAAAATGCAATAGATGAGGTTTTTATGGAATTTCTTTTTAGATTGTGGAACTGCTAGTAAGGCTCTTGCATATACCATTAAGGGGCACAGCTGATCAAATGTAAGTTCTCATCTTTTCCTCAAAGTACTGAAAGTATTCAGGTAAGTTTTTTCTTTTGATAGTATTTATGCTCAATTGTACAAGATGTCTGGGTTTAGATAAGTTTTACATAAAAAATTCACCGTAAGTGTATTAACTGTCAATGTTAAATTTTGTGAAATGGTTGATATCCATCTTCCAACTGAATGTTGATAATCTTGAAATTTTTGACATTTTAATATTTTGTCTTCCAATTTTATGAATTCGAAATTTATATTGATATTTTAATATTCCAGTCACATGACCAAGTTGTTCGTCGAGGCGTATCATGTTATGTATGTGTATCTTATGGGAGACAGTAGAAAGAACGAACTCTACATCGCCAAATATATCGACTTCTTTCAGTCTCAGTTTGAAATCAGAGAGGTGAGTAATTTTAAAATCAATTTAAGTAACCTTAATAAAAACAAAATTCTTTTTCTTGCATCGTTCTTTAAGCTATGGGATCTACGCGCATTAACCTGGTTCAATAAAAAATTGTGATATATATGATATTTCAAAAGGTTAGAATTCATAATGAAATGTGTTGGTTTGATTTCTTTAGGGTCAAATTGGCTTGAACGCTGTACACATGGTTATGGAACTTATCCGCGACAACAGAAAGATCGTGGACAGAATATCTAATGAACATATCGACAAATTCGTAGATCTCTTACAAAGAGACAAGGTTAGTTTCATTTCTGTTAAAATGGTTTCTGCATTAAATAAAAAAACTTTTCAAAGTGAAAAGGAAAAAAAATCTCTTAAAGTTGATGAACCATAAACTGTAGGCAGTAGAATATTACATATAATTCAATGTCAAAAGTTCATAAACCGATATTAATTTATAAAAAAAAATATTGGCAATTTTCAGAATCACAGATATTTGGACTTGCTTGGTGTTCTCTGTGTATGTGATGGCGTGTCCATTGCTGTCAATCAAAAGTACATCACGGAAGCATGGCTAATGAGAGGCAGCAAGGTGTGTTAATCATTTATTTAATTATGTATAAAAAATATTTGATATTGGACCCCTTCTCCACTTCATTTCAGAACTTTTGAGTTTGGAGCTTTTATTGAAGACTCTTTCCAATTAGTGTAAAAATGTGACTAAAACATTTATTATTTGTTGTTATATAAAGGTTCTGTATTGGTATTTTGAGGTAAAAAATTAATATTCAAAATCTTTTTAAAATTGTAAGAACTAACAATTTTAGAAAACTGAACTGTTATGAAAATATGTCGTAGTGAGTTTATGTTATTTTGATCATTGTCTTACAAAAACAGCATTTATTTACAATAAACATAATTTGTACAATTATATATCTGCCTTATGATATTACATGTTTAGCAAGCTTTCTTCTTTCTCTTGACAGAATTGTGTCTATTACACTGACCTTGGACAAAAAATAGGAAAAGAAAGTGGCGTTGTGTATGTCTCCACAACACAAGGAAGAACGTGGACCGAGTTGTCTAACTTCGCCGAATGTAACATGAGCGAATCCTATTTGTTTCTGGAGCATCAACTAGAATTGTTTGGATATCTTTGTCATGTACATATTTGTTTTATCATTAAAATCACTATTTCTCATAAAATTATTTTAAAAAGTGAGGTTTTAAGGTTTAAATATCATAAATTATTATCTATATCAACAAAAGAAGAATTCAATTTTCTGATCTGTTTATTATTAATAATGAATTTTATCTGAACTATTCAGGGTCAGAATGAATTTTCAATAAAAGTCATAACTCAGGATTTGAACTATCTGACGTGGGAGGAGGCGTTTACATGTTTAAGTGACACACGACTGCCAGACAAACTCAGATCCCAGTACTGTGACCTTATCATTAGTAAGTGAAAGTTGAAAGTGAAAGTTGAAAGCTTTCGCTGATGCTTGTAGATAAGGTCAGATGACACGTTCCTCAAGAATATATAATTTTCCCCAAGAATTTGTCATTGAAGTAAAGCTACAAAAGCAAATTTCCTCACCAAAAATTGAGGTACCTTAATTATCATCAAAGGGACAAGGTACTGGGGGTGATATTAACTTTTAAAAACATATTGAAAACATTTTAAAAATCAAAGTACTCAGAAGTACAGAGAGCCGGGCTCATTTACAGAGTAGAATGAATTTCTTACATGATTCACGTTTATATTCTGATGAAAAAAATATTTAAAAACTATCAATATTAATTATAAGACACTGACAGTGAGTTTTTTCAATCCTAATACAACGATTCGATTTTGTCAGAATCAGACTTAATCTGGTACCGCGGCTGAATGTAAACAAACAGGCCAGTCTGGTTCCCTCTCCTGCTTTACCTCGTATGTGTAGAGAAATACGATAACACTGATTATCAAAAATCCTTACGCTAATGAACTATGTTCTTTGACTTAGGACTGAAGTTTTCAAAGTCATTACTACTAATGTTTATTTATATAATTAAAACTTCGTTTTATTTTTGTTGCTTTATTTAGCGTTTATATTATCTCAAAAGCGGTTGAGAGTAAGAACTATATTTTTGCACGTAACTTTAAAATGGCGACTATGGGGTTGACTTCCTGCCTTGAACAGGATGATATAAGCCGACAACTGCTCTTTGAGCAATAAGCCCGGCTAATCATACGATAATGACATATATAATTCTTTTTTTTATATAATACCAAGGTATACAAAATAAAAAAAAATGAGGAACATGTCGTCTGACCTTAAACAAATTACATGTAATCTTTTATCATTCTCTGCAAAAATGAATGAAAATGAATAGATTAACTATAATTTTTACAATGTTAAATAGTTTGTGTGTCCTTTCCTTTATTCAATTATATGCAATTATTTAATTTTATTGATTTTTTTTTTACATTTCAGCAATGTTTGTTGATATTGGAGATAATCATTCTGTAGTGGATCGAGTCAAACTGTCCTACAAATATGACGACATCGACTCAGTCGAGGTACAAGTTAATCAAACTATATTTATGATATCTTTTTTTTCAAATGTCCTCTTCAAACATATTTTTACGATTGGTTCACTTTATGAATAGATACATAATCTCATGTCTTTTTAAATTTATTGTCTTTAGGGTAGCAGATTGATAAAACATACGGTATTAAAACACGTTCTCAACAAGTTTTTCTCCTTTTTTAAATAACATTGTACAAAATTTCTTCATAACTTGAAACTGATTTGAATGCATATTCTTACTTCACAATCATTCATTTTTGTATCCTTTCACCTTTAAATGCACTTTAATGAACCATTTAAAAATATACTTTGATGATAATCACTAAATTAAATGAAAAGATTAAAAAATGTGAATCCTAAAATTCGAAATTAGTGAAATATATTTGTTTGATTTATCGGTCTTAGATAAACATATTTTTTCTCTTTATTTCCTTAACAGGATCGAGTTGACAATGCACAATCTAAGACATACAAATATTTCCCAAAGCTCAGCGAGTGGATTTCTAAGTTCCTAATGAGAAATAGGGATATGACGGCCTCAACCATCGGTAAAAACCTACTGGTCAAACAGGTCAGATTTCCTCAGATAACAATTTCAGAAACTAGAAATAGCTGGTCATAGCGAGTGATACCTTCATATTAAATATAAATAAATCCTATTTTACCATATTCGCAGCACGTGTATTCTAATGCTAATTTTAGCCTGAACGTTTGCTTAGTTTAAAATATATTTTATTCATTCAGAAATGGATTAAACAGCAGGCATAAATGCCTATGATCGTTCTCTCCATAGCTCCTGAGCTTCAAGCTCAGACTAAACTATTTCAATTATTTTTCAATGGAACAAATGGTAACGATCTAACAACATTTTCTTGACACCAGGTACTGATTCTTTTCAGGTTTTACGATTGGTTGATCACTTGGTGTCATTTGGGTTCTACTACAAACCAGAGGATATTACAAGATTGTTAGAACCACTGATGTCTCTGATCGATGGCAGGAATGATAAACCATATCCTAATGTCACAGATAGAAATGATAAACCATATCCTAATGTCACAGGTACAGTTTTTAGTAACACTTTTAAAAATATATCTATATTATTTTTTACCTTTTTCAAGGATTTTTTTTTTAGAAATTTTTACAGGACCTAAAAAGAACCACTTTCATTTTTTTTTCTAAAATTACCTTTAGAGGACAAAGAAGCCAGTGAATTCCTATAAAAATGAAATATTATCAAGATTCTTACTCTGTTTCAAAATTTTATTTTACTCAAAATACTAATCACTGATAACATTGATTCGAACAAATATATATATCATACATCATGACAGGAAAGGACGCCGATGATGTTCTAAAAGCATTCAGAACAAAAGAAAGATTTGAAAGAAGTGAAGAGACGTCAGCCATTGTGGAAGCCAAGTGTCAGTAAGTGATATCATTTTAATTATCATTATTACTTGATATCCCCTTCAAACATAGTAGTTTCACGCCTCTGTGAATATGAATCAGTGATTAAGTGCTTGCGTTACATATGTAACACATAAAGTTATATCGATGTGATATACTGTGGTTTTATCAATATTCATTGAGCAAAAATTTTCGAGGATTACGTTATTGGGAAAATTAACGAAATTCAACGTTCTTTTAATGAAGAAATATATTATTCATTTGAACAGGCAATGCTTTTGTCCTCGAAATTACGTATCCTCGAAAACGTCTGTTTTACAAAATCCATGACAATAGATGCCAACAAAAATTATTTAAACCAAAGTAAATGTTCTCATGTGCGAGGGTATGCTCTGCTTTGCAGTGTCCTTGAATATTTTTGTCCTCAATGGCAAGCTTTTTTAATACAAACAAAATTGTCCCTACATTCATAGATTTAAAAATTCTCTCTATTAGATTCTATTAGACTAGTTTTGAATATTAAGATTCTGCTTCTTACGTTTTGAAGATTATTCCTATGCTGTTATTTTTTTAGATTATAGTTAAAAACTTATTGTTTTTATTTTGTAGAGCTTTAGACACACTTGATTTGTTCTTCAACTACATCTTTAACCTTCGAATGGAGGTCAGTGTATTTTGTTTTTTTTTCCTTTTAGCGATTAAATGTTTTTAAATAGGAAATTTTATCTTAAGTCTTTCATTTGAAGATATAAAAATATTTTTCAATTTTTTTTCTCTGCTAATGGTATAATACATTCTTGTGAAATTATACCAAGAGTTGTTCTGCTGCAACGTTCTTGATTGATTTTTTTTTAATTTATAATATAGTGTACCAATAACTATATTATATATGATATTTTAATAACTCTATTATATTTCAGAGATTCATGAGTATGTTTAAAGTTACCCACACGCAGGCGATTGATCCAGATAGCGCACCCCCTGAGTTAGGCCCTCTTCTTTCCGAAAATTTTGACTTACATTCTCAGCACAGGTGGGTGTATAAGTAGAATATCTCAAGAACTATATAAATAAATTGCAAAATATTTATCAATAAAATTTCATAAATTGAGACAGAACCCCACATGTACAGAACCAAACATGTATCTAAAAACAATAGCAACATTATCCATTTTTACAAAAAGCGTCAAATGATACTAAAGAAAAAATATAGAATCTTTGATGAATTTATGAAAATTTCAATTCAGATTGCAACAATTGTTTTCATCCATTGTACAATGTATGCAGTTTTTAGCTCATCTGAGCCGAAGGCTCAAGTGAGCTATTCTGATCTAAATTTGTCCGTCGTCTGTCATTGTCGTCGTCATTGTTAATTTTTTACATTTTCGACTTATTCTCAAGAACTGCTGGGCCAATTTCAACCAAAGTTGCCACAAAGCATCTTTGGGTGTAGAAGATTAAAGTTTATGATAAAGAACCACGCCCTTATTCAAGGGGAGATAATTGGGAATTAATGAAAATTTTGTGGTATTTTTTAAAAATCTTCTTCTAAAGAACCACTGTGCCAGGATAGAAGAAATTCACGGGGAAACATTCTCAGGTAGTGTAAATTCAAGTTTGTTCAAATAAAGACCCCCGGGGGTAGGGAGGGGGCACAATGGCCGACCAAAGTTTTACATAGAAATATAAAGGAAATTTTTTTAAAAATCTTCTTCCCAAGAATAGCAAAGGCATGGATGATCATATTTATATGGAAGCATCATCAGGTAGTGTAGATTCAATTTTGTTTCAAATCATAACCCCTGGGGGTAGGGCGGGGCCACAATGACCGATCTTAATTTTACATAGAAATATAATGGGGAATTCTTTAAAAATCCTCTTCTCCAGAACCACTGTACCAGGAAAGATGAAACTTATATGGAAGCATCCTCAGATAGTGTAGATTCAAATTTTTTAAAATCATGACCCTTGGGGTAGGCCGGGGCCACAATGGCCGATCATGTTTTCAAATATATAGAAAAATTCTTTAAAAATCTTGTCCTCAAAAACCACTTGCAAGTAAAGTTAAAATATATAGGGAAGCATTCTCAGGTAGTGTACATTCAGCTTTGTTAGCTCACCTGAGCCGAAGGCTCAAGTGAGCTTTTCTGATCAAAATTTGTCCGTTGTCTGTCGTCGTCGTCGTTGTCGTTGTCGTTGTTGTCGTAAACTTTTCACATTTTCATCTTCTTCCCAAGAACCACTGGGCCAATTTCAACCAAACTTGGTTAAAAGTATCCTTGGGTGAAGGGGATTTAAGTTTGTTCAAATGAAGGGCCACGCCCTTTTCCAAGGGGAGATAATCATGAATTTGTTAAAAATTAATGGCATTTTTAAAAAAATCTTCTTCTCCAGAACCGCTGGGCCAGGAAAGATGAAACTCGTGTGGAATCATCCTCAGGTAGTGTATATTCAAGTTTGTTCAAATCATGACCCCCGGGGCTAGGGTGGAGCCAAAATGGCCGACCCAAGTTTTACATAGGAATATATAGGAAAGATCTTTAAAAATCTTCTTCTCCAGAACCACTGGGCCAGGAAAGATGAAACTCATGTGGAATCATCCTCAGGTAGTGTAGATTCAAGTTTGTTCAAATCATGACCCCCGGGGCAAGGGTGGGGGCCAAAATGGCCGACCCAAGTTTTACATAGGAATATATAGGAAAAATCTTTAAAAATCTTCTTCTCTAGAACCACTGGGCCAGGAAAGATGAAACTCATGTGGAATCATCCTCAGGTAGTGTAGATTCAAGTTTGTTCAAATCATGACCCCCGGGGCAAGGGTGGAGCCAAAATGGCCGACCCTAGTTTTACATAGGAATATATAAAAAAAATCTTTAAAAATCTTCTTCTCCAGAACCACTGGGCCAGGAAAGATGAAACTTATGTGGAATCATCCTCAGGTAGTGTAGATTCAAGTTTGTTCAAATCATGACCCCCGGGGCAAGGGTGGGGCCAAAATGGCCGACCCAAGTTTTACATAGGAATATATAGGAAATATCTTCAAAAATCTTCTTCTCAAGAACCATTGGGCCAGGAAAGATGAAACTCATGTGGAATCATACCTCAGGTAGTGTAGATTCAAGTTTGTTCAAATCATGACCCCCGGGGCAAGGGTGGGGCCAAAATGGCCGACCCAAGTTTTACATAGGGATATATAGGGAAACCTTTTAAAATCTTCTTTTCATGTACTTCAAAGCTATGATTAGTGATATTTATATGGAATCATCCTCAGGTAGTGTAGATTCTAGTTTGTTCAAATGATGAATGCCTGGAGGGGGGGCGGTAAATTCAAGCCCGATGTGCTCAGGTGAGCGCTGTGGCCCCTGGGCCTCTTGTTTAAATCATGACCCCTGGGGGTAGGGCGGGGCCACAACATGGAATCCAAGTTTTACATAGAAATATGTTGAAATATTCTTTAAAAATCTTTTTAAGAATGGCAAAGCCATGATTAGTCATATAGAAGCATTCTGATGTAGTGTAGATTCAAGTTTGTTCAAATCTTGACCTAGGGGGAAGGGGGGGGGGTAGGACGGGGTTACAGTGTAAGTTCAAATGTAAAGGGCCATAAAGCCACAGGTAGTCAAAGAAATATGCAAGCATCCTTCGTTAGTGTAGATTTAAGTTTGTTCAAATCATACCCTCTCCCCTTTCAAGATTGGTTGGAATCACTTTTCGGTTTTAATTGTTCAATAATAAACCGATTTCTGGTTTTTTTCAATGTACAGTGCTCAGGTTAGCGATGTAGCCCATGGGCTTCTTGTTAATATGTTAATCCTGCCACTGTTGTTTTTGCCTGTTAGTCTATTCCAAATAAGTTATCAACAAGCATATTCGTTTTGAATATCAACCCTTATAGATCTGATATCTTGAGTTCGCAAAAATTAAATAAAACAAGAAAAAACTGAAAAAGTACATGTATAACAAAATGGAAATTTAGGTCCTAATCAGAAATGTATGAGCCTAAGGATGAGTGCTTTGTATGATTCTTTTCATATATCATTATGGTTAAACAATTCAGTGTCTGCAAGTGTGCCTTGAAGAAGCTGAGAGACATATTTGAGCAGACATCCTTTCTGAAAAAATATGAAGTGGTAGATATCCTAAAGGTAGGCATTTTTGAAAAAAAGAAACTTTATCAAAATCCTTAAAACAATAAGAATTAACCGAACCATTTTCCACCAGTAATTGATTACCTTTATTGTTCGGATCAAGATAAACTACTTGAAAATGACAAAGAATTGTTATTTTGTAAATATTCATTATAAATATTAATACTTAATTTAAAATAAACATAAATAAGATACAATGATTTTTAAATCACATATATATATATTTTTTCTCGAAAATATTAATTTGTTATTTTTGAACGTCCAACGTGCAGACGTGTTTGAAATGCTTTCTACTTTCAGGACCTGTCTTTCTACCACTACGACGAAATGATCAGGATGTCCATGCATCTTTTAAACAGATACTTCTCATCTCATCATCAGCTTTTCAAAAATACTGTTCAAGCTCAGGTAATCAAAGATAAATCAATTGTACTTTTTAATTTTTTGCATCATTGGAAATGAATTATCGGTATTTATATTGGAACATTTAATGAAGCTTCCTCATGCACCTCAAATGTGTACATTTATGATAGAATATTTTTTAAAGTCAAGGATGCTTTGAAGTTTAATTATTTTTTCCCTGCAGCTTTTTTGTTACTGTAAGTAAGGCGCAGATATTCTTTTTGCCTTGCTTGATCGTTCGTAGGAAAAGTAAATAATTCCCGATAATATATTTTATCCCACGTACCACCTGAAATTGGTACGAAGTTTCTTAAAACACTTTTCGATGGTATTAGAAAAGGATTTTTTCCCGCTGTCAGGTTCTTATCACTGACAAATCTAAGGCAGTGATGGAAACCTTGGAGACACTTCTCCCAAGCCTTAGGCGTCTGTCGTCTGCCAAATTAGACAACCAGCAGGCGGAGGAGCTCGTCGCCATGTTGAACAAACTCATATCGTAAGTATTTATAGCGAAAATTTGTAAGATGTAGATATATTCAGTCAAACTTGTCTTAACGGCCACCCGAAATCAACGGCCACTTGCAGTCAGCGGCCACTTTCGGTTCCCCCCGATGATTTTTACTATATATTCTAACTGGAATAAACGGCCACCTGTGTAACGCGGCCAGCGGCCACTCAAATCCTCCCCCAACAGCCTCATTGAAACTGTAATAGGCGGCCATTTCGTCACTTGTTGCGATTCTATCACATCTTTTAAATGTGTTGGCTTGGGTAATTATATCCTCGATAGTCAATTTAACCTATTAATGCAATTAAACAAATTGCTTTTAGATACGCTGAACTCAGTGTTTATGAAAAAAAAAATATTTGTCCTGTTAGATCAATTTGTAATTATTTTTCAAGATCGCCGATTGAACAATTAAAAAAATTTAATTACAATTGATACTTTCCTCTATAGCTAAAGAAATTCACACCTTTTAGATTTTGATTCCATGTGGAAGCCCTAATTGCTACTATGGCATGATTATCTCGTGAATTTCACTATCAGTATCAAGAGAGGATCTATAGGGATTAGTCACGCTCTACTGCATTTGACACCTGTGTTGTTGAATAATTTTAAACTGCGTAAATACATATCTCTGGTCAATTGGTTAATTTTATTTGTGTGTCTATGTATGTTAAAAAGAAATTTCTGACAGCTTTATAAACAATGAAATTAATCAGACTTTATTAACTTCAGCAAGTAAGTTTATTACCGATTAAGGGGGGGGGGGGGTTACACAGCTGACTTTCTAGTATTATGTAAGTGAAATTTTTATCGACATATTCTTACTAAAATTCCTATGCTTTATTTTATTTACCATTAAAATTAAACTGTATTTTTTCTTTATAAAAAGGATAATAGCCAGGCACTGTATGTATTTCTTCAAATGAAAATTAAAAGATTTTTTAATAATTCAATGTAACAAAAGCACACTTATGAATGCAAGATGTTTAACTAATATGTAGGAACAGAAACATGCACAAAACCTTACACATTTCGAAATCTTAAAAATTAATTCTTTTAAAATGAGCTTTAATTGTTATATATACACATACAGAGCTTTTGTGAAATTGAACTGTTTAATTATGATTAATTAATTTAACTGTAGTTCTTAATGTTGTTTATTTATTGACCAAATGTCCTCTTTGAGGGCAAACTGGAATAAGAGGCCACCTGTCTTAAGTGGCCAGTTTCCAGACTTCCCAAAGGTGGCCTCTTAAAACAAGTTTGACTGTACTTGAATAACTGTATTTATGTACAGATCCATGTTCAATTTAGAATATATAAATTTGTGGTATCTCTCCATTATATAAACATACAGAGAACAAATATCTTCAATTCTGTATGAAGTTTGTCAGAGGACAGAGGTCAATACGTGACCTAATCACACGGTGCAATGATCTCTACCTGTACAAAATGACTTGCTCTACTTGCTTTTTATAGAAATGAACAAAATAAGCAAGTAAAATATTAATTTATTTACAATAGAAACGAGTAGTTCATACATTTTTAGGCTATCGATTTAACCTACGTACATAGAGAATATACACATGAAAACTAGCGTTTGTTTACAACTTTTATGACACTTTTGTCAGTTGCACAGTCTCTAACGTTTATCCTAATTTTTGGGGTAGACCTTGTATAAAATTCCGTGAGAAACTATAATATTTTCATTAAATTCTACTCACGATAAATGTATAAATCTGTTGGAAAATATCAAAGCATTGCAATCACGCCACAAAGTGAAACAGCTGACAAACACTTCGGAGTTGTCGTAACAATATAAGCTCTCGCAAGTGTGTCCGTGTTTTCAATATAAATATACCATTATTTATTAAAATCGTAGATTGAATGTTTTTGATTAAATCCAATTGATTGCAAATTAATTGGCTCAGTCAAGTGTTTCCATCCATTCCTTTCTGGCGACCGAAATTCTTCCAACTTTTTATCGTCGATCTTCGAATCGGAGGAGTTTTTTGTGTCTTTTCAGCATCGATTATCAGTTTTCATGAATAAAAATATTCCCAGACAACAATCTGTTTACTATTACCGATCAGATGTAGCCTTTCACAAAATACTACCTTAGAAATAAAATCCTTAGCCTCGTGAATTCGAAGCGTAACCGCCATTCAAGCCGATTTACACCTTGCATCATCTCTCAAAATCTACGTTGGACGGTTAGTGAATAATTTAATTTGAAAATATTCAATTTTCTGTCTCAAATGTATATATAAGAAATAAATAACAAGTTTATATACTTCAATGGGAATTGAAGTGGGTCGGTACGTGATAAAATCTTCTGAGAAGGCCTTCGGCCTTCACAGGATTTGATCACGTGACTGACCCACTTCAATTCCCACTGAAGTTTATAAACTTGTTATGTATTTCTTAATTAAGAAAATCACATATATCACAAGAAATAAGTTTTTCTCTCCAGGGAAGGAGGGGGAAATGTTGCAAAAACACTGAAAATGTTTATTAAAAATATCAAAAACAACAATTTGAGTTACAGTGAGCAATGAGTTCATTAAATGATACACCCCCCCCCCCCAAATGAATATAATGGGAGTGTCCATGTTTTGTTGTGGGACACCCAAAATATGTGTCAGATCAAAAAGTAAAATAAAAGGTGTACAGTGGCAATATGTTATAAAGATTCTGTAAAAGTTTTATCAAATTTCATTTAGTGGTATGAGAGGAGTTGCGGATAAGGGATGAGTATCCCAAAGCGTAACAGACAGCCGGACGGACGGACGTACGGACAGCTAGACGGACAGACGGACATACTGATAACTATATACCCTCCCGCTTTTTAAGCGAGGGTATAATAATGTTTAGAAATTTCAGTTTCACACTCTCAAAATAATATTCCTGATGTATTAAGCTTGCATTATTATTTTATAGAATGTGCCATTTAGAAAAGGAACCCGAAGAAGCGCATGGAATGAATCAAAGCATCTTATATAATCATGGTAATTGTCCATGGATATATAGTAATGGCTTTGATAAATTTATTGATATTCTACTAAATAAATTGCATTCAAATATACATGTATTCGAAAATTAATCTTATTTATAAATGCAATGTAAAGAAAACAGATAAAATGCATCTTATATTAATATTCCTGATTTATTGCTAATTGCAGGCCTGATAGAAGATATGTTTATCATCCTTCAACAGGATATTGACGTTCGCCTTCTGGTTTGTATCTTATATTTTTCATCCTTTTTAATTTCCAGATATAATGATTCATATGAAAATTAACAGATTTTCATATTCTTTTCAATACAGTTAAAATGGCAAATAGTGACATTTAAAACAGAAAACTTAATATAATTTTTTTTACAACTTATATTTCTATCATTCACAAATATATTTTTCAATAAATTTTACAGAACCTGTACCAGTTAAACTTTGACTGCACAGTTTAGCCAAAATATATATTCTTTTCTTTGCTTTTAACTTTATAGGATCAGTACACAGGACAGAAGAAGGTTCTTCAGCGGGCATTTACCCTGCTGAAATTTATGGCTAGAGGCAACAAACTCGTTCAAGGTCGTCTGTTTGACCGACTAGACATGCTTCTATCAAAACGAGGTGCAGAGTCAGAATTGGCAGAATGCATTACAGAGGTAAAGACTCAGGAATTTTGTAGCATCAGTTTGATTATTCTTCTTCAATTACTTGACTAATTGTATTTAAGAACAAATTCAAATTCTAAAGGAATGGTCATGCCATTTCGTACTCTACAACAATTGTTTTATGTTCCTTAGTTCTCCTGCCAAACGAGTGAGCCTGTTTATTGTTCAAAGCAGGCAAAGACAAATAACGTCATGTAAAAGTGAAATATGTCATTTATAAAAGTGACGAAAAAAGTAAAACACAGCTTACAAAATGAGGTTTGGGGGTTTTACATGTATGTAATATGTACAAGTATAATAAATAAAGACTATGAACTGTTCTTTATAGAACCACATTGTCTTACACTTACGCTTTTTGAAGGTGTTTACTGGAAACTCCAACACTTGTATGAAGATCCACTCCTATCAGGTTCACAAGATTATGACATTAGTGTCCATCCATAAAGAAAATGTTCCACAGTTCCTGGATTTGCTAAATGCTGTTGTGAAAGTGGAAGAACTCGATCATCCATTGAAGAGAAACCAAAGTTTTGTCATGCAGTATTTCATGCAATACAGGTCTGATATTGCTCAAGTTATTGACCAAGAAGAAGGGTCAAGGTAAATAAATGAATAATAAATAAATAAATTTAGTACCACTTAGACGTAATTATATTCCCCAAACGAAGTTGGGGAACATATTGTTTTTACTCTGTTTCTTATTATTATTATTCTTATTAAGGTCTTCCGACTTCCTTCGGAAGACCTTATTGTTTTCCGTCGGTTTCCTATTATTATTATTATTATTATTATTATTCTTTTTTTTTCATTTCTATGGCGATATCTCAGCTGTGACTGTACGGATTTCAAAGATTTTTACAGGAAAGATGCACCAGGTTAATATCTCCAGACGTTTTTTTCATATTTCCAAACTTGTCTTCCGTTCGCGATTTTTGGGGAAATCTGTATTTTTTAAATGGATTTTTGTACACAACTTTTCTCGAAAACGGCCAAAGATATGAAATTGAAACTCATGGACATGAAAGACCATCACATGTAGATGTGCCGAACGTCCTTCATTTTTTGTCGTTCCTACTTCTGGTCGCAAACGGAAGTGAATTCAAAAACTCTAATTTTTCAACTTTTTTGTTTTTCAATATTTTTCTTTCGGATTTACAGGGTTTATAGAGCGTCTTCAAAGATATCTATATATGTTTTCATTTTTTTCATGCGTGCGTTTATTGCAAAGATATGACCGAACCAAACTTTGTTTTACTGTCGGGGGTTCGAATCCCGCTCGGGGCGTTCCCCAAATTTTTTCTTTGTTTTTGTCTTTTTTTAGTTGCAAATTACTTTTCACTCTTTTATAACATGTGTGGAAGATTTTGCCGATTTTTAAAAGCTATATTTGGAGATATTTTATGAAATACCTGGAACAATCACGATCTGTGTTGAGAAACTGCTGTAAATGAACGTAAACGAAAAAATACATTATGAAATCTATTTCATGGGATGACGCAGACAAGATTGCAAAAGAGAAGTCGGTCGGAAGACCTGCTTGTTGCACCAGCAACAAGAACGCATCTAGTTATTATTATTTTTCTTCCTGGGAAAATTTTGTACGCGAGTGATCTTGTAAACTACACATCCGACTTAGGTGAAACCTTTTTAGGGTAAGTAGGCATGTTATGTAGATTTGCGGAATCAAGGTCATTTTGCGCGCACGTGCTTGCAAGAGCGCGCACGTGCAAAATTTAAAATGACCAATATATAATGGATATAAATGTATCTTTTCTATTTTGTGACGAAATCTTTTGAAACTTATAATGTAAGGATATATTAGTAGTATGCACAAGATGACATGGTCAAAATAGCAAGATCGCACGCACATGCACGTGCGCTTCGCTCTGATTGGCTGAAACTAAAGTCTCAATATCTTTTTTGTTTTTTTATAAAATCATTTGAAATTTTGAACATAGTCATACATTAGGGAGATCTACAGCCTGTTATATAAAAATTATCATGAAAGCATGTGCATGCACATGTGCTTGCAAGAGCTCGCACGTGCAACACGAGAAATGTCCAATATAATTGAAACAGACGTAACTATTTAAATTATTGATGAAATGCTTTGAAACTCATATTATAAGTATATATTAGAAGCATAGACAAAATGACATGGTCAAAAAAGTAAGATCTCACGTGCATGCACGTGCGCTTCGCTCTGATTGGCTGAAACTAAAGTCTCAATATCTTTCTTGTTTCTTGTCATAATCCTTTGAAATTTTGAACATAGACCTACATTATGAAGATCTACAGCGTGATATATGAGAATGTTCATGAAAGTATGCGCATGCCCGCGTGCTGCAATCTGATTGGCTGAAACTTTAAATGGCTTTATTTCCTTTGTTTTTTGACGAAATGCTTTGAAATTTAAAACATAGTCATGCATTAGGATATCCTACAATATGATATAGAAAAAAAAATCATCAAATCACGCGCATGCATGTGTGCTGCAATCTGATTGGCTTAAACTTGAAATGGCTATAAATCCCTTGTTTTTCAACCAAACAGGATGGGATTTAGAACATAGATAGATATAAGGGACTCCTACAAGAAGGTATGGTCATCATGCAAGTGCAGGCACATGCGTGCATTTGGAACGAGTGAAATGAAAAATACACTTGAAAGAGTGATTTTTCATACTTTTGGACTGAATGCTTTAATACATTGTATATTAAAATATGTAGATAGTGTAGACAAGATGATATAATCATAACGCACATGCATTCACATGCGCACTGGTGCAATGCTAAAATTTGAATATAATTGGTATCCTTCTGAGAAAACGTTGTTAAAGTAAAAAATGCACAGAGTTTGTCTTACTTAATGAAGCTTACAGGGAATATGGCACCAAAAAGGAGTTGGGGAGCGTTTGGGGAACATCTGTAACGGTTCCCGTTACAATTAGCACTAGTTTAACCTGCTTTGAGACCTTTTTAAAACGCTAATATATTGGTTTTTATGATGTTTTCCTTTTTTCCCAGTATACAAACATCAAGTACAGTGAAACATTTATTTTTGTATAGACTGCAAATTTTAACGAATACAGGCGGGCCAGAACTACAATACTTGATTTCTATGGTGGATGTCTTAGCTACATGTGCTGAGGTATGGCTGTAAACAAAATAAAACTTTTTATAAAGAATAAGGATCAAATGATTATTTTTACAAACAAGCAATCCAATTTCAGGCTTTGCATTTTATTGCATCTTATTTCTTTGACATATTCAGAGTTCTCCACATTTGAAAATATAACCATAGAGGAAGCTGCGCGAAGGCGAAATATGGCCGAAAACAAATGCGTGTTTGACATCCTTATCTTCATTAATCAATGATTGGTTTTACAATTTTTAAACTTAACCACTGCAACACAAAACAATGGAATAACTAACATTTTTAAAGTTAAAAAATAATTAAATTGAAAAGGATTTATCCTGTATCTTACTTCACAAATGTACCAAAATTTGCCCCAAACTTTAGTAACCTTGTAAAGGAATTTAAAGAAAAAGAATTTGATAAAGTAAGTCAGTAACCATGGCATCCCGGCAATATTTTTTCAGAAAATAATAATTATAAGAATTGTAGCCTGTTGTATGAAATGTTTTGTTTCAATATAACTAAAACTGATGAATGAATAAGGTAACACAAAAAGGTACATTTGGAGCAGTGTCCCTTTTTTCTAAACGTTCTATTTTTTCTAGATATTGCATTTTTCACCAAGTTTTGTTTACTTCTCCACGTGCCCAGTGCTAAAAATAGCGCCACGCGAGTTTCATAACAACGGGATGTAAACTACGACTATACCGGCGATTAAAACAAAGCATGCTAAGACGGCGACTGAGACGTGGGCCCTATGCACATTTTATCAAAAAGATATAATTAAAAGTTAAAGCTTTAAAAATAGAGCATGGGAAATTGATTAACTACAGAGGAATATTAAATTTTTACAGAGTATTTGACACGTACAGCACTGCATGACGATTAACATTCTCAAAAATTGTCATCTTATATAAACCCGTTATATATCTAATCTAAATGTAGTGAACATGTTGAAGTTCCCCAAAATTATTTACATGAGTACAGGATAATAAACTCTTAAAATATTGATCATCTGCTGATCAGCTGATTGACTCTGCATTGATTATCACGTTTAACGGCAGAGTCGCTGATTAACACGAGTTTGTTTAACACAGTCCGCTTTCCTTCGAGGCATGCGAGATGCATGGTTGTCGTAGTATAAACACAATTAAATACTCAAGTCATTAAAAAAAGTAGGTTTCCGGACTGAAATGCAATAAAATTTAATCATGGCGGCTGCCGATTTTAACCATGGCGCAGCTCGTTTAACCATGGCGCATATAAATTTAACCATGGCAGGCCGCCATGGTAAAACCCCTTGTGGAAAACCCTGCATATTGTATGATCATATTTTCAACGTATCATAGATGATGAAATATGTTTTAGTCAAATTATTAATGAAAAACGAAATTTTAGTTTGAATGTCTTCATTTTTCTTCTTTTACTTTAATTAAATTTTGAATTTTATTAAGTATTTCTATATCAATAACAGGGTGAAAACAGGCACATCGAATCAATTTGTAAAACAATCTTCAGTATCAGAGATCTTCTAAAAATACTGACCAATCAGATGATCAGTAACAACTTCAAACTTCCCTTCCTCCGCTTTTTACTGTGGGTCTACCTGAACACAGCTGGGGGTATGATCGAGAGTGGAGCTGGAGACATGCCCCACGACAGGTAAGAAGCATCACAATGATTTCATACCCCTCATTGTATAAGGCCATCCTTTAGAAATTTTCTGGTTGCCCTCTCCCGATCGACTGACTAAAAATGTCCCGACTCAAAACTTTTTTTTGTACATTCTTAAACTTTTTTTAAATTCCTCTTATACTGTCTACAAGTATGTTTTCTGGACAAAGAAGGGGCGTTTTAGTAAGAAAGAATATAGTTCAAATATTGATAGGGGCCAAAGTTTTTCATAATGAAGAACATAATCCACGAAGAATATAATCCACGAGATAATGTCCTTTATAAATGTCTAATATTTAACTGGGCATTCTTTCCTTTAACGTCCTCAACAACGAAATCAAATTCTTGCAATACAATATTTCTTCCCAAAAGTCGGTAATTCAAGCCCTCTAAAGTAAGTGATATTTCAGATGTTCATCTCTTTTAGGCAAGTAAGGCAATGTAGAGTTTCCTGTGCATATCCCATTGTTTAAATTTGCAAAATTTATTTCGATTCATTATTATTTTTTCCAGCATACATACATAGGAGGAGAATAAAAATTTTAGGCAAAAACCATATAAATTTGCATTATTCAGTGCAATAAATTGTCATTATCAAATTTATTTACTTTTATATACTATAGAAAATATGCACGTATATTTAAATAATAGTTCGTTATCTCTAGAATGTTCTGATATCGATAAATATATTTTTTTCTCTTCAGTTTAATGTGGCAGTATCTTTCTGAAATAACAACGGATCTAGACAATGTAACAAAGTGTGCGAAAGATAATACAGAAAAGACCAAAATGCTTCTAAAATCGCCACCACCAAGAAGGTAACCAGTAACAGCAAAAAGCTTGATTTTTATGGCAATTTTGGAAATTAAGTCTAATAAGTTACAAAAGGTGTACCTAAAAAAAAACAGGAAGTAACTGATTTGAAATTTATTTGTTTACCGATTATTACCCGGGTATAGTGTTTGATAAACTATACTTTGTTTTTATGTTTCAATTTTATATGATACTTTAATTTAAGAAAACAAATAAAACTATATATGAGTAAAGGCTATTTCAGTAGTTTATTTGATTATATATTTTGTGAAATTATCTGTGCATTCGAAATTATTGATTATGTTCAATTGAGAAAAAAAATTATTAAAAAAAATTCAAAAGCATATTTTTCGTAACATTTTTAATTTTCACTCAAACCATTTATTTATTTGTAATTGAATTAAAAACAAACTAATGCAACCTACAGGCAGTAATTCTACGTTTTTCAACATTAAAGCTGTTTAAAATATCCTCATTAAAATATGCAAATCAAGAAAAACAGAAACCAAAAGCGATAATGACTGATATTTAGTACATTTACTTCTTAAAATGTCTACCACATGAAGTACTAAATTTTTATAAAAAATGATTTTATTGGTCACTATTAAAGAGAGTTGTTAGATCAAAATATCCTTATAAAATTTATATAGGTATTTTCTTGAAAATTATCTTTGAATTTTCTCTTTTACAGTAACACCAAAGGGAATAAGGAAGAAGAAACTCAGGGCACGCTACATTATATAATTGACGGAATCATGCCATTTCTACAGGTAGATTTTTTTTTCTTGATTCTTTTGGTGGTGATTTCATTTGGATGAATACAAGTGATTAGGTAAACTATTTATCTCGGATAACTGCGTACTAAATGTAAAAATATGCATAAGTGAGGGTAAAGTCGAGATATATTCATTTAGTTTTTTTTTGAACAGCTCAAGATAATGAAGATTATCTGTCTTTGTGTAATTTACAGACGTTACAGGAAATTGAAAAAAAAATGATACAGTAAAAATGTGAGAGGTACAGAAGAAAAAAAAAAACAGAGATAATCTTTAAAATTGTGTCTCTTTTATCCCAAACATTTATTCATTTCTTCCTTATTCCAATTTTTTAGATTTTCTGTCGCTCATTTTATCAGCCTGATTCGTCCGTGTTTCCAGATGAACCAGAAAAAATGGATAAACTTGCCAATTCATTCAAGGTAAGGAAAGAGGACAACTTAGCTTAACTTAAAAAATATGACAATTACTATGTAACTCAAAAAAGGTTAAAGGAAGATTTAAAGACTATTTAACAAATTTATTTAAGGTACAGCATGACACCAATATCACAACTAAAAAGATGAAACGATCATATTTATAATGCAATAGAGATTGAAGGATGTTGTACACTAATAACTTTACAATGGACTCTTTTTTTCAATTTTACATGATTTTAAAATGATTTGCAGGAATTCATGGAGGTCGTTGCCCCTTTGATATGCATAGAGAGACAGATGAAGAACTTGGTTTCCTGTATGACGTCACTTTTGTCTGCGTCCACACTTCCTGTCAAAGTAATTATAGTATTCTTAAAATTATGGACATGCGCATTGTACCTTACTTACTGATAAATTTTCAAGATATTCCTAATTCAAAATTATAGTGATATCAGAATGTTCGTACACAAAAAAAATCAACATGCATTACCAGCGGTTTTGAAAAGATATCAATTGATGAAAATTCTTGTATAATTAATAGTAAAATATGCCAAAAAATACTTAACGTATATTCAGGAGGTTTTGTTTATGCAGACTGTTTTGGAAGAAGTGTACAACAAAATATAGATATTAAAATTTAGCATACACTTCCTTTAAGTATTATAACTCCTCATCTCCAAAGAAAAAGACAAGGCTCAACAAACTATGTTGCGTTTATCTTAAAGTTGCATTTGAATGCAATTCAATTTCAGTAACCTTAACCAATAAAAAACAGTGGTACATCATTTAAATTGGCATTTCTTCTTTCAAGTTTTTCAATATACTTTCCAGAGAAAAATTCAACACCTTCTATGTTTTGATTTTAGATTATGGAAGAATTTAACGAGAAATATGGACAGACAATGGGATCACATGATATCCGGAGTGATGCAAGGAAGGTATTCCACGGAAACATTTATTATTTGTTCAACTTTTAAGAAAACACAGTGGAATTTAAATAAAAATTTGTCCATGGCAGTTTTTCAAAATCTTGTGTTTAAGCAATGTGCTAATATTAAAATCAATTAAACTATTTGAAGTAAAAATTAAAAAAAAAAGAATTTGTTGAATTTCTTGAATGATACTGAACATTATTTCTATTTTAAGATGAAAACAAGAATTTTTTACAATATTTTAAAATATCAAGATATAAGAATTATACGACTGTTTTCTTTAAATATTTTCCAGTCTTATGAATCTTACTATGAAATGGAAGAAGAGATTAATAGACAACTGAATGTGTTTTCGGTAAATATGAGGGTTGCTTATGGTGGTCCGAATACAATAGAGGCTCAAATTGACTACAATTCGAATGCAGGTCAGTGTAGTATTTATTTTTGCAAGAAAATGTCAACACGACCAGTTTACTATATAATATGCAGATAATATAGATTAGATACAGACATCAAGTGATATGAAAGCGAAATGTCCTTTGACCAAAAGAGTAATTCTGATGCATTTTGGTTTACCTTTTACCCTTGAAAAAGCAAGGATAAAAGGTGAATATCGATTATGATTTATTTCTTATTTACAGTTTATTCGGAGGTCGGTGGAGATGAAGAGCTACCTCTGGGTCAGGAGTTTCAAGATCACCTTAAGTGCTTCATGGATCCTAGCAAAAAAGATCCGATCGAACGTTATCAGATGAGCGAAAAACTCATTAGACAATTAAAGTACGGGTATTTAAAGACAGAACTAAAGATATTTGAATTCTATGACATAAAATTGAAAGAATTAAATTTTGCATGAAATGTACAATTTTTATGTAATTGTGAGTAAAGCCTTGTGTCTTTACGTCTTGGTAAAAAAAGTATTGTGCTTCCAAAATTTTTCTCACATGAATTTTTGAAATTCCACTGAACGGAGTTGTGAAGAAATATGCACACATTTTTTAAGGCGAGAAAATGTCACGAATTATGGACATCAGTACTATTTTAAAATTTACACAATTTATCAAGTAAATCTAATTGAGCAAAAATTGTTGTCAGATAAATGACTTATTACTCGTTTTATTTTAGGTTTATAAAGTTAATAAAGAAACTAACAATTAAATGTTTGTGTTTACAAATACATTTTTTCTCAATAGAATATCAAATCAGTTAACACATCTCAGCGAAAAAGAAAAGCTAGAGCAAGAACAGCTAGATGTTAAATGCCTGCAGCTTCTGCGAGCCATGATTTATAACGAGGTGGTCAAGCTTCCAGATGACTGGGAAGCGGAAGTATCTGCCCATCGGAAGTGAGTCTGATGTGAAAAGATTTTTTTAATATACTATATTTTGATACTTCCTCAGAGGAGACATTTTGGCAATGGTAGTTGAGATGAATTAAAAACATTTTTTGTTCACATTTGTTTTCCCATGTATTAGTGTTTGTTGACGTAAACGTTATACAAATTTCTAAAGAAAAAAGTAAATAACCATCTTAATTTGCAAAAGTACCTTTTTCATGACATCAGAAAAAGTATGTAGAAGTAGATTTCATATTAATTTATATTAAAAAGTACCTTTTTACAATTTTGAATAAGAATGAAAACAAAGAATATAAATTATAAAGTATGATCTTAGAAAATAAACTATTTGTTGCAATTTTAATACAATTAATGCGAACACATTGATACAAATGAAAACTTTACTTTTCATTTTGTAGAAAACTGAAGGCTATTTCTGACGTGCAGGATGCCCTGAATCATTTCGATGTTGTTATCAGCGTCATGGAACACCTGAATCGTCCCCAGGATGATGTGGTCCGGGAAACCCTGTCCTTTATATGCATGCTCCTCTATAATGGAAACGAAAATGTGCAGGTAGAAATATTTTAAAATATAAAGACAATGTAAAAATTGGTCATTGGTTGTTCAGAGACTGCCTCTAGGCACGTAAAAAGCAATCAGATATATACATGTATGTCAACTCTTACTAAGAGAAAAAATAAGAGTTCCTCAAAATAATTTTACTGGAACACTAATGTTTATATATTTGGATAAAGTTATCATTTTTTTTCGTTTTAGACTAAACTTTATGAGTATTTTACTGGTACCCGAGAGGAGTCGTTTTTCTTTACCTTAAAGGCTCGTATGCAGATGTCCGCCATTGCAACACGAGAAAAGTATTTTTTGTTATTTGTTTATAATTACAGATTTCTTTTTTTTTCATAATTCGGAAGTATTAAATTCAGACAATGAAAAGGTACAGTTTTATGACTGATTTTTTTATCACGACAGGCGGCTGCTGCACGCGATGTACCAGTCAAAAGTCGATGAGGCAGTCCAACAAGCTAAAGCTTTACAGAAAGCAATGGCTTCCGGAAAAATGGCGCAATTGGTAATTTAATCTATTTTTTACAATTTTGATTTCATTTTCTTGACGTTTGAACTATTTATGCAAGTTAACAAAAGTGATCAGTTTCTCCGACCCTTCAATGTACAATTAAACCCTAAAACCATAATAAATTCTAATAATGGATTACTTGAATAATTCAGGAAATATTAAAGGCCAATAGAATCGGATCTATGATGTCTATGGCAAAAAGATCAATGGCACAACTCCGTCCAGGAAATAATATGGTAAGATTTTATAATAATTTTTTTTACTTGAGCAGTTTTTGAAATTCTTGTTGTGAAAGAAAGCTTTTAAATGGTATAATTATACATAATGTATTTCCACAGCTTGCTTTGCCTGGATCTTCTAGGCCACCATCGCGATTCGGCTCCAAAGCTAAACTCGGCGGAGGTTTCAGTCGAGAAAACACGATGATGGGTAATCTTCTTCTTCAGCCCCCAACACTGAATGTAAATGGTGTCCAGAAATCCTCACTTCAAGTAAATGGCATTCCAAATGGCTTCTCTAATCCAAAATCAAAGGTTGCACCGATGGAAGATCCTCCTGAAGTTCAAATCGAGGTATGAATATAAATTGATTTTAACTAATGCATAATGATGGATTGTATAAAGCTACACTTCCAAGAAAAAAAATACAAATTAATGCATTAGAAATTGAGCTGATAAACCTGCCTTTTCAAAATGCTAGAAAGCTTTAAATATACTTAAGCATTCAAGACAGGAGAGAATAATATCAAAAAAGTAAAATTCACATATTGTTAATTGCAGAAAGTAGACGATGAAGAATTGAAAGAGTTAATGGGAGCCGCTATGAGTATGACGGGAGATTTCACGTTCAGAGATGACGGCTACATAGAACTGGTACTTCGTATGCTGGGATTGATGTGTGATAACCAGCACTTTGAACTTCAGGTAAAAAGAATAACGTATTCGGGGAGGGGGGTGTTTATGGGGATACTAATTATGGTGTTTTTGGTAAATCTTATATTTAGAAAAGGTTCAATGGATGTGAAGTTATGTTAATCAAAATTTGATACGGTTACGGCGGTGACAAATTTCTTTGGTAAAGGTGACACTCAAAATCCTGGCCCATTACTCCCCATCAAACAATGATGATTCCATATAACGTAACGTGTTTTTTAATTTGCTTATTTTAGAATTACATACGAGAGCAATATGACAACATCAAGTCAGTAAACCTCGTGGCAGAAACAACAAAGTTCCTCAACATCCTATACTCTAACATCAATGAGAGAACAATGCCATTAGTGGTGCAGCTCTTTGACACATTGGTGGAGTTCACATCGGTAAATCTTTATTTTATTTTTATCAATACATGTTTAGATTATGTACGAATGTTCAGTCCTTTGAATTTAAAATGTCAAATTTGCAAAATGAATAATGCCTATCATATGCAGTGAATCTATTTATAGGGCAATAAGAAGAACCAGTCGGTAGTGTTTGAAAACAAGGTTTGTGATTACATCAACCACATACTGAGGACAGGCCATTTTCCAGGTTGTGGACTTAAAGAGGTAACTGTTAACAAACTTCATCAAATCAATTCATTTTTGCTCACATGAGTCAATCAGTTGACGCTTTCCTCTCTGTTTTCATCCGTCGTTGTTCGTTGACTATTTGTACATTTCTAGCTTCTCCACTGAAACTGCTTGACAATTTTTCACCTAATTTGACTATATAACATTAATTTGCGATGGTAGATGAAAGGTGAAATTTTTATGGCCTCTTGGTGTCTAAAAAAGAGCTAAACTATAAAATCACATAATTATATCTTCATCCATTGGTTTACTTTGCATTATTTTATACTTAAGGGGATCATTTAGAATTTTGAATTTAACTCAGGTAACCGGTAAGGCCCTTAGATATCTTGTAATGTATTCAATAAATCAATAAAGATTTTTGAATAATAATTGTTTCAGGAATATATCTTGAAAAGGTCTATAGCAGTGTTGATACGATCTCTGACAGAAGAAAATACCCCGGATGTAGATGAAGAAATCATGGCAAAGGTAAGGAAACATGAGTAGACAGATCATTACGTTCATAATTGTAAGTGTTATGAAATGCTAAGGGATATACGAGGATTGTCCGTAAAGTTCGTGGACAACATTGATTAGTTACTTACAAACTTTGATAAAATATACTAAACTATTATTTTTATTAAATTCATGTTTTATTTTCTTAATATGCAAGTTTTTAACAAAAGCAAAGCGCAAATAGTTATTTTTTTTATCAAATAAAAAAGACATACTCATACCCGGAGCACTAAAACGCAAAATACAAGTGAAATTTATAAAGTGATATATAATTTTTTAATTAAATTTTGCAGTGCTCCGGATCACCATCCCAAAGCCAATCATGAAGCCAAGATTTTCATTATACATTTGAAATTGAAAATAATTTTACATTTTGAATTCACATAAAGTAAAATATTTTAAATATGCTAATAATAAATATCAATGACGCAATTTTTATTTAAATTTTAGCTTCCTCGCGAACTTTACGTACAATCCTCGTAAGTTTAAGTTGAAAAATATAACTCTTGAACCATACTTGTCTGTTTAGAATGTTTTAAATACCGAAACTCGCCATGAACTGAGCACAACCCAGGTAAGAGTTGTCACCCTTTGAACTTCCTTTGTAATTGTTCAATGAAATCATTGAGAGTTCTTTTCCGATTTCTCCGGAAAATACCGAGCAATGTTTCAATTGAACTTCTTAAAGGAGTGACTATGGTCTTTGATATTAAAAATAATTTCAAAATATGATCTTAATTGGGTTAAATTTAGTTTCAAAGTGTAGAAAGTAAATGTCAAGAAAGTGTTGGATGTGTTTCAGGAAGATTTTCGGAATCCTTCCTTACCCATAAAAATTCAGAGACCATGGATCCTTTACATTCATTTTTTCAGTGTGTGCTAGAAACAAATGTTTTTAATGCCTATCGTCTGTCTGTTCAAATCTCCCCCAATGTGTTTTATATTATCCATGTTTCCTTCAACAGTGCAAAGCCGAGGTAACGGGCTTTAAGCTACAAGATGTTTTTGCCGTTTGTTTTATTTATTCCTTTTTCAACATTAGTACATGTCTATAATCCTTGAGTGTTTTCACTTTTGTACTAAATGTATAATCATGCAGGTTTCGGGAAGATACACTGAACAAATGCATGTGTACTAGTATATGAATTTTTGTTTTCAGTTATTAAAACATTAATGAATGATATGAGGAAAAACGTAAATTAATTCTTAGATTAAATGAAATTGGAGACTTTTTTCATTTAATTAAATACAAATGCATTTTAAAATAGCTATGCTTTTAGCATCATGTACAATATATTTGAATTTTATATGCACAGGAAGTAATGGAATATCTGGATGAGGACCATTGCGTCAACACGATGACAGAAGCCTATTCTCAGATCATGGTAAAAAAATACGTACCTTTTTGTAAAGATTCATGTAATTTTGAATACATACCTTACTATTTGTGAACTTTTTGTATAGAAAGAGATATTAAGCCTGATTATTTTGTTCATTGTTTTTGCATTAGGGTATGAATAAATCTCGTTCATCTAAGGTATAAATTTTTTTGATTATTCTTTTTTTATTTTTCCCATTGGTGGCACAACACAAATTGTGCGTTTTCACAAATTTGAGTCTTTGGTGACACGTATGTGCTTCCCGTTGAATAAACATTACTTTGATTTAAAGAATATTCATTAAAATGAAAATAAAATTAAAAAACAAACATCAATAGTTTCTTTTATGTGCACTAAGAAAAAAATTTAACTTAGAAATAATTATAATCTAACTCTACAATTCTGAATAAATTATTTTATACAATTTTAAAAATACAAAAAATGAACGATTCTTGAGAAAACTGCATTCATTCAGGTACATGTACATATAAATTTGCACATAACAGCTTCAAGAAGTGATACTTTATGGTAAATGAATTTCATCAATATATAAAACTATTGTAAGAGTTGTAAAAACGCATATTCAGATATAAGGTATCATGCTCATGACACTTCGCTTAGATGATTGTTTAACATTATTTGATTTTTTTTTTACTAATTCATCACGCTGCATTTTGTTCTGAAAGATAACTGATAAAGAATTTTCCCTAACTCTATTACACCATTTGATATTTGTTTCATATTAATATAAATACAGTGCTTGGTAAAACAATTATCAATATCAAATTTAAAATTCAGTAATTGATTCTGCAACTTTTTATTACGCTATTTATTTCGTAAATAATTTCAGAATGATCGCAGAGAATTTGAGGAACTGTATGATTTGATCGAGAGTACAGGCTTCGCTTACTTTCATATATTGTGCCGGGAAATGGATATGGATCCTGATTTAGGGAGAGACAGTATGTTTTATTATAAAAATTGATCTACATTGTTTAGTAAATAGAACCAATAGCAGATCTATATTGATTGTGCACAGGGTATGTTAACCGTTAGATAGTAACTCTAACAGACAGAAATATGCTGGAGTATTTGGTTTTTTTTAAAAACATCACAGCCATATTTTTATCATTTTATTGGGCTATCGTTTTGTATGTGTTTTTTCTTAAAATTAAATTTTAATTCATAAAGGAATCTTTAACCTTAGAACAGATGCTGTAGCATGACATGTCTCCTTTAATTGCCTTATTCATAATATAATTTAATTTCTCTCTGTATTTTCTAACTTACAGACTTGGTGAAAACAGACATACAACGAGCGGCTTGGGATTACTATGCGGCAAGTAGTTTGTCCATCGAGATTTTGAAAGACGACGCCTTGCAGAAAGTTTACTTTCGTGTCAAAGATAAGGTAGGCATATAAAATGTATTTTTTTATACGAAAGCCCAGAAGGCTCATTCGAGATTCGAGTTTCCAAATACGAGATTCGAAATTCGAGATTCAAAATTCGAAATTCGAGATTCAAAATTCGAGTTTCGAGATTCAAGATCCAAACGAACCAATCAAAAGCGGGTTCAACATTTGATTATTTCCCTTTATTATGTTTTTACTATCAAGAAATAATTCAATATAATTATATCAAATGGGTCATTTTATTAAATTACAATGCAAGAAAAAGTGTTATATATATTAGAGGGAAATTTAAATAATTAATGGATTTTTGATCCGCAATGAATATTTCAATTTATATTATAGATTCTTAAATATTAAATAGATTACATATATCAGGAGTATATAATTATATTTTTGTATTGATGACAAATTACCGGCCGCCAGGAGATGGTCGGTTTATGATATGAATGTTCGAAGTCGCTGTGCGTTTCTGCGGAGTTAAAACAATTTAAATAAAAAATATTTAACATTAATATAATAGTACATTAAAAAGACGGTATTAAGGTTGAAGAAAAACGCACAATAAACATAAAATTAAAAATTCTTATGAAGAATGAGGTAAATAATTCATCCAATACTGACTTAGAAATTTAGATATGTTAGAAGTGCGGAGAAAATTAAGACATGAGTTGGGCGTAGTCTAAATCAAAGACCGCGTTATGTATATTACACAATTTTACTTTCTCTATTCAAACGGGATTTGTTGTACGTATTTATTTTAAAATGATGTGTACATATGTACACATATAAACATTTTGAAAAATATGGTTAAATGTAAATTCATTAAAAGACTTAGCAGGCTACAAAATATTACAAGATTTGGCCCTTAGCAGACGAGGATAATGCACGTTTTACAATGTGCCAAGAATTTTCCCGCTACAACTCAAAGAGAAGAAATGAAGTGGCGGATCTAGAGGGAGTTTAGTTTTTTCCTCTAAGAGAGAGCAAGGATACCAACATATTTGCTGCATTTTTATTAAATTAAACTACACTGCATATCTAGTTGTAGATTACATTTAATTTTAGTTTTAAACTTTTAATGTAAATGCCATACAGGCCAACGGTTCAAAAGTTGTTGACGCAGAGTACCAGGGGTTAATACTGAACATGCATTATATAATTAAGAAAATCATGCAATGTAGAGCACAAGCTTTTAATATCACGAGGATATATATTAAAAGATAAATATAAGATATTTTAAAAACAGACCACCATATTCTTTAGTTGCTTCATAAAAGGAACATTAATTGGTTTGCGGCCGATTTTTGACGCTTACGTCAATACATGTTTCTTGTCTTAATTTTTAGAAAAACACAGGTACGTGTGGACAAGACCCCCCCCCCCCCTTGATATTGAACCCCGGGGCTTATTTCTCTGTTATGTGTAGCCTTACAATACGAAAAAAATCGCTGGCGTAAAACCCCCAGAATAATCGCTCAACCAAAAAAAAAAAAACAAAAACAAAAAAAAACACTATTTATTACCCCACTTTACAAGAAAGAAAGCTGTTTACGGAAAAAATGTGGGATTATTACGTGATGCAGAGTCAGTCCGATAGCATGGACTAAGACAGAAATCAGTGGCAGATTTAAGGGGGGGGGGCGCACCCGGCGCGCGCCCCCTTAAAATTGTCCAAGTTAACATAAAACATAGTTTGTCGAGAAAATGTTTTAAATGTCTACTCGGTAGACCTCATTTTTACCCTACAAAACCTCTAGAATCCAAGAGCTTCCGGGGCCTTCGCCCCCTGGGCCCCCACCAGGGCTTTGCCCTGTACCCACTGCGGGCCTCAAGGCGGCCCCCAGACCCCCTGCCTGAATCTGGCGCCCCCTAACTTCAATTCCTGCCCCTGGAAATACATTGTATATGTAGAGACAGTGTGAATCGACATATAAAGTTAAAACAAAATAAATGCATTTAACACCAGTGGGGGTACAACGTAAACAGACTGGAGTGGCATATCCTTCTCTTATAATGTATAGTGGGTATTTGGGGGGGGGGGGTGTTGAGCGATTATTCTGGGGATTTTACAATTTTTTATTGTATACATGATGAATAAGTTTAATAAATAAAACTTGTGAAAAAAGTGTCCAATAAGCCCTAGGGTTGAATATCGAGGGGTGGAGGGGGGGGGGGGGGGTGGTACCTTTCACAAGTACCTGTGGTTTTCCTAACACAGGAAATGCATAAGAATTAAGTTTTGTAGACAATTCAAAAATATATATACTCCTGATATATGAAATCTATTTAATATTTAAGAATCTATAATAAAAAAAAAATTTTTTTTGCTGATCAAAATTCCATTAATTATTTAAATTTCCCTCTAATATATATAACACTTTTTCTTGCATTGTAATTTAATCAAATGACCCATTTGATATAATTATATTGAACTATTTCTTGATAGTAAAAACATAATAAAGGGAAATAATCAAATGTTGAACCCGCTTTTGATTGGTTCGTTTGGATCTTGAATCTCGAAACTCGAATTTTGAATCTCGAATTTCGAATTTTGAATCTCGAATTTCGAATCTCGTATTTGGAAACTCGAATCTCGAATGAGCCTTCTGGGCTTTCGTATTTTTAAGACCTTTAATTATTACATATTTAGCAGCAGGAATGATTGTTTGTCATGAATATTATTTAAGTTATCACTAGTAATAGAATTTTTTTAATATTCATATCAATAACAATAAAAGATATATATTTTTTATTCCTTTAGAACGTGCTTAGAGAAGAGATCAAAGAAAAGTTTAAGTATGAGGTGGACAGAACGTCCCCGAGTAACAAAATCAGGGATTTCATGGACTGGGCTAGCGACATCATTCAGGACATCAAATATCAACGAAAGATTCACTCCAATATTGTCGGAAGGATATTACTCAAGATGTGGTAAGTTACAATAAAAACCAGAGTTTTATTAAAATTTTATTTGAAGAAAGTAGCATATCTTTTGTTTCAGGTCATATTGCAATACGTTCCACCACGATGTCGAAAAATGGACATTTTTGTACATTTTGATTTAGCCCTATTCAAATATTTGCTATTTTTTTGAAGGTTTGCTGTCAGGAATTATTATGACTTTTTAAGAGTGTTCACATGTCATTTATGTACTGAACAATATAACGATGTTTGAACAATCCGGGATTTCCCGTCTTCCTCATCGATTGTTGGTATTTTATAGGCTTCCCATGAACTATATTGTCCTCCTTCTAAGTTTCATCATTAGCTGTGTCATCATGGTGACGTGGAGAGACCCCAAAAACGCGGATGGAACTTCTAACACGGGGAGGTAACCTTTTTTCCTATTCCATTGATAACGAAACTATTTTTTGATGGAAAAAATGTTAAATTTTAATTTTCGTTCCTTGTAGCATAGTTCCGGAGTTCACCATAAATAGCAATACGTACTATCTGTTCTTGTACATATGCGGAGGAATACACAACTTCCTTAGTCTGTGTATGTTGGTGACCTTTTTGATTTCTAACCAACCTACGTTCCCGCCATACAACTGGCTCAAAAAGAAATTGTGAGTTTTCATGATCACTTTGTGTCTAATTTTAAAGGAGAGGGAAGAAATCTTCCCGAGGATGAGATTGAAAAATAAAGCACTTTTTAATTATTAACAATTGTATATGTTTTCTGCCATCTTTTTCAGATCGTCTAATGATGACGATGATGATGACGTCAGATCGTGGCATGAAAAGAAAGACCAGTCACATCTTGAGTTTGAAATTTACAACATATACACAATTTATTATTTCGTAAGAAACTATTTGAATTGTATAATGTGTATGATTGATATCGATCCATATAAAAAATTAAGTATTTTTTTTCAGAATATTTGTCAATTGAACGATAACACGTCTAACTAATCGATAAAACAATTATTTCTAATAAGTATAAACAATATATACTTGTTAATCTCGTTTTGGACGAGCGTTCAAGCATGATATTCTAACTTAATTTTTTTTTAAATACCTCATCTAATTCTTTGTTTTTTAAATTTGTAATAATAACATAAATAATTTTTGTTAAAAAGAATAAAAGATTTTTTTTATTTTGCCGCATGAAATGATAACATTACTTATCTTTCAGCTTGCCTTAATAAGATTCATTTCCTCTTTTCCAGCTGTTTTTCGTGTGCTCCGTTCTAGGCACCATTTACTACGGGTATTTCTTTTCATTCCACTTGCTTCATTTGGCTGAATTAAATCAGCTACTGAAGAGGGTCAGACTGGCAGTCACCACCAATGGTAAGATACTGTAAATTATTATGAATTGTAAATATGTTCACTTTGTGCATTGTTCAAACTCTCGTATGATATTTTACTAAAGAAAAACACAGTTTTTAAATCATTAACGTAGATTTTTAGCTGTGGAACTTAACTGTAGGTCACAACATTTCTGATGTAAAATATTTGAACTAAAGTAATTTGTTAGGTGTAAGCATGATTAAATTTAACAAATCTTATACTACTTTACGAAAACATTTTAAAGAAATATAAGCGAGTTTGAAATTTCCTTGAGCAAAGATCTACAGTAATAACGGGAATGAAAATATTCGTGCAGATAATAATGTAATTATCAGAATGTATTTTTTTTTAGATTCTGGTATTTTAGAACACACTTTATAATGATTTCCGATATATGAAATGGTATTATACGCTTACTTTTCAGGTAAAGCATTGTTGATGGTTGCCCTTCTTGGTTTGGCTTTATTTTTCTGCTACTCGTTGGTGGCCTTTGCTGTGTTACGAGAGTCTTTCTTCCAGGAAGCGTCCGGACGCCATTGTCGAACCGTTTACCAGTGTTTTATCACGATGATTCACCACGGCTTCGTTGACACACCTTATACAGTATGCCTTTGTTGGAATCTTTTCTTCATGATAATGAGGAAATGTATTATTCAAGAATATCGTTTTGGGTACTTTGCGATAAAACTTATCTCAGCAAAGTGAAATAGATAACATATATTATGTCAAACATGTAAGTAATATTGAAAAAGAGAAGATGCAAAACGTATTTCATTCCTTACATTATATAAGTATTGCCAGAGTTACATTTGTGTGTTGATATTTTTCCAGACCTTTGAAGGTATAATGACGTCTGACTATACTGACGTTATCATGGTGACGGTATTTGATGTGACGTTCTTCATTCTAATCACCACTATCGGGCTGAATATCATCTTTGGTATCATAGTGGACACTTTCTCACAGCTTAGAGATGCCAAGGTATGTATTTCCTACCCTTCCCCTCTCTCTTCACATATACACTTTCAAGAACATACATCCCAGTCGACAGCAAGTTTTGAAAAATTTTATTGCCCCAACTAAGCGTTTGTTTGACATATCAGTCAGAAATCAACCATCATTATTTTCACGATGCTTCATCTTTTTTTTACAGTGGGAGATTGATAAAGATATGATGAATAACTGCTTCATCTGTAGCAGGGAATCCTATGACTTTGAGAGACATGGCGGGGTAAGCATTATAAAATAAATCTTGAGAATAGAGTTTTGATATTATTTAGTTATTTAAAAGTATTCAAACAGATAAATATAGCACATGCAGCAGGTACAGTCTTAATGCCTTGAATTTGTTTTTAAGAACCCTTTAAAAATATGTTTTTGAAAACGTGCAAACTTTTAAAAATAGTTTGCTATGGTATCACATTTTTATTGGCTACAAAATATCAAAAGGAACAAAGAAATATCTCTTGCTGTATTGTTAATTGATCATTATCTATTTTTTAGATAATAAGCATAAATATTACAAACCAAAATCCTACTTTGCTTTATATGATAATAAGTATAGCCACTAGATGGACATGCCTGAAAATCATGTTAGTATTAGCTGTACAATAAAATGAACTAAAATAAATCCTCGGGTTCACATGTTAACAGATTTATTTTTTTCATGCAAACATACGTTTATTCCAATGAACGTAGACAACAGACTTTCTTTACAATGTTTTTTTATTATAAAGTGACAGTACTTATCTTAATAATATATAAAATAATTTTATATTTGTTCTTATCAATGCCTTAATTGATAAAGCTTCTATATGTACTTTAAGATTACAAAACTGAGTTCCCTTTTTTTTCATATAAACCTTTTCGTGAATTTCTTTATGAAATGTTACTTGTAATCATTTCTTTTATGCTCCATTTGCACGATATCTTATCTCAGATGGAAAAAAATAAAAAAGTTATTTGTTTAAAAATCAAAAAGATTTTTTATCTTGTCCTAAAGTGAAATGAATACAAGATATTTACTGAACTATTTTAGGTTTTTTTATGAAAATCCAAGTTTTTTTCTTTTCCTGAAGTGAATCTAGTACAAGTTGTTTATGGAATGTTTTTCAGGGTTTTGAAAAACACGTGAAAACAGAGCATCACCAGTGGTCCTACCTGTTTTTCTTTATCCATCTGACGGAGACCCGTCCTAACGATTTCTCCGCCCTGGAGCTGTTTGTTTATAACCAGCTTGAAAGACATATTTATGATTTCTTCCCCCTGAATCGAGCTCTCAGTCTACAAAACGAGGAGGACTCGAATGAACGAAAAGTGGAGATTTTACGTATTCAAGTAGATTACATGGTCAACAAAATGAAGGAAGAGGTGAGGATAATTTTTATATATGCTGCAAAGTTGAAGTATGAGAAGCCAAAAAAAGACATAAGAAGAGAGAAAATAATAACTGCACTCCATGCATTACTGGAGTTAGCTAGTGATTCAGATAACTATAATTATAATTCTTAAAGTATTAGCTGTTCGAGTGAAACAAGATAATACAAGAAACAATAATAAAATCCAATTATTTAACGTGACTTATGTTATCATACAGCAGAAAATATGCAATAGATGATCTTAATTATGACATGTTTTGGATGAAATTCTAGGCTGCTGAAAAGGAAAGGCAGAAAGAGAAGCAACGCCAGCTGGCCTGGGAGGCGGAGCATAAGGCTCCAGCGACCAGTAAGGTGACTCGAAAGACTCCGAAAAGTGCTAAGCACAGATAACCAATGAAAAGATCAGTTACAAAAAATCAATAAAAGACATCTTTACAAGAACATTCAAAAGTAACAATGAAAGGATCTTCTACAACTAAAGAACTCCATATGCAGTAACTAAAGGAAAAGATAATTCTATTTGAGGACACATTCCAGATTTATATAACGTCAGAAGAAGAAAGGAAATTTCATTTTTAAATTCAAATGAATATTCACATTTATGTAATCTACCCACAGATAGTGTCAAATGGAATTCCGAAAGATCTCTAAAGGTTAGAATGAAAAGAATGAAGTAAACACCAGGAATTTTGAATGTTATCTGGTTTTATTTGTTCTATAAGAACACTTTGTTGTTATTTTATTTCAATATTCTTTCTTATTCTTTCTTATATTGTCAACACAATCAAATGCTTTTTTTTAAATTATTTATTTATTATCTTAAAAAGTTATAATAAACTGTTTTGCTTTTAATTTTGTTTATTGAGTTTGTTTTTCAAAGATTTGAGATGACTGCTTCGATCGTAAACTCATCATTTCTGATAGAAAGGGCACCTGCTATTATAAATAATAATCTTTCCATAAACTTTTGTATCTTATGTAAACTCCTCTCAAGTTCTCTTCTGTAATGACCGCTTACGATGAAGTTTTCGAAAAGATCACGATGTTTTCTTTGCTGGAAAGGATTTAATTTTGAATAATTTAATTTTAGTTGTAACACGTCATTTGATTGGGTAAAAGATGTTATCAATTTTTGTATAACATAACTTGCCTACGTCACAATGAGTTACGTCAAAAACCTTCAAATTTTAAAAATGTGCTTTTTTGTTTTTCCGGAATAATTGACCACTGAAATTTAAAATGAAGTTATTTCAACTTAATGATCATATAACATAACTTGAGCAGTTTTCTTTTTTATAAACCGCTGGAAAGGATGTTATATCGATTTAATTAATTACTTGAAGAGACATGTCCAGAACCATTCAAAATTTTCTTTTTAAGAGCCACCGGGACAGAAAAGACAACAGCTGGTAACTTTTCCTTGTTAGTAAATAAAGCTCTCATGTTGTTAAATATCGAATGACATTTTTTTCATAAAAATTATAAGGATACTATTTTGACACTGAATTTTCTACGTTTATCCGATCATGACAATTACAAGGAGCACGCGTGGGATGTTTTAGGTCGATGGCGGATGCTAACTTCTTCCTGGGGCAATAAAACGTAGATGAGCTCATGTTTGATCTCAGTCTCACTCTTACTAAAGGAATATATAATGAAAAGTGAGACTGAGATCAAAAGAGGGCTCATCAAACTTTTATGGCCCCTAGGTCTGATCTCGCCTATAGGGGTTTTAAGGGTTCGTGTTTTCTCTGGTCCTAATTTGTACCGCGTTCCAATAATTTCTTTTAGTTTTTTGATAAATTTATTGTTATCGGTATCATTGATTATTGTGAAGATCTGAGTTTGATTTCTTCATCCTACGAGCTCGAGATAGAAGAGGTTTGTTTTAAATAAGCCAGTTGAAAAGATTTTCAAGGATAGGCTTTTCAGACTTTTAAAAGCAGTCGTAGATGTTCTAATGACAAAGCAGCATACCTATGTTGGATCATACAAATTTTTACAATGCTGTTCCGTTCCAAGAATGGTAGTCCTAAATGTTTTGATATTCATGGCCCATGGGCCTCTTGTTTAATTATATTGCGAAAGTTTTCACAGATATTGTGAAAAAAAGAATGTTTACGCCTTGAAAGGTGTTTCAAAACATTGTTTATATGTTTACGTCACAGAACTACATGATTTGGACAAAATAAACGTAAAACACAGTTGTCAGTGGTTTTTATTGTTTTCATTCAAAATAATCTGTATGTTTGATGTGTCTGTGTCTGGTACATTTGTCAAGACAGTTGATGCAAATCAGTAACCACTGTGGTAGACGTAGATCACAGACTCCCGTCAGATTACACACGTACTATAGGGAAAACCTTCATGAAAGATTGCTTTATGTGTGGTCTAGTGGACATATTGATTAAGAAATAAGAGAATTATGTTTAATCTTAATTTTCTATTAAAAGTAAAATGTATTAATGGTAGATTGAAGTTGAATTAAATATATGGAATGAGCCAGGTTGGTTGATGTCTGCGTTCAAGTCTTGGAAGAATTTTTTTGAAGCTAGATTCAGTGTTACCTTAATTCCGAAAGCTTGTATTGATCTTGTTTGACTACAAATTGATATGTCCAGCGTAATGTCGATTCCTAGTAGTAGGGGATCCAGTGACTGAATAGTAGACCAAGCATTATAATCGCTAAAATAGTCAGTAATCTTCTTCGTGTCCATCTGCAAAGAGTTGAAACACTGTGTCCGCTAAAATGCCGGTAAATTACGCCTAAATTATTGGAATAGTACCTTTTTGGAATAGCAGACAGATCACCAAATTTTACACCCGCCAAGAAAACCCGCTTTACGGTATATTTATGTTCCCCAGGTTGGGGAACATTGTTTTTATCTGTTTCTTATTATTATTATTATTATTATTATTCTTTTTTCTTCTTATTTCTTCTCCGGACTTTTTTTGTCCGGAAGTGTTCTCAGAAACTGTTCACCAAACTAAGTTAAAACCTTTTTAGGGTTAATAGGTGTGTTGTGTAGATGTGATGAACGAAGGTCATTTTGCGCGCATACGCCTGCACGTGCGGGCGCGTGAAGTGAGTTAAATGACTGATATACTTAATATAGCCATAACTTTTACATTTTTTGATGAAATGCTTTGAAACTCATTACATGAGGATATATTAATATTGTTAATATAATGACACTGTCAAATTAGACCGAACTCACGCGCGTGCACGTGCGCTTTGCTCTGATTGGCTGAAACTAAAATCTCAATATCTCTTTTGTTTTTTGATGAAACCCTTTCAAATTTTAAACATAGTCATGCATTAGGATATCCTACAATATGACATATAAAAAATTTCATGAAATCACGCGCATGCACGTGTGCTGTAATCTGATTGGCTGAAACTTTAAATGGCTATATTTCCTTTATTTTTTGACAAAATGCTTTGAAATTTAAAACGTAGTCATGCATAAGGATATCCTACAATATGATTTAGAAAAAAATTCAAGATATCACGCGCATGCACGTGTGCTGCAATCTGATTGGCTGAAACTTTAAATGGCTATATCTCCTTTGTTTTTTGACGAAATGTTTTGAAATCTAAAACATAGTCATGCATTAGGATATTCTACGATATGATTTAGAAAAAAATTCTTGAAATCACGTGGATGCACGTGTGCTGCGATCTGATTGGCTGAAACTTGAAATGGCTATAATTCCCTTGGTTTTCAACCAAACAGGATTGGATTTAGAACATAGATAGATATAAGGGCCCCCTACTAGAAGGTATGGTAATCATGCACGTGCACGCATTTTACAAAAATACACTTGAATGAGTTATTTTTAATACTTTTGGACTAAATGCTCTAATATAAAGTATATTAAATATATAGAAAGTGTAGACAAGGTTATATGATCACTACGCACGTGCATTCACATGGGCACGCGTGCAATGTTAAAATTTGAATATAATTGGTATTCTTTTGGGAAAACGTTGTTAAAGTCAAAAGTGCACAGATGTTGTCTTATTGAATAAGGCTTACAGGGAATATGGCACCAAAAGGGACTTGGGGAGCGTTTGGGGAACATCTGTAACGGTTCCCGTTACAATTAGCACTAGTATCATTTGTAGGTACTTAGGAAGACAATATCAATTAAAGTCATTAGCAGAAGAAGGTCCTCCACAACTTTTCACTAGAAACACATTTTGCACATTCCATGCATTCATGAGCAAAGACTCTTTTTGGTCTGCTACGCTTCTAACAGATTTGTAGAGATAACAACTATTTGACTAAACCTGTGGCCGGTATTTGAGTAAGGGCAAGAATTTTTACAAAAATGATAGATTTAACTTTTGCAACCGCTAAGTACATATATCGCCAAAGAGTTGATTATATCTGTTCAAGTGATCAATTTCCTTTCAACGTAAATAGTGTTATTTGGATTGATATACATGTATGTTAAGGGAAAATTCAGCAAGTAAAATTGTCTAGTTTCCGATTCTATTTACTTTCACTTGCTTGTTATATGTACTGGACACTTAATAAAATATTCTCACAATACCATATTCAAGGTGTTTTATGTCAAGGCAAATAAATTTAATTAAGTGTTAGTTATATTGCTGTCTTCTTTCTGTTTTTGTCCAGCAAGTAGGCGTTGTCATTGAATATGAAATGAAATATTATATTTAAGATGAAATTGTGTCCAATACAATCCTGCAGAACAGGTAAATAAATTAATTATCATAAATAATTGTTTTACTTGCAACATGTATGTAAACAACATTGAAAAATGGTATGCGGTATAAAACCTGCGAAAATGCTCATTTTTTGCGTCACAATTCATTTAACATGTGTGAAAGGGAATATTAATTAAAAGTTCAACACACGATCTTGTGGTTGTGATGGACGAGTAAAAGACATTAATTAACGGTAAAGTAAATAACAAAAAAAAGGCACAGGTAGTGCGAGGTTATTGAAGCGGAACCATTAAGGTTGGACAGAAACACACACCAATGAACGTAATAATACCTTAGAATTTATGCAAACTGGCAATCACGAAAATTCAAAACGACAGCCGTAACAAAGGAGCGATGACCTAGAAGGTTTTCATATTATACAAAGTCATATGGTGATTTCAACCAGGTTTTCTTCTAGAAACCTTTTTCCAACTTAGTGGATTTTTCTGAAGAAAGGATTATATTTTTTAAGTGGATTTATCAGTGAATATTGTACACATCACAATCGGATTTTGATAGAATAAGTGGGGGTTTCTTTTTCAGTAATTTGTTTCAGGTGCTGGAAAACACTTTTATACACCATTCTATTTTAAGTTGATGGATGTCCAATACTACACTCTTTTCTTTGACGGTTGACGATTGATTCGAGTTTAAATCTAGCAATTAAAATGGGGACGCCTAATTGGGCGACCTATTTTGATGGAATCGAACCCGACTACCCAGGAAGACCAAGGGAAGATAAACATTATGGTTACTGCCCCCAGCAAACACAAGACACTCGAAAAAGAAAGCAAGGAATGGTATTTCCAGAGGACACATTTAATCTACAAGACCTACAAAACATTCCAACAGCAACTGGAAGATCAACTTCCGGTTCTTGGAGAAGTACTTCCGGTTCGCACCCGCCATGTTCTCCTCCCATGAGTCCCTCTTACACTTCCTCCTCAGTGGTCAGTGACGCTCAGTACGTTCCCCCAGTGTCCGCAAACAAGGGGCGGGCTTTACCCCCGATACCCGTGGAAGTGGATGGCTGTGTACATTCGGGGAGTGTTCGATCGTGTAGTGATCGCTCACAACCCAATTCGCCATTACATTTAAAACTGTCTCCAACTTACAGTAATCGAGAATTGCCTCTTATTCCAGTAGAACATAGAAAGGTGAGTGATGTTAATTCGTTTATTGTATCATATAATCTTGTCATACATGTATTTAGCAATATAATTACATGTATGTCGATACATTAAATACATAATGGAACTCTGCCATTCATTTAAGTGAAATGTGACTGAAAAATTACTGAAAATTGACTGAAGTGCAGAGTTCAGTCATTCAATTACTAATTGAAGATTCAGTTGACTTAAATGATTGTAGTTTCATTCATCGGTTTATATAAAGATAAAACTCGAAAATCTCTTCTCTGTTCAGTTAAACTGGTTCTCTAATGAACAGGCACTTGTTTCGTTAATATTTTTCAACCCTTTGTAGTACAATACTTTCGTTTATTTTTTTTTCTTTACAAAACCCTTGCTTTTATAGAAAAAAAAGGAAGATGGTGCTCTCTACTGCCCTTTCTACTTTTTAACTACCGACAATAATGTCAAAGGCAGACTCTCTAAAATACATTCTCCTGGAATTTGTTGCTTTTTTGACTTCATGGATAAACTGCGTTTAACTTTAAGAAAAAATTAAATCATTTTGTACATAAATCATAAGCTTATTTGCATATTTTCATTTTGAAAATAGCGCCAGATCAAATATTCCAACACTTTGTTAATGAGAAAATAATGATTGGGATCAGTAGTTCATTAAGATAAATTGGATTCTTCTTCCTTTTAATTAACCCTTTAATTAACATTTTACTCATTCTATAACTTTGTTGTAATAAAATAAAGTTAATTGGAATTTCATTTATAATTAGTGTCATAGAAATATTTGGAAAAGTACAGATTTTGATTATTGTTATATACATACATGTATTAGGAACTGGTGTTGCATCCTGTTTTGAAAATGAAGGTATTTGACTGAAAATAATGATGATAATACAAAAATATTTTTTGGTTGTTAAAAGTAAAAAAGCAACACAAAAGAAATACATTGAGAGAGAGAGAAAGAGAGAGAGATTGCAGAAGTGAACGAAAGAAGGAGGGATGAAGGAAGAGGTATTTAATTATTTTAAAACAATAAAAAATTAAAATCCTTCAATGATTTCATCTAAGGGACAATAACCTTTAACTCGAGGAGCCTTAAAGTTATCTCGAAAAGTTCAGTACAGTAATAAATAATGACAATAAAAAGAACATTGCTTTCGTCTCGGACATTTTATGATCATTTTAATCTTTCATTTCTTCTTGACTACAAGAAGAAGTTGTGAAAAATATAAATTATTACCTTTTTACAAAATCAGAAATTGGTATGAATAATTAATCACTTGGTTATGAATTGCAAATGAATTCTTTTGAGTATACTTTGTATAAAACATTTAAGTTCTCTTTCCTTTCTATATCATTTCAAATTCTATTCAAGCAACGCACAGTTTACAATGCGGTAATGCATTTAATATGAACTAAATCCCATTCCCTCTAAAAAAAAAAGTGTATTAACCCATCATGAACATATATTAAATAGATAGTGACTATTTTATAAAACATTTTTTTTGGTCTTTTAAATTCATTGTCTAGAAAGAATGATTTTAATGACATATATATACACGTGTATACTTGTAGATAGATAGTAAGGCACGGATCTGCTGTACTCAATGTAGATTACTTTACACGACGTCAATAATAGGGAAATATTTCATAAGCATTGCAAATGTTTACTATTTAAATATAAAAATTATACATTTTATGTCCCTACCACATATAAATGTTGTGTACAGTAATTTGTTACAGATGTAACAAAAGTTTTTGACTTATAATCATGTCAGTTTTAGTCCAAGGTTTTTCTTTTAAAGTTGCAGTTCAAATTTTGTAAACTTCATATGATGCATCAGTATGATTTTCGGATGTTTTCTATCTCAGACTCAGATCTTACGTCCTATATCAACTTGAAGGAATATTCTTTCTTAATCTATATGTTACACGTTTGAAAATAGAGATTAATAAATAAAGATTAAAAATGAAAAATAAATTCAATTTATGTAGAATATTTGCATTTTAATCAATGTTTTAGAAACGCTGTAAAATTCCAACAGTAAATACATACACTTAATAAACTTTATGTTTTCTTAAATAAACGCATGTTTTCCTAAAATTTAATTACGTATGTAAAATGAAAAATTGATTAATTAAGGAAGTTCTAAACACTAACATAAACTGCTTTTTGGACTCGGAGAAAAATATATCATATAAAAGTGTGCGTATTGAGACTTCTTAATTCATTTATTACATAGGGTAACTGTGTTACAACGCACTTTGAAAAATTACGCACTTTGAAAAAATTTTCAAAGTGCGTTAAATTGGGACCAAAGCAACGCACTTTGAAAAAATAAAATTTCTTTTCAAAGTGCAGGCACTTTGAAAAAATGTGTATGGATTGGTCAATATTCTTGCAAATCTTAGGTAGGATAAATAATTGAACCTGTTTGATAACTCCACTGTGATGAGGTCACTTCAGGATGTGAAAGTGAGCGATTTTGATTTTTCCATCCTTTGAAAATTCTTTCTCGCTTTAATGCTTTACTGTACTGAATTTTTTCCAGTTTGCATGCATTTTATGTAAACTTAAATCTATTGAAAGTTTTCAACGTCTTACCAGTTATGTAAATACATATAATTGGGTGTAGCATAGGCATCAGTACCGGAAAGGGGGGGAGGGTTACATGTAGGCACACAAATGTTTTGCAAAGATATACATAATATATGTGTGCATTTAAAATTGGGGTTACCTGGGGGTCAACTTTTAATTTGCTACCGACGGTTATGTACAATGTTTAAGAAAAAAAAGAGCTGGGATGAGAGACCTTCTATACTCGTCTTCTCCTTGCTCTCAATGAGGTTAAATGAGTACATGTAAATTATAAAAAAGTTTTTCGAAAAATATAATTATTACAAATTGATTCTCTCTATTATTAAAATTTAAGTCTAGAATTTTTTGTTTCATACATATTTTTTTTCACAGTGCGTTATATGCCTCCATGGTAAAAATGTTTATGTACACTCTTAGCGCACTTTGAAAAAAAATTTCAAAGTGCGTTGAGTGTGTCCAAAATTTCACGCACTTTGAAAAAATTTTTCAAAGTGCGTAATTTTTTCAAAGTGCGTGGAAAAATGTTCTACAATGGACTACAATATTTATTAGCAGAAATCACTGCTGTTTACTTACATTGGGAAAATTAATGAAAATAATGAATTCAATTACTTATTCTTGGTCTCATATAATGCTAAAAATATTTTATTCTATTAAAAATTTTGTAATTTATTGTCAATTTTTTTTTTTTTTTTAAAAATCCGACGTCTAAGGGCAGATCACTCTAACTGCATAAAACTACCCTATATGTAGACCTCTTCAGTGTGCAATGTTCAGAGCTTCCTTAAGCAACATTCTTCATTAAATAAAAAATTTCACTTTGGTCATAACTTTTGAGACAAAAACACACACATGTATATTACTTGTGCCAAGACCTTTCCAAAACTTTGATTTTTACCCTGTGCCTTTGACCTTGAAGTTTGGTCTACATTTCAAAATATTAACATTAATGTAAATCTGCCTCAACTTTTGAAAGAGAAAAGAGAGAAGGCTTTTCACATTATAACACATGTACATGTACTTTTGCTAGGACCGTGATTTTTAATTTGAACTTGTGACTTTGAAATTTATCGTATATTGCATCTTTCTTTATAACGTTTGATTGAGAAGAAATACGACTTTAATAATTGACACATGAATACCCGTGACAATATGTTTCCGACTTTGCTATGAATTTTGACCCCTTGACCTTCATGTTTGACTTCATTTTCAAAAATTTTAACTATCATGACTACTTTTGAATGCATGCATTTGATAGAATGTTCATATCTGAAACGATATGCAATAAATATAATGGCATTCCATACACTAAGACACCAAAAGAGGATTATCACAATTCTTTGAATTTGCTTGATCTGCATGTATCATTGGAGGTTAAAATGTATATAATTTATGATACAAAGTAAATAGGTATTGATAGATTGCAGTATTGTAGATTTCATACATGTTTATCATAGACTCACTCAAATAGCAAATTTGGGAGTTAAATTCCAAAAAAAAAATTAATATAATACATGTAGCTCATCCCTTTGATCTGTTGATCACAATTACACAAATACATTGAACTTGCCCAAATTAACATAAAAGATTGCTTTGTATAAAAAGCAATTGCAAACTAAAAAGAATTTTGATATTATTCTTAAAAATACTTTTATTTCATTTAGTAAGGTTATTCATCTTTTTTATGTCGTTCTTTAATTATCCGCGCCCAGTATCTTAAACTTACACCTTATATGATTTTCCATGCAGTATTATTTAAACAATGCTCAAAAAATGTATTTCCAAAATTTGAAAAAATAATGCGTCGTTTAATTCATGACTTTAAGAATGTTTGTAGTGTATTTTAAGGAAAGTGGGAAACTCCTCCATCAATCGGTAATATGTCAAAAACGAATGTCAACATTTCATTTCTTTACGACCCACCTTCATCTTCGCCATTTTGTTTCTCTCTGTGTGGTGTTTGTGTGTGTTTCTTACGCTGGATATTATAGTTTAGAAAAATGCTGCCTTTCTGCAAGGAAAAATGTAAAATGTAAATGCATGTGATGCTGAATAACGATGAAAATATTTTCGTAAAGTAAGTGTATGCCAAAATGTATGACGATAATAGGAATTTACGCTATAATAAACAGGTAAGATGGTTAAAATTTTCTGAAGAATATCCTTTTACGATTTAGCTTTTACTCTAAAGATTCAATCTGAATAAAACCTAAATAAAAGATTATTATCTTTGAAGAGAGAGAGAGAGAGAATACCGGTATACCAATGTATACAGTGTATTTTAAGTGCAATACATCTTTAATGGAGGCCAATATTGACGTAGGAGGGACTGGATGATTTCGAAACTTTTATGGAAATACATCTGATTTATCTGGAATTTTCAAATTACAAAGCTTAAACCACCATTTAAAAAAACTTAAAAATCTTTTTAAAAAATTATGAATCCTTGGGAATAATTTTTATTCGTGGTTCGCGATGATATAATTTCGTTGTAATACAGATAAACAAAAAATTCGGTATGAATAAATTTATACAGTCCTGTATGTTGACGAAATAATTGTTCGCGGGGACGTTAATTCGTGAATGAAGGTGAGCCACGAAATCCACGAACATTGATCTCCCATGCTATCTATTCTGCTTTTAAAAGACCTGTTGTTAAAAACCTTTTAATTTACAAGCATGACAAAGTTCTTTCTATCAAACTTATTAAATCGCTTGATTGACTATATAGGAATAATTAATTATGCACGATTTTTAACCTGTACCATAAAATCCCATAAATCATCTTAATTAGCATTTTTCTCGCATGTATTTGTCTGAGACATTATCTAATTATTATTTTTCACGTTTGTAAAAAGAAATTTAATATATATCATATTCTTTTTTCCCCACTGAATAATTAACGTAACTTTTTTTTTTTTTAGAATATCCACAACGAATCAAGATCAAAAAGGAAACAGCATCATGGAGAAAAAAATTCGAGACGGTCCCGGAAAAAACCCGGAGAACACGATCCAGAAACTTCACTGGTATTAACTGTTTCCATAAGGAATGGAAAACATACAAAGAACATTCAACATTCTAAAATGCTAAATAACAATATTGAAAACGGGTTCACTTCGACGTTGCACGTCAAAAAACCCTTGGAAAGTACTTTAAGTCGAGAACGTGCCGCGAAGGAAGCTGACAAAATAACTGTTCCTCTGCGCTCCAGTGTGCGCATGAGTCGGAAACGATGTCTCATTCCCATGGTTATCATTACGATTTTGATTTTGGCGGGATTATTATCTGCTATTACTTTCATCTTACTAAGACCATTACAAGAAGGTGAGTACAGTGTCAACAATGTATACATGCACATTTAAGGAATCACTGTCTAATTAGTATAGTATGCCAGAGCATCAACGGTAGTGGGAAACATGGGATAATTTGCATAACGAGCGAAGCCCGTTATTCATAAATTATCCCATGTTTCCCACTATCGTTGATGTCCCTTGCATACTATACTAAGTAGACAGTGCTTCCCTATATTTCCATTTCATTGTGAAATAAAATTGTAGATTTGGACTTTAAAAATGCATACAAATAGATTTAAATTACACGAGGACACCCATGCCAATTTCAATAGTCCTCGAATACTGTCATCAAACCCAAAGGCAGCCGCACGAGATTTACATGCATATTTGGCCTCCTTAGCGTCAGACACAGAGACAGATGCGCACGAGATTTGCATGCATATGAGGCCTCCTTAGCTCCTGACCTATCGACCTGCCTAATTTACATTCCGACAGAATTATCAAGAAATAAATTCCCCTTACTTTCAATGAGTTTTCACAGGGAAAAAAAAATTGGGAATGGACATAATATTGATCGATTATGTTTTGTTGATTTCGAATGACTGAATACCATGCATTGAATCTTTATTGTATTTCCTTATGCTACCACGCAACAAGTTGAACAAACTTTTAGAAAAAAAAATTAGCCAAATTTCTGGAAAATATTTTATAAAATCGCAACAGCTCCAACGCATTTATATTTCTTTTGACCAAACAAGACGTTCTGACAGTTTTAATAGTGTGTAATCATTTATAGCCTCATGTTGGTCCAAAAGACCATGTTTATTTTTAGCTGCTTTTTATTTTAGTAAGTGTGATTCTTATAAACTTTTTTTTCTTCTATTTTTGTCCAATGGCGACAAACCTGTCCATCACTAAAATAGTTTATGCGACTTACAGAGTGTCGAGGTCATTCCGGGACATTAAGTTATGCGGACGCGACGAGAACCGTGTGGAGCACTAATGGCGACCGATGAAAATGCTGTAAAATCAACATTTACAAACAAGTTAACGATTTGTTTTTGCTTTGCCCTGAATGACCAAATCCCATTCATGTCAGTTAACATTCGTCTAAAAAATACAATGAAAAGGCATTTCTCAGCAAAAAAAAATTGGCATTTAGTGTTCATTTTAATTTTCTATATATTTTTATTTAGAATTCCTGACAGGCTCAGCATGACTTTTTTTTTGTATGTACATGTAGGCTTGTATGTATTGGAAATGTCCACATGGAATCATTCTGTAGTCAAAAATTATCTCTATACAGTTGATATGTTTGCAGAAGCTCTCAGTGTTTGAATTTAATGTATTTCAATATTATCAGCAATTCTGAACATAGTACATGTATATTTTAAAACATATTATGGTTTAAACGTTCACGAAAGGTTTTAAAATATACTTACATCTAATTTTACATTTCATTTACGGATATTTATATATTCTAATAGTGCATGAAACCGAATTGCTTAATATATCATACCTCCCTTAAAAATATAAATTGTTGAGTAAAATCTGATATTTGATAAATCTGATTTTTCTAAAATTCAAAACAAGGATATTGCCCTTAAAGTTCACCCCTTTACACATTCAAGTTAAAATTGATTGTCAAATCTAAGGAAGATCAATCAGTCTTCACGAAAGAATGTGTTAGGTGAAGGTCAAAGTGGCCACTTTTTGAAATAAATGTCAGACCATTACAATGATTTTTTTAAAAGGTGACAGATAACATTTGGTCACGTGACTTGATATTGATTTCCCATAAGGCTGTTATCCTGTTTTAAAGGTGCAAAATGTTTTCCAGATCATCCGTGAATGTGAAAAAATAGTTCAAACGTCTAATCAAATTAAATGTCAGTTTTAAAGAAATAAATATTGATCCCCTCTTCGTTTCCATACTATGCTTTAACAAGTCATAAATTCGTCAAACATGTACAGATTATATACATGTTCGTTTTTCGTTTGTAAAGCCCATTGAATAAAAACAATGACATGGGGAATATACTTTCTTTTTCTTCTGTTTAGCTCATTTGTACGAAAGCCCAGAATGTTCACTCAAGATTCGAATTTCGAAATACGAGATTCGAAATACTAGTTTCGAGATTCAGAATCTAAATCAACCTATCAAAAGGCGGTTTAAAGTTGATTACCCCTTTTGCTCAATTTTAACTATAAAGAATGACTTGTTTGTTTAAAACTGAGATTTTAATGATTTCTTTATAGCAAGCATAGCAAAAGGGGGGAGGAATCAAATGTTGAATACTCCTTTTGGTTAGTTTAAATCTAGACCTTGAATCTTGAATCTTGTTTTTCAAAAGTCGAATATCGAATGAGCCTATTTAGCATTCGTACATTTGAGATCAAGAGACAATCCCATTAAATTTGACTGCAGTTAATCAGAGGGTCCGGAATATAAAGTTATATATGCCCAATTCACAATCTATCCGAAAATTAACTTGGAATTGAGCACTTGACCATTTACAGCATGCTTGCATTTAAATTTTGCACGCGGATGTGTACAAAAAATAATTCTCTGAAAATAAAAACACAGTTCCAAACTTGGTACATGTACATATGCATGTAGCTGTTTGAAGTCTTTTTGGATGAAACGAATACTTGTTAAATGTATATTCTTCAGTATAAGAGGTGATATCGATGATATTTTCTAAGGACCAAGGAAAGTCACAGGTTTATTAATTCTATATTGATATAGATAGAATTAATCAATTTTAAAACATTTTTTTATAACACACTAAAAATCTACATTTCTTGTAGTTCCTCAGACGAACACGCTTAAAAGAGAAAAGAATTTGTTCAAAGTATTTCGAGCAAAACAATGTTCTTTTAATTTGATGAAATTTATATAAAGTGAAAAAAAATAACATTAGAAAACATTAGATAGTCTTATTTTTTCCAAATAATTAGAACTGCATGTATAATTTTCTTCTTTTTTTAAAAGAATATAATACATTTTGTAATTAGGGTCTTGTAAAGAAAGGCACTCTTTTGTTCTAAAGCAAAGTAAGTAAATAATTTATCAAAACACATATCTTTTATCGAGTACATGTAATTTATGTAAATAAAATTCTTCACTGCGATGTCAATAAAAACAATTCTTGATATTTCCAATTCAAAACAATATAAATTACTTACATTGTGTACAATGTATTAAAGAATAAAAACATAAAAGACAAAAAGTGAGGGTAAATGTGAAATTTATATTTGAAGCTTAACTTTTGAAGAATTCAAATAATGAAATGAAATTAAAGACTTAACCAGCTATTACTTAAATAAGGCACTAATAACATCCATTTGTAAATTTCATTCTCCAAAACATTAAATGACAAGTTTAACGTCTATAAATTTTTGATCATCTTGTAAAACGGGACCCATTAGGGAGGGTGTGGCGCCATGATTGTCGACATAAATTATGTGTGTTCTCGCGAGAAATCGTGAGGAAATTTTCAATAAGAATTCAGAAGGCAGACCACTTCCTTGTGCCAGGGTCATAAAAATGTTTGAGATTAATGAAATTTAACGATGTTAAAATAACTGTTTTTCGTTTACCAAAAGGTAAACCGTGCTCAAACAAAAACACAGTGAAAATTGAGTGCTTTCCAAGCAGATTTTTTTTCATGTATTTGGTTTCTTCAACTTTTTTTCATCAACCATTATCTGTTCGTTTTCCTAGTATCGCATGCATGTTCTCTTAATTGATACATGTAATGTTTGCATTATTAGAACATATTTCGGGACAAAAAATTCTCCCAAAAAAGAAGAATATCTTTTTATCACTTTTGTGCTCTAATGTGCAAAAAAAGTGCACAATGCTAAACTTAGGAGTTAGCCGGAATAGGTCTTCACGGAAATATGTTGTTTCCGGAATATCTTGTATTTCTTCCAGTTATGTTAATGACAAAAACTGTTACACTAATTGTCTACACAGTAACAAGTTAACAAGCTCAGTGTGATCGGATTAAGAAGTGGACAATGTCAAAGTGACACGACACATTTATCGTACCACTATGTCTCTATTAATTGAACATGACACATTTCATGTTCGATAGCTTAGTGGGTTTTTTTTTTGTTTTTTTTTTGTCCTACAAACCTGAATTCGTACCTACAAACCTGAAAATGTCCTGTAAACCTCAATTAACCTTAACATTTTACTAGAAAATTTATCAGTGTCAGAAATGTAAAATATTAATGCTGTCGACATTCCAAAATTCTTTTTTTTATGTACAATGTAAAATAAGGAAAACAAAGCTATGCTTGGAAAAATGTTCCAGGATTCAAAAAAAGATCTAAATAAAAGATTTCATAGCAATGATAGATCTCATGTGTACATTTATTCAAATGTCGAATATGCAAGATGAATACAATGAATAACAAATGAATAGGTATAATTAATGTAGAATATATCCCTTAAATAAGCAGTAATAAGCAGAACATTCTCCTATGATCTAACTAAAAATAAATAGTAACTACGTTTGGTATCTAACTGCAGAATGCAAATAAATTTATTTGACTCAGAAAAATTGATTTTGTCAAAATGCATCTCATTAAAATTTGTATCAAAACTATTATTTTATTGGAAAAGTCGGTCTTTTCAAAGAACTTTCTAATACTGTACATGTAGAAGTGGTTATGTGAAAGGATCAAAATACTTACGAATTCGAAATATTAAAGAAGAAGAGTATACATTTTGATAATTTTCTACACATTTACAATGCTACTTTACAAGAATGTAAAAATTGACTAGTGAAAACTTTGAAGATTATTAGAAATTCGTCGGATTTGTTTATTTTTGATTCCACATCATGAAAGTTTGAGATTATAATAAAAAAAAATCAGTTAATGATATTGCAAAATTACCTTAACATGGTGCCAACAAGTCTGTCTGTATCAAAAATGTACACTGTAGAATATATATGTATTGCAGTCGTTGACGTTCCAAATATATTTTATCACATTGAGGAAACATTGCTATAGATAGAAAAAAAAAGAAGGTTCTTTGCTTTAATAAAAATTCGTAAAAAATGTTGGATCAGATACGCATATTAAAAATTCATGTATGCAAGATGAATGCAATGTGTAATCCATCAAAATGTAACATGACATATTTATGTTCAGATGCAGTATAAAATTTCTTACATGTTTTATTTACAAACAACCTGTATACGAGTGAAATCCGAATCAAGAATCTTAATTATTTTTTGATATGCAGAAAAAACTGTGTAGACTTCCAAAACATATGTTTATGTTGATTTTATTTATTTACTTAAATTGTTTTTGTTTGATTATTTTTAAAATATTTGTTTTGATTTTTGTTTTTGCTTTAATGCATCTCATAAGAGTAAAGCCGGAAAAAAGCACACTTTTCAATGTTAATACTATACCTAAATACATGTCTTGTATTTTTCGCATACTCAGTAAATCAATCACCACTAATGGTTGACATAGAAACACATGCATTGTATATCATTTTTTTTATCATGACAACACAGATTGCATGTCCACAAAGATATATGTAATGTTGACATGTATATTAACATTTAGTTTACATGTCAGCATACATGCTTTCTATTGCGTCCGTAATGATTTGTCGGCTGGCATAAATCTTTTGGTGCCCATACTAAAAAAGTTACATGTGATACCGTAGCAAAAAAGGATGTTAGACATGGCGTTCTTGGTACGTAATTATAAGTATTTTTTTCTGTATTTACATTTGTCAAATTCAGATTACTTTTATATATACATGTATCTATTTTCAGATTCATCATCATCTGAAGAAAAAGACAGTTTAGGTAATATTTGAAATAAAGTAATATTTCAGAAAAATATTTCTTAGCAGTAAAAGTTCCAAGTCACAAGTTTTTTTTATAGTCACAGTACAGATAAAAAACAGACTTGAATATACAAGAAAAATATTGTAAAAAACGTAGAAAAGGGGAAGAAGCATCGATAAAGATATTGTTTTAAAGAAGGCAAAAATTCAACCCACAAGTAGCTTTAAAGAAAATGCATGTTTGCTTAATATCCAACTACTCAGTATCTGTTTCAAATAAACATACTAATGGTGATTTTCTTTGTGTTTTTCAGTTATGATTTTAGCAATCACGCACATGCGTATTCTCAACAAAAAGTTTGTCTCAGAGATGTCAAATTCATCAAGCCCAATGTTTTTACAGTTCAGCAGCGCTTTTGAAGATGATGTACGTAGATATATAAATATATATTTTTATACATGTATATATTTAAATGTCGTATATATTACATAATACAAGAAACTTTGAAATACTTTTTGAAAGATTTCAACTGTGTTACATGAACAAGGCCTTTCTCAGTCGTGTTTATTTAAATGCCTAGCAAGTACATATACAAATATGTTGCACGACTGATGAAGGCCGGTAGCACGGTTGAACTAATTTAAAAAAAAACTGTTTTAATTTTTTTTAAAAAGTCTATTACAAATAAGAAACTTTGGATATAAAATATATAACCCATAACATTATTTTCCCTCAAAATATCTTCAGAAAATATTTCTACACATTATGTATATCTTACACAAACTGTTTTCCCATGAACCTTTTCATTAAAATACATAACGTCTAAAACTTTCTTGAATTTCTAAATTGACTTTCAGGACATTTAAAAAAATAACACTAAACTTCTGAATGTTTTTGTCATATTCGCTCAAGAGTAAAGGAGAAACATTTATCTGAATTATTAAATGACCACACATAAATACTGAAACATAATAAAATGGACAATTAAGCAAAGCAACGTAAATACTATAGTTTATAAAAAGAAATTAGGAGGTAATGATCGAATAAAAAGACAATTATATATTTATAAGTAGATGTGTGGGTTTAATGTAGCCCAATGGTTTTTAGATTCCCTCATGTCTTATGGTTATCCTGTCTTGTTAGGCTTTAACACCAATAGACCTCATAATTTTTTTTAGGAACATAACGAAACTTGTCGCCATAAGTACGTAGATTGACCACGTATATGAATTTTTATACATATATACATGTAGTTATATATATGACAGATAGATAATAGCTAATGAAACACCAGCAGTTTAACTGTGAATGTGAAGCTTAAATTATATAAAAAACAATTTATCTAAAACAAGTGCAACATTTAAGGAGAACATTTATTACAAAAAAATTGATAAACTTATATCGTCTGAAATATATTTCTCACCTACCTGTTTCTTCTGATTATTTTCTTCTTCAGAAATTAATGATTCAGAAGACTTGAGGGCTTTAAACAGAAAAAAAACAACATATTCTGAAATTTATAAACGATTTACGCATTCACGAGGACTTAAATCATATTTTTGATTTTGTTATCATTTACCAAACATTTTTCGCATAGCATTGTGTCGCAATTGTTCACAAATGTGATTTTTTTCAACACACCTATAAAAATGAAAGAAAACAAATAATAAAAAAAAATACAGAACAGATTTTGCGAATTGTTGTGACTTTAACATGCAATAAAGTACATGTGTTAGAGTACTAACAAAAGGACAGTCACACTTTTCTGTTTTAGCCAAAACTTATAACACTTCAAACAGCCCTATAGTAAGAAACTTTCGAAATGTCACTCATTTATACACGAATGTTGAATACACATGTACCATCTAAATGAGATAAAAAGTGACCATGTATAAATTCTGAGATATATAAACCAATAATGCATCGTATGGACAAGACCTTATGGAATCTTGTAGACAATGATTGTATTAAAGAGACAATTATTTACTTTTAATTAGACATGTAGGTTTTTATGTATAGCTGAATGTCTTTTAAGGATCTTATTTCTGTCTAATGGCTAGGTCATTTCTAGAGCTTAACTCTCATTCACTTCATAGTCTAGGAGGAATATACTGAAACTTGTCTCCATAAACGAGGAAATGTACCATCTTTTTAACTGGCTTAATAATTATAAATTATAAATGTACAGAATTGAGAAGAGAAAATATATTTTCTTAATTTAGATTTATTATAATGTTTGTTTCTTATGAATGTTTTGGGCTTCATTTAAAGTCATAATGCAGATTTTCCTTTCCTATTTATTTTGAAAAGAAACATGTAAAACTTCCTTGTATCTTTTTAAAATTAAATGGAAAAAGACACATTGTCTGTACATATAAGAAAACACATGCAATTCTGTTGATCTTTTAATATATTTAGATGAATATAGATCCAATCAACATACCAGATCCTCTTTATTTCATTTCATGTTTCATATGTTCTCAGTATTCTTGAATTACAAGTCAAAAAATGTCAGAAAAAGACAAATAAAAATATACATCTAATTGAATTGTTTTAGGGGAATTCATCTAAACCAATCACTGAACATTAACAAAATATTTGAGTAATGTAACGTCTTTTTTTATATTTTATATCATCATAAATATTTTGCTTCACCTCTAATTATACATTTGGTTTTCATGAACATTTTGTATATATTTTTAGATCAATAATCTCGTCCTCAGAAGCAACATAAGTAGATATTTTTACGGCACAAGCGTGAATGCGCTAAGGTAAGAAATATCATTAAAGAAATGCCTTTTTAGCAATATTCTCAGGTATAAAGGTGTGCATTATAATAAATCTTTGGCTTCCTCATTTAGATAATTATGACGTTTATTGATGAATTGTGGTTATATTTCCTTCAAAGCAAATCACTTTAATGAAAGGTTTGCAACTTTGCACTTATATTGAATTTTGACACCATGTTATATTTATTCAGGTTTGTTTATTTCACTTCAATGGGTATAAGAAAGCACAGGCCCAGATTTATATTTTCCAAAAATCAGTTTTTTTTTTGTTTATAAAATATTGTTGATCTAGAAACAAAATAATAGCAATTGAGTATTCAAAGTTTTTAATGTTATTTGTATCATTATTACCTTTAAACAACGATTTGAATGTAAGATAATTATATATTTCAACTTGCTAGAATTAAACGAGTGTTTAAACGTCAATGCACATGCACATTTTCTTCAATATGATTTTTTCTATAGAATATTGCACTTAATGTTATCATGAAATCATGCAATTGAATAGTGCAAACTATTTTCCATATATGATAATTGATAATTAATATGATATGATAATATGACAATTGAATAGTGCAAACTATTTTCCATATATAATATAAAGAACTCATTTTTCTGTACATCTAAATACATAGCTTCCCGTACTTGTAATAATAGAAAATATACCATCCTCGAATAAAAAAAAAAACAAGCATTTCGTATTTTTATTCAAACACGATCAAAAAGATATAAATTGCAGTCAAAACCAATTGTCAAATTATTGTGGACATACATGTTGGTTGATCAATTCTATCATACATGCAAAGTGGATGTAAAATCATCAACCACTAACGCTTTATTACATGTACACCTTAAATGTATTTATATCATAAGTGTTTACTTCAATTTTTACTTCCTGAAAAAAAGGATAAACCTTTTTATAACGAAATCTTTTTTTTCTTCAGAAACGGTAGCATATATACCTACAGTGATCTTTCTTTCCAAGACGAGGAACATCTACGCGATCCGTCCATTATTCAGAACACCCTTCGGGACACCTCAGTCCCTTTTACTTACAACAATATGAAAGCCATTCGTATCGGTGACAACATTGTCGATTACGACAGTATTCATGTCGATTTGTCATTTGTCAACGTCGACAAGTTTCCAGAAAAACCGAAGCTAAAAGGTAGGAGAGAGATTTTGCTTTAATATATGTATTAGCCGAATTGTTTCAACTCACCTGAGCTAAAAGCTTAAGTGAGTTTTTGATCAAACATCATTTGTCGTCAATTTGTTCTTTCCTCCATCTTGTGTAGCTATTCCACCTAAAAATTAAAAGAAAGATTTCAACATTAAATTTTTGGTTTCTGGGCAGTAAAGTCTAAAAGATGAAAGGAATAAGCACACTTTTCATTAAATTATACGGAATAAAGTCAATACTGATGCCCCAAAATACCCAAACAATCACAACTTCTACCACCTAGGAGAGCTAATCAAGAAAGACAACTTCGAGATGAATCTCGAGCGTGATTGAAATAAAGGAAATATCCAAATAACTGATTTTCATGTTTTCAATAATATTCAATTAAAAAAATAGGAAATATATGATTATTAGTCAAAATAAACTTAATTTACTCCCTTTTATGAACTTGTAATGCTTTATTTTACATAAATCACTACATGACAAATATGTCTCCGATCCCGATGAAGACAATTTTTAAAAAAAATTTCGTGGGAATTTTTGCGACTCTCTAGAGAATTAATTTATTCGTGAAAAAATCATAAATTGTGTTAAAAATCGTTAGAAAGTACTTAATCTTACTTTTCTTTAGATCTTAAATGAATGTATGAAAACTTTAGGATATGCTATACTATTCATTGAAAGTACATTTCCTTCAAACTATCTTTATGAAGTGATTTTTATGTACATTAATTGAAATAATATTTTAGAAAAACTCCCTGTTACTTACTTAAACAGCTACTTCCAACTGACATTGCAAAGATCCAGTGCATTCACTTTCATATCAATGTTTACTTCACATAACAAATTCGAACGAAAGAGTCAAAATGGCCACAGCGTGCCTTCCGTTGGTTACTATTTTTAGATAAAATGGCGTCAACTGGAATAGCTATCTTGTGTTAAAAAATATACCATTCTTTTCGTGGTGCAGCGGTTAGAGCTTTGCTGTAGATGCTTAAAGTAAGGAGTTGATCCTTATGTCCCGGATTTGAATCCCACCGTAATACATGGGACCGGTCCTTTAGATGAAATTGTATAAGCAGGCATCCTGAGTCACAGACGGTTCTGAACCCTCACTGCTTATAGGCAGTTACAGAAGTAAATTTGCAACCCTAAAACGGCATTTGGTGGTGACTTGATATAAATGACAAATTCTCGAAGGGATGATAAAATAAAACAAACACTTATTTCCTCCATGGAAACTGATCCCACCTGATGTTCTTTTAGAAAACATTTTTTGGTAATAGGACTTCATTGTTATGTCGAGTTCATATCTTTGTCAAAATTGTAAACGTAAAGCATAGGGTTGATTCGGAACCAGGTTTTTCCTATTTGAATGTATAAAAGAGAAATAATCTGCTAAAAATATTCAGAAACAATCAAGATTATATTATTCAAATTGTATTGAAGCATATCCATAATAAGTGGATCCAAGTTAGAGACCGAAATATCAGATCTCTTTAAGCAAACATGGGGTATCTTAATTGGGGCTATGAGTTTCATTTTTCTCTTGACATTATAAGGAAAGATTCTTTCATTTTTTTTAAAATCAAAATTTAATTAAATATAAGCAAAGGCAAGAAAACTCGAGTGAGCGTTGTAACCCTTGGGCCGTTTGTCTTTTCCTTAACTTTTATCTCAATGGCATTGTAATTGATGAAAAATTTCAGAAATCCTTTTTTTTCTTATGGTATTTTATACAATAATAAGTTTGAAAGAAATTAATTAAAGATAGCTTCTTAAAACTCTTATGGCTAAAGAAATCGTGCCAACAAATAAAATATTCTAGAAATTCCTTCCATTTCCCTTGAATAATTTAATTTTCATAATGAGATGATAATTTCTTGGCACCTTTTTTTTTTTTTAGAGCTAAGACGATTTATAGAGGAAGTGAGAGAAGCAAATACTCCCAAAGCAGCTATTCCAAAAACAACAGGTCCGTATATCATTGCATCATGTCATAACGTAGCATGTTTTAAATATATTACATGTTTATATATAAAATGAAAACATTAAATGGCGACATGGATATATATTTGTAATTTAAACCTTTAAACTACATGTAGTAAACAATTTTTATTGACTTTCTTTTTTGTCATAAAAATATTCTGAAGATTAAATATTTAAATTTGGCGTTTAAATGCGTTTTTTTTCACTCCTGTAGGCGTCAGTTATAATTACATTTAATTAAAAAATCTTATGTAAAATTAATGAAAGAAATTTTACATCAGTTCATTTACAAAATAAATTTAAAGGTATTTGACATTTCAAAGAAACATAACACTTTATAACGAAAAAAAAAATGCATTGATACGTTAATGTTACACTGAAACAGGTATCTAAGCGATTTCATGGTCAAAATTAGTGTTGGCAACGAGTACCAGGTTAACCGGTTAACCATCGAACGATGCGAGTGTCGGTTAGTATAACTGCTATTCGGTTACTCGCATGAAAAAAAAAATCTACAAAGTAAATGCATATACAATGATTGTTTTCTAATTTATAAATGTATATACTGACACATTTCCATAATTTTAGGTGCCGTTAGACTTGATCTTATACATGGTTGTAGTGGAGCAAATTGCTTTGATTAGTTTTCACAGTTTATATAATTGATAGCTTTGATTGCTTGGGGGTATACAACTTTTGAAGGCCTGAGTTATGATTACTTCATTTGATAATTTAACGACATGCCGCCTCAGACAAATCAAGCTTGAAGGTAACTGTAAGAAAGAACAGTTGATTCAAAATCTCAACAAATTAAGCATTAATTACGGAGTATGTAGGTAATTATTATTCTTCTTGATAGCGACATATTTCGGGGGCTGAAAAGGAAAGCATAAGGAAAGCATTGTGAGACGGTGATTGACAATGTCTTTATTTGTCTTCTTCGTGTGTCAAATTTCTTATTTTTTTTAATCTAAGATCAAAATTCGATGACAATATCGCATGTGTGTATTGTAAATACAATGTCTATATACAGTATAATTGTGTATTACTACTACCGATAAGTAAAGCATAATATAAATAAAAGATGTGGATACTTTTACGAAAAATCATCCGAGTAACCGGGTACTCGATCGGAAGATGAAGCGAGTAACCGGTTACTAAAAATCGTCCGATTTGCCAACACTAGTCAAAATAGCTTTAAATTTAATCCTTGTGTACAATATAATTAATTGAATATAAAATGTTTTAATCTATTTTTAATAAACAAATTATGGATCTACTGACGGCCTAAAGACTGATAACATGTAGATGTCTATAACAATTAGTTAATTTTAAGAGAGGTTCCAACGCCACTATTAAAAGTTCGGCACATACTCTGAATGTTTCGTACGAAGAAAATCTCAAGAAAAGTACATCACAAATCAGTCTATTCTGTTTTAAATAACATTATGTCAAGTTTGCTTTTAACTTTTATCATATTTGCTTGAACACTTTCAAACGGCATTTGCACCATTTTCTTTGCCTTGGGAGATTGTGAATTTGTCTTCAACCGATAGACGTAAAAACAGATTAACATGAGTAACTATACTGTACTTTTTTAAACATCAGAGAAACCTAGAAAGATACAGAGAATTATTCCTGAGTTTAGTAGGAAAGAACCACTTGTCCCGGTGAAAGTAAGCGAGGAGACGCCATCTGTTGTCGAGAACGAAGAACCAGAAATTATCAAATCTGATCCAGAAACAACAACTGTCCCAACTAACAAAGCAAATGAAATGGAAGAGAAAACAACTGCAATGCCATTTGAAGAAGGAACAACTGCATTTATGTCGAAGTCAACGACAACCGCAGTAGACCAAACTACAGAAATTAAGGGTGAGCATTGTTGAACATGTATGCGTTGCTAGATAATTTTGTGGTTGATTTTTCATGTATGTTTTTTTTTACACCAGCGAGAATTAAAGCATAATAGAGAAGATTTGAAAAATGTTTTTTCCCATTTTTATTGACCCTTTAAAAAAAAAACTTTTTGGCAGGTATATGAAAATACATATATGAATGATCATTGTTAAAAATGTATTGCATGGTATTTCTAACTTATTAAAAATGTACGATATCAAACACATGAACTTCGATACTGTTTTTTTTTTTTTAGGTTTTACAACATCTTCATCAGTAACAACATCGTTGTTAGAAACAACATCAAAAACAACAATATCAGAGACAACAACATCAAAAACAACAATATCAGAGACAACAAGAACAACAACAACGGGAACCAGCATTAAAGGAAATATAGATATTCAATCAACAGAGCGAGAAAAAGGTAAGAAAACCGAGAGGAAAAAAAAATCTGTAAACTTATTTTTTTAAAAATTATGAATCAATCTAGATTAATATCGTTAGTAAATTCAGATGATACTAGTAGATACAATTTTGTATAAATAAAGAATAAAAAAAAATTAATGTTAACTAAAATGAACGACCCTTGTCGACAGAAATTCGGTACCTCGATTAAAATATGGAAATTGTATATGTCAATGAATATTTTTGAAAGAACCCTTTCATGTTCTAATAACTTGATTGTCGCCTTTTTGATAACAAATATATATTTACATTAACAGAATTATTACCGACCCCCTCAACATCAAAAACTCCATTATCAACACCATGTAAGTATGGATTTTTTAAATAAGAATTAAAATATGCACGTTTAGCATTATTATAAAAATGTAAAGAGTTAAAATTGTTTTAAAACGGAAGTTAAAATATATGAAAATTTTGAATCGACAATATCAATTCCTTAATATGTTGGCGAGGGTCATTCAAATCATATGGTTTAATAAAATTAATTTTCAAACTCTGCAGATGTGAAAGTTACAGCTGAAACAAAAGAGATAGGAACGAAAGGTGACCAGAATGCCACGGTTACGTGTACCTTTGGTAATCTCGACGACTGGAAATTCCTCATCATTCGAAATATGCCATACAAGGGAAAACCTTACCTCGTTATGAATTTAACGTCTGATGAAATGATCAAGATCCCTCCCAATATAAAAGACAGGCTTTACTTGAACCTTGATGTCAATAGTGCTTCCGGTACCATCCGTATCAGTTTCCTGTTGCAGTGTGGAGATCTGGGAAGATACGAATGCAAAGTTCACAAGGGAGATTACTCGTATATAGGTGGCGGTGAATTAAAACGTAAGATTTTTTTTTATTTTCTTGTAATTAATTGTTAGTAATCTTATAATGCAATGTAAGATAAACAAATAGCTGCAGTTAAACTCTCTTTAAAAATCAGCCTTGGTAACATTTTTCATTTCAAAATAATTCAGAATGATGTATATTTTCATGGGTTTTATGGAAAGGTTGATAAATGAGTTGAGCCCAAAAGTGTAAATATACCGGTATATACCTTGTTTGAGCCAGCATAAATATGTTTAAAATTAAGTCGTTTCTTTTATGTTCTTTGCAGTGTTGCCTTCAAAACCTAAAGTTACCTTGCCTATGGAGATCATTGAAGGCAAAGCTTTACAAGAGCCCTTATTATGTACCATCAATGTAGGATTTCCATCAGTAAAATCAGAATTTGAATGGCTGTTCAAAGCACAGGGAATGGATTCATTCCAAAGAATAGGGAGTAAGCACTAATATATGTCTAAATTTACAGGGAGGAATTTTTGACTATTTTATCATGTAAAAATCCCTTATCGTTATTAAATGATCGATAACATAAGATTTTTTCTTAATTAAACTCCGAATGTCAAACAGAGAAATAAAGATTACATCGTCCGAATATACTGTAAACGTATCACATTTAGCGGTGTATTCTAATTAGCGATTTTGGCGGTAAGCAGAGTCCGTTAAATCAAGTACATCGCTAAATGCCTTGTATATCATACAGGTATATCTTACACATTCAGATTGCGCGAAATCAAATGTACGCTAACTTGTTGAAAATTCAATTTCCGCCAAATATCGTACACGTCAAATATAATACATTTACAGTAATATATTTCCATTTCTAACTTTTTTTCTCTGTGATAACTCTTTGAAAGTTAGCGGAGTTGATTGTTTAATTACTCTACCGGAATGTAAATTAGGAAGGTCGATAGGTCAGGAGCTAAGGAGGCATAATATGCATGCAAATCTCGTGCGCATCTGTCTCTGTGTCTGACGCTAAGGGGGCAAAATATGCATGTAAATCTCGTGCGGCTGCCATTGTGTTTGATGTCGGTGGCCAAGGAATAATGAAATTGGCATGGGAGTCCTCGTGTGATTTAAATCTATGTCTACATTTTTAAAATCTATAAAATCTACAATTTTATTTTACAATGAAATGGAAATATAAGGAATCACTGTCTAGTTAGTATGGTATGGCAGGGACATCAATCATAGTTGGAAACATGGGATAATATATGCATAACAGGCTTCGCCCGTTATGCAAATTATCCCATGTTTCCCACTATCGTTGATGCTCCGGCATACCATACTAACTAGACAGTGATTTCTTAAATATTTGAGTTGCTTTCTGGTATATAGATACAGAATATAACTCTTAGAGAAGCAGTTTGTGTGATAATGAGTTTCTGTAATACAGATACCGATAATAGCCCAAAGAGAAGTGGCGTCTGTGGACAAATCAAAACAATACGACTTGAACTGAAGGAACCTCCAATCGTCAACGATGTAAAAGTGAAGTGTGTTGTCAAGCAGACCAATACTGGGCTTTCCTCTGTAGCACTGGAAGATGTTGCAACCATTGAGATTGTTCCTAGTACGTTTAGTCAGCCATTTTTTTTTAACATAGAAAGAAAACAGAATGGGAATTGGCGAAATGCTAAGATGGTGCCTACGTCTTCATTCATAACTATTCGTATATAAACAATAATTTGATACATGCAGTTAAATATGATATCCAAATTTTCAATCAAATACGAAAAATATCCTATAAAGGAAAGGGAAATGCATATCTTTTATTTCAAAACTGAAAGACTGAATTCTGATAAATATAACTTAGAATAATAATTTTGACGTAAAATGTTCTAAACGTCAGACTTCACTAAGCGAATTTTTCTTTGTAAACATAAACATAATTATCATAACTTGTCTGAATACTTCCTATAAATGTGTTAAGAGAAATATTAGTTTCCATATTAATTTACTCCTGGCTTAGCTACTTTTAACAAAACAAAAAAGAGATTTTTAAAAAATTTGAATTTAGCCACTGACAGAAATTATCATATTGTTTTTTGTTGTAATAATGAATTATTCTTTATAGGGAGTCTCTGTGCTGGCATTGGTGATAATACCCTTCTTAAACATCCCTACACATGTGACAAATATATACAGTGTACCAAAACAAACATGCAGGTCAAGCAATGTCCAGACAATCTGTGCTTCGATCCAACAAGCCAAAGATGTGGACAAACAGGTATATATAAATAATAAATTTCATTGCTTTAAATAAGGTCAAGAAGTTATCCAACACTATGCAAAAAACAACTTGAGAGAAATTCTTCATTGGAATTTCTGAGGGAAAGGAAAATTAATGCAAGTAAAGTTAAGTTTTGTTGTAAAGAGATAGTGTAGAAGTTGATACCGATAATATCCTAATCTTACTAATATATAATGCATATGATTGAGATTACATTCATAAATACATTTCAATATATTAAAGGCCTTGAAATGACATCAGCAGATGCTTACTTGAACGAAGGCGTGACCTTACTATCCTGTCGTCTGCTTCATGTCGGTGCATGGACGTCGATTTCCATTTACAAACATGCCTCCAATGGAAACACTTCTAGAATACTTATCGCCTATAACGATTCAGCCAATCCTGAAGTGGAGAAGGAGGTCAGCCATCGCTTCAGAGCCACCATTGATAAACCTTCCAAGTATGAGGTCAATATCACTCTTTGGGTCTATTCCTTGGAGTGCGGGGATGAGGGTCAATTTTCCTGCACGGCCGTTGTACCATTTGCTGTACCTGAAGCATTTGGCAGACTTAATATTAAAGGTAATTTTATTCTAAAATATGAGTTTCTACAACCTATAACATTTCTTGTATTCAACAGTTCATTTGGGCAAAAATGTTTATTTGCTAATCCGATAGAACAATAAAAATGTCCAGTAAACTTATCGCTTATTGAATTGAATTAAGCAAACAAAATATTTTCTTGGCATTAAAAAGTAAATTGTTATTTTACAGATACATTTTATCATTTTTGTTACAGCTAAACCTGATGTTCCGACGATTACGATACCTACTGAAATAATCGACAGCCGAGAACCAAGGGAGTGGTTCAAATGTGAAGGAAACGTGGGGTACCCCAAAGGAAAAATGTACTGGGAAATCAGACTGAGAGGAAGTGCTGAATTTACCAGTCAGATTCCATTCCAAAACAAACCTGACCATGAAAATACAACAGACTGTAAATCCTTCGTCACGAACGAATTCCGCTTCACACCGAATAGAAAACATGACGGAATGGAGGTGAGGTGTGTTGTGGAAAATAAAGACACGATGCCCAATGGTAGAAAACTTTATACTACAAAAGAAATTCATGTCATTCCAGGTAAAAATGGCTTTAATTGTAAAATTGAAAAAAAAAAAATTATTTTATGTCTTCTATGTTCATAATGGCGTTATTAATGTTCAGGGAAAAATATTGATATATTGAAGTTTTGAATTTACTAATTTTCAAGAAAGTGAAAAAAAGAAATGTGAAACTTAAGAAAAATGAATATAAATCAAGAACTTGGTCATAGTTTGAAAGATAAAAAAAGCCAATAGAATTCACAGTTTTGTACATAATGCATTTATTCCTGTCCCAAAGAACGATATTTGAAAAAAAACATAAACAAATGTTTAAAAATTGCAAAACCTTTTATTTTACAAAATGTAATCAGGGTTATAAAATGTTTAAAATATATTTTCAGCTAACTTCTGTGCAGGCGTATCACGTGACAAGCGTGCGCATCCTAACAACTGTTATCAGTATATACAGTGTCATGATGGCTACACATACGTACAGAGATGTAGTATAGGTCTGTGTTTTAATCCAGAAACTCAAGAATGTGATATCAGGCAGGAAAAGGAAGTTGACGTGATAGGTATTGTTTGTTTCAACCATACACTTTTTTCCTTTTTACTTTAAATACCTTTATGTATCAATATCCATTAAAATATTAGTATAATTTTAAACAATCACCTTGCTTAATATTTAAATTTTTCAAAAATGATTTCCTTTGCTTTAATACTTTTAAAATATATTTTTTCCTTTTTTCACAGATCCAGAATTCCCTTGCAAACCAAACAGGAATGGGGTATATTTCCCCCACGAATCAATCTGCAACAAATATATATGGTGCGTCCAAGGTCAAGAGGTCATACAGCACTGCCCTTTGGGGACACAGTATTTCAAGGATGGTCAATGTACTTTTGAAGAGGACAAATTTCATTGCAGTACCAATTCTACCTCTGCATAAGAAATAATCATCCAAAGTGATTACAAACTGATAATAGACGGCTCTGAAACCTCTGGTTACTTCCAAGTGTGCTAGATGGTTTACTGCAGGCGATTGGTAATTTGACATGCTTGATAATTGACATAATGAGACAGATTCGAGAAAGAATTTTAAGGTTGCAATCTGGATTCAATTTTATTTGGAAAATGTAAGTGTTTTGTATTTCCTCACCAGAAGAAAGCATGTAGATTGAAAGTGAAAAAACCCACATAACGAGACCTTTGTCAAGTTTTCGCTGTAAAAAAAAAAATCACTCTTGCATAAATGATGTTGTCATTGTTTCTTAAGTATTTAACATTTTTTCTTCTAATTATGCTATCATTTGGGGAGGAAACTGAACAAAAAGAGTTGTTGTGTAAGCATTGAATTTCCAGATTTCGCATTGAAGTATTCAGAATGCCATGCACGATTGTTTTGCTGCACAGATATAAGCAATTCAAATGGACACCATAATTGCATATGTTTAACAAATGCTTACTTTCTAGGCATTTTTTCATGTACATATTTTGTGTAACATATAACATGTACATGTATAATGCGTTATTTGGTGCATTAATTATCTACAAATAATCTACAAAGATGCCCTTGATTATTTCTGATTAAACAGTGTTATACTTTTTTTTCAAGATATTGAATTGTTGGTGATCTATTTATCGTATGTTGTTGAATTAAGTTCGATGTATAGTGAAATGTCATGTTCATTGTAAATTATTGATGTTATATATATCATTTAAATACATTCCTAGATTAACTTATACATTTTTTCTTTCATATTTGTTGTTATTCTTGTTACAAATGCAAATAAATTATTTTAAAATCATTTCAAATGGATTTCAAATTGCGGCGTCGACTATTACAACAACTGTTCCGATATTAATAGTGTCTTTATAGAATAAAAAAGACATAGACCAAGAGCATGTAAATATTTTCTTTCTTTCAAAAACTGAAAGATGTTCGATGGAATATTTTTATAAGTTATATCCTGTTTACCTTATGACATTTATTGCATAAAAGCTGGAGTTTGACTTCGCCCGTTATGAAAATTATCCCATATTTCCAACTATCGTTGATGCCTTGGTATACTCTACTAATACGCAAGTTTCGAAATTATCTCCCTTGCTGCGCTCTTTTGTCGAGGAGTGGAGTTCCGTTGCTGCGTAAGCAAACAGGTGGGACAGATATTTATATATTGGATACATTGCATCATAGGTATTCTGGTTTATCATAACTACGTGATTGTCGGGATGCACTCTTAAACTCGAGAATAACCGAATTAATGTAAAGGCGTCATTTTTAAAGGGAAAAATCGTTACAAAAAAGAAAATATCAGTGGATGTGAGACTTTTCAGACGAGGAAAGAGATATTGACCTCTAATAAATACGGCACAATGCAACCGATCAGCGCACGTCGGCAATCTAAATGACATATTGATTCTTTTATTTCCTTATTATAACTTCAAAAAGCCCACTAACTTTTTAGAAAGTGTCTGTACAATTAAGAAAATCGGTTACTTTAATAAAGACTACGACGTTTCTTTAGTTTTCAAGTACCCTATAATTGAAAGTAGATTTGTAAATATTCATAGATGAGCTTGATAAACTCATCAAATACATCGCTGCTTAACATTATTATCTTTCTATCACATTTAATAAATTCTAAAAGCCATATAAATATCGTTCATTTATTTATGCACGTTTGTATACGGAAGCAACCTGTCCCATCTCCATGCTGAAATGGATACTTTTTGCGCCTCTATCGCAGGAGAGTTACAATCTCGAAACTCGCGTATTAGACAGTGATTATTAATTATTTTCCCCTGTCCATGAAAGTAATTTCGATCTTCACGGATGAAGAAAGCACCAGTTATATTTATGTTTTAAATATTTATATTAATTTTCCAATGTCTTTGTTAAAGTCAAAAATGTTTCTTATTTTATTAAAGATAAACTTACAGTCAGTAAAAATTCTTTATTTCTACATAGATCTGCTTCATAATAGGTGCGTTAAAAATCAAGTGCGGGCCAGAACAAATAGAAACAGAAGCGGGACCTGTAGCACGTGAAATGGCGGAATCAAGAGCATGTAAATATAAAGAATAAATGTCAAATGTTTTAGTATTATGACGATGATCAATCGATTGACTTGCGTAATATTTTTATGCATACACATCTTCGGCCTTTTATGCAAATCATCACGCAAGCCACTCTGAAACCAAAAATAAGTTATTCATTAATTAATACATGTACTTTGGAACCATTAACATTTACATTTCTCTTGATATTAAATTTCACAATTTCATTGGGACGTCATTTTGTGTATTTCTTATACATTTAGGAGGAAACATTACTTTGTAGTCCTACCTTGTCAATTCAAAGAGGATATTAATTCAGGGATGAGAGGTACTCACGAAAACTAAGCCACCACAAATCTAGTGACTTTACAGCACTTTCTTTCTATTGTCTCAAATAGTGATTAAAAAAAATATATTCAATTACTTTTGTATGAGAAATCTTAGTAACATTTAGGAATTCTAAACAAAGATTCTTACCCAAATTTCTTCGACGTAAATTCTACAATTATCCACAAGTTAAAGGACACAAGCAATAAAAACAAATAACCAAATATTTACATCAACTTGATCAATGCTTTTATTCCCAACATTCGGCACTACAGAATAAACAGACAATCCATTAGAGAACATTGACTTTCATACACGAGTCAAAACTTCATAACCCGGACGATTGAACAAATTACAGGATTCTGTAGACAAGCTGTTAATATCCAGACCACGCCCGAATACGTGATACGGAATGTTTCCAGGCTTAACTAACATAAGGATTACAGTGTATTTAATATGTAAATGAAATTTGGAATTTCTGTAATTCGATAAACTGCATTTTAGTTATTTTTCAACTTTTTACAGGGTGTCCGAAAAGAAAGGTAACACTTTCAAACTTTCGGAATGCAGATTAAAGGTTTAAGAAAATCGGACAGTCCCTGTACTAAAAACCTTACCTATTCTATACATAACTGTATGGTTATTTTGTGGTACTGTTTCCATACACACATATTCCTCTTCACCCAAAAAAAATGCATTTTTAATTTTTCCTTTATATGCTAAAAATATATTAAAAACTGTCTGTTTCATTTATAGTCATTATATAACGCAGTGACATATATTCAATTACATGTAATGTGTGGAGTAATTGTACATTTTTGACTATTCAAAGAGTGGACTTATTAAAAAATAGTTTTATTAATTATAATCTATATATATATTACAGTCAATTATCAAATCCAATTTGTAAAAAAGATTAATAATTATTATAAACTTCATTCATCTAGTATAGCCATATGATCATTTCATGTTTTTTTTAAATATACTTCAGTAATTTTGTATGATTTATTTTTTTACCGTTTAATTTTAATTTCCTTTCATAAAAAATTAATTTGGAAAAAAAAATTAAAGGTGACTAGCATACCATTTACCAACCACTGCTAGTGACATCAAGTACCGCGTTCCCGATCTTTTTTGACATGCGTAATTGGTCTCTACAAAATCTATGGCATTTGGATCAGAGAGGAAATGGATATTTATTTCATTTACAATGACATCCAATTGGTTGCCAGTTCCCCCAGTGACCCAATTTCCTGCTATGTCTCTTGGCAGATTGCAGTGAGAGATCGTCTTCTCATTTGAAGGAGCAACTAAAATAATATCATTGATTTACATCAAATGATTTGCATCAAGGTAAAAAAAAATAAAATCATCTTGATTCTGTATCAGTTATTCCGATGCACAACAGTAATATGAGAGTTGATAAAAAATTAATGTCCAACATGCTGTAAAAGCCCTAATATTAAATTATTAATTGTTATCAACAACATATTACAAATTGATATATTTTTGTCTTGATATTTTATTCGATTGTAAATAAAACTTTTTAAAATACGCAGTTCTATTAATATGTTTTAGGCGTTGTCTATCGTCACTTGGCAACAATGTTACCGATGTTGTTATACCTTTACCTTTTCAGTACTCATTTTCAAGTCATATCTTTTTAACCTCTCAAATTCACCGAATTTTCTTTTTGCGTAATATCTTGTGTATCACTAAATTTCAAAATTATTGTCAAAAATATTTCATATATCTGAATGACATTTGGGAGCAAATATCAAAATTGATAGAGAGTTTTTTGCGTGTTTCTTTTTTTATTATTAAAACAAAATATCTAAATATCTTATAGCATGCGGTTTTGATATTACATTGTAAATTTGTCTCAACCCTCGTATTAATGTCAATACAGTAAATTGCTTTTGTTTTTATTTGCAATGAAAATACTTATTACTTGTTAACACCAATTTGACTGGTCCATTCTAGATACCATTCAAGTGTTTACAGGAAGCAAAACGGGACATTAGCCATCGCTTCTTGTCTCTTTTCTGAGGATTCATTGTCATCTGAAGTTGTGCAAGGTTTTAAATTAAGATACATGTATATACATAATAAGATCTATTGAATTAAATATTGAAATAACAATGAAATAAATGGAGATAAAGAACAATAATCAAGATCAGAAGTCCATTAAAAAATACAAAAAAGGAATAGAGCAAACACAGACCTCTGAAACATCAGAAGTGGGATCAGGTGCCATGAAGGAGTGAGCATCCCCTGCCGACCGGTCACACCCGCCGTGTGCTCCTTGCCTTGATCAGGAGATTAAGTTCATACATCCATTTAAACGATACACATCGAAAAGAATAATCAATTAAAATCACCAGACATTTGTATCTTTCTCTACGGTCCATCTCTTCGTAGTCTGCAATGGCAGCAAAGGTGTAAACGATTCCTCTCTGTTCAGCTTCCCACGAGCCCATACATTGATATCTTATCGCTAAAATATTGGAAACTGTTATTTAAAAAGATGTACTTTATTATCAAATCTGAAATAAGAATTTTATTACCAGATGCCTATAGGGGAGTTGAATGCAAAAACTATTTTTGTTAACTTTAGTACATTTGTAAATCAAGTCTTTACCACAGTAAATCAAAGTTTTTTTTACTACGAATTTTGGATTAATATGTTCTTATAATTTTCAATAACGTTTCTAATATCAAAACGAATAACTTTTTGTATATTTACATGTAATTTTCAAAAAATTACATCATTGGTATTAAAGTTAAGAAATATCAAAGCATTAAAAATATTCAAAAAGCTGTAAACTAAAGTTTCAAAGTAAATCAATGTGAACGAGTATAGCAAATGTTTGTTAGCGTATAGGGTTTATAAAACTTCACTTCTTATTTTACTCTTCGGTAGGTACTAACACAATCTTAAAATTTAATAATAATTTGCTTGAATTGGTTTCTGTACTTTGATTTTTTTAAGCAACTATATCAAGGCATCGGCTATATGTCATGTAGAAGACTTCGTTGTCAATGTATTCTGGTGCTGGATCCAGGCAAGCTTTGATTTGATTGTCAGGGCTGTCACAAATACCTCTGCCTCCTATATCCATCTCGTAAGAAAACTGGTACAGTCCTTTAAACGTTGTCTCACAATTCACTTTTCTAGGTGCTAGTCCTGAAAGAATCAAGCCGAACAAACTTGGCAATATATTTTAAATATAGATAAAATGAAATGTTTTCTACAAGTGTTTCTTCTTATTAGTAAAAGAAAATACTTCATCCGGCTTAAAATGTTGGAGTACATCTCTTAAAGGGTATGTATTTTTTAATCATTCTTTGAAACATTCTTTTGACGTTTCCAGAGCGACGCTATTTGTCATTTTGGTAGTATTGCGTCATAAGTATTATTAGAAATAGACTTGACCAGACTGGACAGATTGCTTGAGATCTTTATATTCAAATCATCTTGGAACAATTATATTGATGTTATACAAAAAGAAAGTGTAACAAATTATATGCAAAAACAAAATATAAATATACATATCCTCACTAAACATTGTGGCAGTGTCTTCATTGCTGGGAAGGCCATACAGAGGATTTACTGCTTTACAGGAGATATTGAGAGAAACAGTGTGTCCAACTGGAGCAGGTATACAATCACCTGAAAAATATCAAATAAGGATATGTCATTTCTGAGTGCACATTTTTATCCCCCACACGCTTGAAAACTGGGAGAGCATATAGTGATCGGTACCTTGCCTGTACTGCCGAATGTTTTCTGTTCTCCATAACACATCAACATAAAAATAACATCAACCTAAGCCGCGACTATGCAAGAAAAACAAATGTTGAAATAATTCATACTATTGAATGAATAAACGTATGTCCTAATTTTGAACATAATTTTATCTTCTCGCTTTTATTCTGAAAATGTAATTGCATTTTTAAAAATTCTTTTAAAAACAATCTGAATGTATACAGTTTATATATAAATGAATATAAATTGATATTCATGTTTAGAAATAAAAATAACATTTGATTATCTCCAAATAAATGCTAATTGAAATTCTATATAATTCTACCTGCTGACCATAAGCATTGTTATATTGTTTCTATCCTCATGAGGTACTGGGTTTGGATGGATAAACAAATCCTCACAACTCAACACTTCTACATCCATATTGCTATCCCATTTATTGGCAGTTATCTGTGTGAAAATGTCAAGTCCTGATTCACGACTGTACCAGTCGCCACGGAAATAGTCAGGGATTGTGCACCTTCTAGTCCCTCAACATATTTCGGAGAGAAAAAAAATCAACAACATTTGTGTCATTAATCAGTATATATACAGGAGCTTCCTATGTATGCAATTATGACATACTAAACCGTCGATCGATTTTTTCCCTTTGCTAGATCATGACATTGAGCATAGGGCGGATGTGACCGGTCGACAGTGGATGGTTACTCCTTTATGGCACCTGGTCCCACCTTTCTTGTTTTAGGTCTGCGTTTGCTCTGCTACCGATTTTTTGTATTTTTATTGATTTTTGAGCTTGATTGTTGTTTGTTATGACCTTGTGAATGACGCTGTTAGCAAATAAAATCATTGAGTCAAATGCTGACTGACGCTTTCCATACTCATTGTTAGTCCATTATTAATACACATAATTGACGACAGATTTTTGGTTATTTCCCGATCATCAATATGAGCACACGGCGGGTGTGACCGGTCGGCAGGAGATGCTCACTTCTCCATGGCACCTGATCACACCTCTGATGTTTAAATAATTTGAAGGTCCATGTTTGCTCTGCTCCTATTTTGTATTGTTTTATTTTTTATTTGATCTTGATTGATTGATTTAAAATATTGTTTAACGTCCCTCTCTAGAATTTTTCACTCAAATGGAGACGTCAGAACCTACTGCGACACGGGACCTCGGTTTGTATGACTTCATCTAAAAGACCGGTCTCCACGTCCCACAGTGGGATTCGAATCCGCGAAGTAGGGACTGACTCCTTACCTCGCGACTCTAGAGCAGACCCTCCGAACACTGTACTACTATTTGCGACTATTTGATGTTGAATACTGTTTGTTATCTCCATTTATGTTACACTCCTATTGTTGTACGTGCACACAAGGTAAGTTTTTTTTCAGATTTAAGAATAAAAGAGTAAAGCTTTGATTACATAACTGTATTTGATGAGATTTTCTGATCAAAACTTGGCGTGTACTTTTATTTTCAAATAGATCATTATGACCCTTTTTAAAATAAGAAATATTTCTTTATCAACGAAATCAAATCCCCACGAAACCATATTTTTTCTTCAGTCCTCGAAAATGTTAAGGTTTTTTCACATATAAGAACTCAGATCTTTACAGAACTATCCCTGATGACGGTTATACCTTCTTTCTGAAATACCTTAGCTATATTTCAAAGAAAGATTATAAAAGCAGTTTGTAAAACCTTAAACAATCACATTTAAGTCATGCTAATCTTAAAATATTTCCAATTGCTTCTGGAATAAAATTGAGTTTTTCACAATTATTTTTATGAGAAGTTTTTTTTAGCTAAGTTATTCGAAAGGATGAAAAAAACTCAACACATGATGAAACTAGTCTTCATGTGTGGTATCTAGCGTCCCTCAAATCTTTGACTTTGAATCCCTTGGGAGAATAGGGGATTTTTCATCCCAACTAAAACCCATCAAAATCCCATGGGAGAAATGCTATGGGATAATCTGTTCCATATAGAAAAACATCCACTGCAGGTTGGAAAATGGGATTATTTCTCCCACAGGACAATTAATCCAACTAAATGAAGAAGCTAGGATTTAATACGATTTGCTGTTAAAACATTATGATGGAACACATTTTGTAAAACACAAATGTTTTTTGAAAAATCAATATTTTTGCTTTTATACAAAAATTTAATTATCAAAGTTTTTGATAAACAATAATCAATAATTATTTCACTTATAATTACAGTACTACTTTAACGTCAATAAAAAATATATCGAGTGCAAAAAATATGATTGTCAAACTTGTAAGGTATTGAAATTATATAAGAGTTAAAAAAGGCAAATATCTTACCGATCATTTGCAGAATTAAGAAAAATAAGATTCTTTACTGCATAGAAACCATTTCCTGTTGTTTAATTCGAGAATTTCTGTGAACTCCAGTAAACATTTATATAATGATAGCAAAGTTTCCGTAGCAAAGGTCACACTATCGATTCAGAAAGTTTGCGACTTGTAACCTACATAAATTATTATACGTGTGCAAATGATCACAGATAGCACATTGTACATATAATTGTCCTTCCTCGACTAAATGATAAGAACCACAAAATTTACAATTTTTTTTAACTACATTTATCATAATATATAGAAAGGCAGTTAATATTTTAATTGTATTCAACATAGGTTTTGGGTTATTTTTTTCTTAAATAAGTAACGTCAGGTGCCTGTGTTGGGCAGACAATTCTTTTTTTAGTTATAGGAGTTGCCTCCCTTAAGCTTGTGTTACGGTGTAAAATACAACATTTTTGGACTTATTTTAAATTACCGTGTAAATTAACTTTTCGAACTTTGTGTAAATTGTTGTCAAAACTTTTCTTATATTTCGGCAAATGTGATAAACTATATAAATTCCGCACAGCCTTAATCCCACCTGAGGCATAGTCAGAGATTGGACAGTTAATTCCTTAATTGACATCTGTTTATATTTATTGACACTTAATCTTTCATCTTTGATTCTATTATATACATGCTGCTAAAATGTCACCATTCGCTCAATAATTGTTTGATACTTGATTTCTATATACCTTTTGTTAATCCTTTTATTTTACTCTGTCTTTGTTCAGTATGTATGGTTTGTTGTGAAATATTATAATCAGTTGGAATCAGACCTTCGGTGCTGATACATCCCAAACTCATGTAAAAGTACATTCCTTGCTGATTCTATATAAAAGTACAAAATTAGTAACTCGTGTTTGTGTCTTGAGGTTTTAAAGAATCTGGGTTCAACAATAAGAGGAAAGCTCACGGTTGAACCAGAATTAGTATTGACGAACAAATCATCCCGTAAAACTTGGTGTGAGAAACCTAAGGGTAACGACACCCGGGGCTGCTACATATACATTGTAGTAGTCAGATCCTGGACCTCTACAAGAGCGAAATAGCGAGTTTCCCCAGAATTGACAGTATAGATACAGATGAAGTAGACGTATGAGGACAGCAATGGATTATTCTTTCCGACCGCAGTGGAGACAGAGAAAGTTCAACTTTCCTTCATGTCAGCATCCAGTGTGCGGAAGGTGCGGAAACGTGCATCCTAACGTTTTATGTTTTGCGGTAAGCCAGAAGTGTTACCAATGCCACAGAATTGGACATTATTCGAGGATGTGTTTTACACAGATGAAGAAAGCAGCGCCAAAACCCGAACATAAAGAACCAGTAATTCCACGCAAAGGGAAAGCGCGAGACATGAAACGACTGAGCAAGTATCTCGAAAACAAACGAATTCTGCGAGAATTACCATTCTGTTCTCTTCGAGACAATCATTTTCGTTCAATGTGTGATATATCGTGTACTCTACGAACTGAGCTGAAAAATGTTAAAATCCAACTATGCATGTCAAATAAAGAGAAGAAGAATATGACGATCAAATTATCAAAAGCGCAATGTGAAATTGAAAAACTTGAAAGTCAAAATATGTTTATGAAAAAGAAGATGCAAGAACAATCAAACAATTCTAATGATAACATATTTCGTGAGAAAATTCGAAAACTGAAAGAAGACGCTCATGGTGATAAAGTGATTATGAACTTAATGCAGAGGAAATTGAACGAGATCGGAAAAGAACATAACCAGTATGTAATGAAAATTCTGGCTGAAGGTGAGAAAACGACCAAAGAGTTAAGGAACCAAAACAACGCCCTGCTGCAGACCATCGAAACATTGCAGGATGAAAGAGATCACATAGAATCGGTCCTTTTAGAAAATCAACGCCGTTGTCAATCCCGGAGATGTCAAGGATCCGGAAGACCAAGAAGAGGCCGGTTTTATTGAGAGAAAAAAATCAAAACACGAGGACGTGTTTTACGCGAAGGCGGAGCATGTGTTACGGTGTAAAATACAACATTTTTGGACTTATTTTAAATTACCGTGTAAATTAACTTTTCGAACTTTGTGTAAATTGTTGTCAAAACTTTTCTTATATTTCGGCAAATGTGATAAACTATATAAATTCCGCACAGCCTTAATCCCACCTGAGGCATAGTCAGAGATTGGACAGTTAATTCCTTAATTGACATCTGTTTATATTTATTGACACTTAATCTTTCATCTTTGATTCTATTATATACATGCTGCTAAAATGTCACCATTCGCTCAATAATTGTTTGATACTTGATTTCTATATACCTTTTGTTAATCCTTTTATTTTACTCTGTCTTTGTTCAGTATGTATGGTTTGTTGTGAAAACTTATAGCAGTTGGAATCAGACCTTCGGTGCTGATACGTCCCAAACTCATGTAAAAGTACATTCCTTGCTGATTCTATATAAAAGTACAAAATTAGTAACTCGTGTTTGTGTCTTGAGGTTTTAAAGAATCTGGGTTCAACAATAAGAGGAAAGCTCACGGTTGAACCAGAATTAGTATTGACGAACAAATCATCCCGTAAAACTTGTTTCAAGAATTCCACCATCTGATAATATAAGAATTTTTTGTTTGTTTGTTGTTTAACGTCCATTTCCATATGGAGACGCAACCACTTGCAGGTGGAGAGCTGCAAATTTTGTCTTAAGCTGGGCACTCAGTACAATTGAGCAGTGAAGGATCTTTTTCGTGTCAGTGAAGCAATTTTTGAAAACACAGTAACTTTTATAAAATAAAAATTTTATTATATAGTGTAGGACAATTCCATGACAACAATGGAGGGAAGTTTTATTTCAAAGAGTACATACATGTATTAAATCAACAATATATTTTATTTCTTTATGTTATGTTCTAAAAATAGTTTGGAGCACTAGGGCCTTTAAAACCATTAATCATCTAAAAAGACTAGAAGCAAAAACTTAATTTATATACATTGTTAGTACCAGTCAGAGTAACGTACAAAGATTATTAAATACCCGGTAAATGTCCTTATTTTCTAACACATGGAAGAAACCTTTCACCTGTTAAGGACATTTAACGACTGAGATTACAAAATTGTTAACTCTAAATTCTAATAATAAATATAAATTTTCAGAAAAAAATGATTTTCACTTTAGTCTGAAATTTCTTTTATCATGTATTAGTAATATCATAAGTTACTGTATTATACATGTAGAATTACAGGACAAATTTGCAGGATAATTTCACAGTAAATAAGAACGATTCTTTGTCTGAATAATTATAAGATCCGAAACAATCACAAACATACATGTATATTTATGATAATACCAAGATAAGAAATTATTAAGTACACTTATACACATGTATAAACATAAGATTAAACATAAAATATTTTACACAGACAGAAATAATAATAAAAAAGAAGTGCAGTAGCACCTTGTTTTGTCAATTTTTCAACTGGGTTACGATCTTGGAGTCAATTTTAAGACTATAATCCTCTTAAACTTAACAAATAGAAAAAAGATCCTCTGAAAAAAGTATACATTGAACAATTATCAGCTATCTAAATAAATAGTTTGTAAGTTTTATAAGAGAATTAAACAGACAAAATATATATAAGGTCAGGATAAAGAACAGAAAATGTATAACTTAATGTTAAGACTTCACAATCCCATTTCTATTTGGATTTAATGTTCAACAGCAAAATGTGAAATGCACCTCAGTTGTGTTTTTTGACATACATGTACATTTACAGTTGACATGAATTTGTACAAAATATGAACACTGATCAACTGACGCATCAAACATTTGCCTCATCTTCGCTAGCCAAAGGTTTTTGATCCGCCACTCTCGAGCTCCTCAAAGGGATTTTGAGAAGCGGTGTGAATCGGAAAACCTGGCATAGATAGCGAAAATACATTAACCTTCAACGAAAATATTGTGTCGGTTAACGTCACCTTCTGGGCTTGACGGGAGACTTTTGTCATAAAAGTGACAAAAAATGAATTTTTTTAGAAAAAATAATTTTTAGTCAATGTCATTAAAAAACAGTTTAGAAGAAAAGTACTGTTAAATCAAGTTTTTTCTTTTCTAACACTTGTATTCTCGTTGATTCTTTTAAGAAATAAGTTTCGTTGATGTTATGACATCGACTTTGTTTAATGAGACAAGTAAAAACAGTGGAAGTGAAGAACATGTATATTATGAACTGATTTTTCTTAACTGATCATAATTGTTTTTCTTCCTTTCATGCAATTCTTCTAGTTGGAAAATTATACTCCTTCACATTAGAAATATCTAATATCTTTAAGTATTACGAAGACGGAAATTTCAATGATAAATAAGTTCGATTACAACAACTACATGTGCTCCATTTAAATGTATGTTAAGTATTTTGAATTCAAACCCTGTTTTTGGCAAGTGTTAAAATGTGTATAGGTCACATAACTAATACTTTAAATCCTTAAACTGCCTATCAGGAATGCAAAGCGGTAAAAATATTTCCATTTCGAAGTTAAAGACCTCTAAATAATATTTTCATCTCCTATTAATAATACTAATAGTAATATTAGGCTGAGTTTATGATATTCTGAAGAATCAGATACATGTATCCTACCTTCTTGAGTTATTCGAATTGGATATACATTGTAGAAAGGAAAAATGATATAATCTGACATTTTTAAAAAAAATGCAATCAGCCATTTAATCATTTTTGTTAACAAGACAGATAATTTGGTAATACAATAGTGAGAAAACTTTTTTTAAAAAATACTATTAAAGCTTATATCAAAGGTATAGAAGCAAAAACAAAAGATTTTTTTTTGCAAATACATGTAGGTTTTAACGTAGCTACGGATAGCGATCACGTGACATTGCATGTGAATTCTAAATTAAGAATTTTTCGGTTCGCTTATTCCGGAAATGCGCATAGTTCAATATGGCGGACTTCGGTTGTAAACAACGTGCTCCGAGAAAACTACACGGGAAACGTTATAAGAAGGCTCCGCTGTAAAGGTAGATCAAGTAAATTAGAGCGAATGAGAGAATAATAACATCTTAAGAAACAGGACAACACTAAAACTTTTTTACAAAAGAAAATATCCGTACATCGCAAACGACTTGCACCCCTATTCCAAAGCAGACGATGCAGCTGGTGTGAATCATAAAATGACATCAAATCGAACGAAGGACGAAGATTTGTTGAGATGAGGAACTTGACAAACCAGTTTGTATGCTTACAGTCACAGTGATAACGGCAATCGTTTGTATCTTTTCCAACTTTGAAAGCGATGGTGACCCGGTACTTTATTGTATCAATACATTGTGACTGATAGTGCTGTACTATTTATGGATTTACCGACACTTTCCACGAGAAAGCCCGGCCCCGAAAAGAATACGATAGAGAGACCAAAAGTAGCTCTTGGTAAGTCATATAAATATTAATATGACATAACAATTCATTTCAAACTTCTTTCATAATAGCCTATTGTAATTCAGCATGACGAATAACCTAAACCTTAGTAAATCCAGCCACCATTTGCGGGTGGGGGGCGGGGGCAAATTTTATGGATGTCAGATTATTTATTTGCAGTGACGGACAGATAATTTATTTTTATTTCCAAGATATTGACATAATTGTACACTGGGGACAGATTATTTTTGTTTTTCTTCTCTGGGAAAAACTGTGTCAATGTGGTAAACATTGAAACTGTTGGCATGTTGTTTACTGGTCTGATGAAATTCACAAATCTTCATATTATTACTGCTACTGTAATATAGTTGAATATTGGTAAGGTAGTGGGGCATTTTAGTGCAAGATTTTCTTGTTAAAAAGTGATTTGCCAATCAACTAATATAATTAAATAAAATTTTGGTTTTGCTGGTATATATGTATATTTATTTAATCTATTTTTTTTTCAGCCATCAAGATGGTACTTTCTGGTATAGGACCATCCAACCCTTGTAGTAAATTTTCTCAGCACCTGAGTGTACATGTAACACTTCACCTATTTGGCATCACCACTTTGAGGAAATAGAGATGTTAGCCTCCGTTAATTGTGAAACCAAGCCAAGGAGTCTTGTTGGATAGCTAGAGATGAAGAATGTTAAACAGGACCAGTTGAAATGCATTTTTGATGCTGGATAGCAGACCAGGGGATCTTGCTGTCAGCATAATAGTGATAATGGTTAAGTCATCATTTAAATTTTGCTATGCCAAATTTAATAAGTGTAGAAAATTGGCAATTTCCATGTATGAGGTGTAAATTTTTGCAAGTTATATATATACAATAGCATGTATGTAATGGTTTGGGTCGTGGATATCATACAGGGTAGCTCAGTCGGTATAGACATATACCGACTAGTGATGCAGGGGTCTCGGGTTTGATTCCCAGTCCATCCATATATTTTCTCTTTTCCTGTTACATATACATGATGTTCACCGAAATTCTGTATATATGATATAGACACTGTGAGAAATATATTTTGATGTTGACTGCAGATAATATTGTATTTGTTAAATTTTATATATTACAGATAAATTCATAAAGTACAGAGTACAACTGATATATGAATGTGAGGTTCAGAACATTCATGCTGATGATGATTCAACTACTGCAGCTCAACCGAAGAATGACTTTCCGCCCCTTCCAAAAAGAGTAGGACAAGAATCGCTTGTTGAAAATGAACTAACATAGTCAATAGACTAAAGTTTACTTTTCTTTGTCAGTTTTATATTACAAGTATCTATTGATTGAGTGTTACATCAAAAGTGGTAACTAATCACTCCACATATAGATTTTTTTCCCCCATTTTTCATGTATAGTCTACCCTGTAAGTGTTATGTCTGTGTGGTAATAGATCACTCCACATGCAGCCTTTTTTTATTTTTCATGTTTAATGTACTATGTTATGTTTTACTTATGTCAGTTGCAGTATTACGCTGCTAGATTATTCTTTTTCAAAAAATGTATGCATAATTATATGTCGACTTGTGATGTCGAGTTCAATAATAGGCCACTCAACAGATATTATACATAATCTACCTTGTGAGTGTTTTTCAGGTTTGTTAATAAGCTGCTCCAGATATTTATGTAGAATCTTTTTTTTTTTTTAACTTTTTATATAAAATGTTCTGCGTCAAGTGTTATGTCCCAGTGCAGCATTGTCATTCTGTTTTTAATTTTTATGTATAGTTTATGTATGCCTCAGGTCAAGGACAGTTATTATCCTACCTGCTCATGGAATAAAATGACTTTTGATCAATTTGAAAGAGTACTTATCATATTTTTTAGCTCACCTGAGCTGAAAGCTCAAGTGAGCTTTTCTGATCACCCGGTGTCCGTCGTCCGTCCGTCCGTCTGTCCGTCCGTCCGTCCGTCCGTCCGTCTGTAAACTTTTCACATTTTCACCTTCTTCTCAAGAACCACTAGGCCAATTTTAACCAAACTTGGTACAAAGCATCCTTTGGTAAAGGGGAATTTAAATTGTTAAAATCAAGGGCCAAGACCCCTTCCAAGGGGAGATAATCAAGAAAATACGAAAATAGGGTGGGGTCATTAAAAAATCTTCTTCTCAAGAACCACTGGGCCAGAAAAGCTGAAATTTATGTGGAAGCATTCTGGGGTAGTGTAGATATTAAATTGTTAAAATCATGACCCCCGGGGGTAGGGCGGGGCCACAATAGGGAATCCAAGTTTTACATAGAAATATATAGAACAAATCTTTAAAAATCTTCTTTTCAAGAACCACTGGACCAGAAAAGCTTAAACTTATGTGGAAGCATCCTTGGGTAGCGTAGATATTAAATTGTTAAAATCATGACCCCCTGGGGTAGGGCGGGGCCACAATAGGGAATCCAAGTTTTACATAGAAATATATAGAACAAATCTTTAAAAATCTTCTTCTCAAGAACCACTGGACCAGAAAAGCTTAAACTTATGTGGAAGCATTCTTGGGTAGTGTAGATATTAAATTGTAAAAATCATGACCCCCGGGGGTAGGGCGGGGCCACAATAGGGAATCCAAGTTTTACATAGAAATATATAGAACAAATCTTTAAAAATCTTCTTCTCAAGAACCACTGGGCCAGGAGAGCTGAAACTTATGTGGGAGCATCCTTGGGTAGTGTAAATATTAAATTGTAAAAATCATGACCCCCGGGGGTAGGGCGGGGCCACAATAGGGAATCCAAGTTTTACATAGAAATATATAGATTAAATCTTTAAAAATCTTCTTCTCAAGAACCACTTGGCCAGGAGAGCTGAAACATATGTGGGAGCATCCTTGGGTAGTGTAAATATTAAATTGTTAAAATCATGACCCCCGGGGGTAGGGCGGGGCCACAATAGTGAATCCAAGTTTTACATAGAAATATATAGAACAAATCTTTAAAAATCTTCTTCTCAAGAACCACTGGGCCAGGAAAGCTGAAACATATGTTGGAGCATCCTTTGGTAGTGTAAATATTAAATTGTAAAAATCATGACCCCCGGGGGTAGGACGGGGCCACAATAGGGAATCCAAGTTTTACGTAGAAATATATAGAACAAATCTTTAAAAATCTTCTTCTCAAGAACCACTGGGCCAGGAAAGCTGAAACTTATGTGGGAGCATCCTTGGGTAGCGTAGATATTAAATTGTAAAAATCATGACCCCCGGGGGTAGGGCGGGGCCACAATAGGGAATCCAAGTTTTACATAGAAATATATAGAACAAATCTTTAAAAATCTTCTTCTCAAGAACCACTGGGCCAGACGAGCTGAAACTTATGTGGGAGCATCCTTGGGTATTGTAAATATTAAATTCTTAAAATCATGACCCCCGGGGGTAGGGCGGGGCCACAATAGGGAATCCAAGTTTTACATAGAAATATATAGAACAAATCTTTAAAATCTTCTTCTCAAGAACCACTGGGTCAGGAGAGCTGAAACATATGTGGGAGCATCCTTTGGTAGTGTAAATACTAAATTGTTAAAATCATGACCCCCAGGGGTAGGGCAGGGCCACAATAGGGTTTTACATAAAAATATATAGAACAAATCTTTAAAAATCTTCTTCTCAAGAACCACTGGACCAGGAAAGCTGAAATGTATGTGGAAGCATCCTGGGGTAGTGTAGATATTAAACTGTAAAAATTATGACCCCCAAGGGTAGGGTGGGGCCACAATAGGGAATCCAAGTTTTACATAGAAATATATAGAACAAATCTTTAAAAATCTTCTTCTCAAGAACCACTGGGCCAGGAAAGCTGAAACTTATGTGGAAGCATCCTAGGGTAGTGTAGATATTAAATTGCTAAAATCATGACCCTTGGGCGTAGGGTGGGGCCACAACGGGGAATCCAAGTTTTACATAGAAATATATATAGAACAAATCTTTTAAAAAGATCTGCATCACCCAAGTTACTCAGGTGAGCGATGTGGCCCATGGGCCTCTTGTTTCAATGATATTCTTATTATTCTATGAAATAGAATTTTGTGAAATGTGCAGTGCTATGTCAGATGGATTTTTTTAAATTCTGTATGACCAAAATGTTTTTTTCGGACAAAGTACATGTAGCATGCATTTGACATGTTAATAATTAGGAGGATTTTGACATTCCATGAAAAAAATATTGATGCATAAAGGGGGGGGGGTGGTATTAGACCATTTTTTTAATTTAATAGTTAATTACCTCTCAATGTGGCCAAGATTTCTGAGTGAGACATTGTATTGGACATTTTTTTCATACAATACATTTTTTAGAAATCTATAAGAAAACATAGACTTTGTTTGCATGAAAGTAATCAAAAGGGTTCATGTTGAAGATTTTTAATTGTTTTTTAACTACATTTTTGTTCAAGTATCTATTGTTGAAATATAAATTTATATTTTAATATTTGTTGAGGAATTTTCCAAAAAAAAAAAAAAAAAAAAAAATAAAGCACATATTTACAATTCATTTTTTATGGATTATTTCAATATTGGTTTAATTACAAGATTTTCTTTAGTCATTTATTAGAAATTGATTTTTACTTCTGATTTATTTCTTCAGTTGGTTTTCCCTAATTTGCTATGCAGTTTTTTGAATAGCCACTTTAATCATTATTCTTACCTTTATGACGGAAACCAAAAGGGGGGGGGGGTAGTTGTGGACCATTTGGTACCTTTATTAGTCCTCAATGTGACCAAGATTTTTTGAGTGAAGAATGGTATTAGATAAATCTTTTATATAATGATAAAAAATTAAAATTCTATTGGACAGATTTTTTTTTAGAATTTAAAAAGTGTCAAATTTGCATGCCTGAAAATGGTCAAATTTGTTAAATTTCAAATGTTTTACATGTTGTATTCCCTTAATTCATTTATATTCAGACAATCCATTGTTCAAATAAGTTTATAGTATCAATAATGTTTAAAAATAATTTTTAATATTGAATGTATGTTGCATAATAAATTTTTTATGTGTAATATATATCTTGTATTATGATTTTTTGAGTGAGTGGAAAGGGGAGGTAACTCAGTGCCCCCTGGTTCCGTAATTTACCCACAATGCCATGTTCATATTTCGACTGAGTGTTCATTACACATCCCTTTACGCCATGTGAAAATTTCAACAAAATCTATTGACAGGTTTTTTTTGGGGTCAGGTGTCCTTAGCTACCTTAATGTAACATACGAAAATTGCTAATTTTAGTGACCTGTTAAGTAATCGTCTTTGGTCTTGAGCCAGAATAATTCTGAAAGAAATACTTACAAATTAAAACCAGCTTTAAAGGCCGGTTGTCTAAAGTAGACCTCAATTTATTCCAGGGCAATAGGACAAGTTAATTTTACCTGAACTCAGCTAGGGCAAGCTTATACTTAATCGATTGAAAATACACACTGGAACTTTTTAAGAAATGATAGAAACGCTGTTGTATCTATCATTTCCAATATGAACTGTTTTTATTTTATTGTATAAGTCAGGTTAATCTTTTTTTTACTTTGTTGATATTTTTTAATAAAAAAAATATTAAATTATGATTTAAGATAGTAAAAGACAAATTATTTGCAATTTTACTTTGTTATATGTGAATGAAATCCGGCTAACACTTGTCAGTATGATATACCTTTGTCAAATTTTCATGATAATTTCTAAAAAGAAAAATTAAAAGGAAACTTAAAAAGATACACATAAACTAACTGTTTTGAAATAGATTTATACATACCTTTTGTCAAAGTCATTGAATGAACATTCAGTTTAAGGTATGAAAATCAAAGAATTATAAAAAGACTAAATAGACATTTTGAAAATAAATTGATCTTTTTGCCTGTTTTTAGCTTTTCTTCAGCCAATTAGTGCCATTATAAGAAATGAAAATCTCATATACATATATATGAATTTTGTTAAAAAATATTTAAAAATCTTTAGTGCCAATTAAAAAAAATGACCCGAGCGTAGAAAAAAATTATTTGGTATCTCAGGATGATGGTATGTACTGTCCGTTAAACCCTTTGTATGTTTAACGAGGTTCGCTCATCAGCTTTTCAGCAGATTTTTGCTTTGACATCTATTTTTTAAAAAAAACTCTGCATAATGTTTTAGTTTTTACTTATTTGGATATAAATATGGATTCTATAATGCTATTTAAACTATATTCTATTTAATTCTTTCAAACTATATTCAATTAAAAACCCATGGTTAAATGAATACATACAGTCAGAAACTGTATTTTGTGGCGGATGGTTTTTTTTTTCCGAAAAAAAAAGATTAATTTTTCCTCTTTCGGAGTATTCAGTATTGTTAAGTTTGGATACCTATTTTTGCATGCAGCCTGCATTAAGAATAACTTTGTGCAGTGAAATGTTTTTACTGGTCTTAAAATATATATTGAATAAACTTTCATGATTTTTTTCATCATATTTTGTAAAAAATTCAAATATATCGTTAATGTCATTGAAAAGAAACTGCACAATTTAAGCTTATATAAATTAGCAGTATTTTAAGTAATATCTAAAAATCAACATCAAAGACCCCCACTTGTTATATCATTTTCTTTATATAGACTATTAACCACTCTGCTTCATTTCAGAAAAAATGACATGTTACTTTTAAATTACTTTCTTGCTTTTCAAATTTTAAATACCAGAAATATATTATTTTCGAGTGCAGACTGGTCAAATAATTGACTATGCAAAGTTATTTGAAACTGTTTGTTACTACAATTCTAATGTGACTATTTAAGATGAAAAATTCATTTTGGATAAAACAAACTAAAGGACAAACTTTAAAAATTTAATTTATGTGTTAGAGGTATTTATAGTGCACAAAGGTCATATTGATTTCTAGATAGTGCTTTAAAAAGCGCACTGACCCCTTTTTTGTTTTGATTTATTATTAAGCTACATATATGTGTGTAGATAAATTTTAAAAATATTTTTGAAAATAATGTACACTTGACCAAAATACTTTTGATAACATTAGCCAACCTCCTTAAACGTAACATATTCCTAATTTAATAATCTTGAAAGCAAAAAAAAAAAAAAAAAAAAAAAATAGGTTGCAGATAGATTCCTGGCATTTAATAAAGTCAATGAAGTTTTAGAATTATGTTTGCTATTGAAAATATCTTGTGTCACTATTTTTAAAGTGTGTATTGTATCGGTATAATTGATACATTTTCTCAGTTGTTTGATGTAGTCTTTAACAGGAGTTAAGCCATAAACATAACAAAATAGTTAACATGAATATAAAATGATCATTTTCAAGTATATCTAGTAATTATCATTTGTACCTTGTAAAGATAGTATATATTTTCTGCTGGCTTTAAAACTTTCAGTCATGGTAAGAAATTTTAATAATATGTAAGCATTCAATATACTAATCTTATAAATAGATAAATAATGATTATAAATATATTTATAATTTTACATAATTACACAATGACACGAACATAAAAATATATTGTAATTTCTAAACTTTATTTTTTCACAATGCATAAATTGTATTCAAATATAGATTTTGTTTCATTGATGAAATCATTAATTTTATGTCAAAATAATCAATTCAAGAAATCCGATCAAATCGAGGCTTATTTGGTTCACCGTTTTTTTTTTTATCTATATGTATTTGAATTTATATAATCTCTCAAAAATGAAATCAGTAGTTAAAGTTCTACTATTGTTTATTTTATTGATTAATTATTTAATTTATTAATTTTCAGGCTGTCCAGTCGACAGTTTTGCTGTTTCTAGTTGCTTGCATCATCGGGTCAGCAATAGGTCAACTCTTCGACAACCACAGAGGGCGTATGTCAATTCTTATTGTATCTATAATTGAAAAACAAGAACCTAAGGATAAGTTTATTCTTAAATTAATTTAAACGTCAAAGTTGTTATTTTAATGTGAATTATGACAAACATCGAATTGATCATTATTTATAAAATCAAAAAAAAAAAAAAGAGAGATGAAATTCTCAATATATGAAATACATGTACATTAGGATATCTTGTTAACAAAAAAGATATGCATATAAATAGTAAGAAGATACATCTTTGTTCGATTAATTGTTTGCTTTGAGTTACAATCTTTGAATACCACCAATGAAATTTTAATACAAAAATTACCCAATTTCTCTCTTGTTGACAATAAATTCTGCAAAAGAATACATTTATTTATTATCAATTATCATCTTTAAAAAATCATCGATTCTAAAAAATCCAAAACCTTTTTTTTCTAGCCTGGAATGTAGTGTTCAAGCTCCCTAAAGGAGCGCGTCCCACGGGATACAGTAGTGTCAACGCCTTCTGGACAGCCAGCGGACATTACAACGGAGAAGACGTGTCGGCCATGAGAGACTTCAGCGCCGCCAGCAAAATCTACAAATCAAAATGGCTGGACGACTGGCAAAGCCGAAGCTTCTCCGCTGTAGGTTTACCCCCTCCCCTCCTCTCTTCCTCTCATTCATTCATTATTTGACGTACTTACATATCAAAAACAAACACTCCCAAAAGGCATAATTATTTCTTACAAGCAATACCAACAAATATGTTTTTGAATTAAGTGATTCCTTTTATGTATATACCATTGATAAAACTGGATGAATAGTTTAATAAACGTATGCATGCAAATATTTACATTTCCAATAAATTTCCCCATGATTCTCTACAAAATAAAATGCAGTATATTTAAGCATTGAAATCATATTTTTGGATGTCTTCGGTCCTATAACACACCTGGCCGTGCCGACAAATTGAATACCGCGCGTTAGCGCGGTATGATAATTCGTCGGCACGGCCAGGTGTGTTATAGGACCAAAGACATCCAAAAAAATGAATTCAGTGCTTATATTTACATTCTCTAATTTTCATTTTTCATAATTTCTTATTTCGTTAATCTTAAATGTTAATTTAGTGCCCTTCAAAACTGCCGAGGTTAATAGATGTAAGAGCCGTTTGTGACGTCAAATGACGTTAAATGACGTTTCATAGTTAAATTACGCAAACAAACATTGCGAGGAAAAAAATTGACAAATTAAGTCTTAATGCACATTACGTTAATTTTTACGTTAATTTTTCAAGATTATAGTTTTTCATTAAATTGAAATAAAACTTTTTACAGTTTGGTGTTAGTAGAGTATTGAAAATACATGTAGTTCCTACTGTGTATTCTAACGCGCGGTGACAAGGTTTCGCGGGTGTTATAGAAATTTGAACGTCGTGGATTTCTAGTAGATTTCATAAGGAAAATTACACTGAATGTCAATATTTTCTCATGAACTACATTAGGTATGTACCACAAATAAGCATGAATATCTTCATTGTTACGTCGTAATACCGCTCTTGACGTCAAAAAATATAGTGCACATTGTTTTGTTGTAAAAATAACAGTTGAATGGCGTAAATTTATGGCAAGTCATCGGAAAATAATGTAAATATAAGAAATGAATTTAATTTTTGAAGATTCATGAGGTATATGAACTACAAAGCTTCACGCCGGCATATTTATCATGAAGCGCTAACGCGCTTCGTGAAATATGCTGGCGTGAAGCGTCGTAGTTCATAACCTCTTGAATCTTCAAAAATCAAATTCATTTCTAAAATGAACATTTAACATCAGATACTTTGTAACCATATCTATTTTATGCTGCTATCATAGAAGAGTCGGAGGTATACATGTACATGTATATTGATTTTATCCTGTCTGTCTGACCGCACAATCTTTGACCTTCGCACGTTTTTCACACATTTTGTTTTCTTTTTTTTAATAAGGTCCGTCTGTCAGCTTACAAAGGCAATAAGGAGGTAGCATACGTGGTGTTTGACAGTATGGGAAAAAGTAAGAACGAGTGGCTGGACTGTGGACGAATCATTGACTCCAGCTACACTGATATTACAACGGCCACCAAAAACTACTGCGAAATGAAGTAGGTGACGTCATAAATTGTACATGTATTTTCAAATAAATAAAAAAAAACCGATTGATAAACTGATAAAAGTTTATTAAAATGATTTTAAAAACTACATTGTTTCCAAATTAAGCACCCTTAGCTCGAAATTATACTGTCACCGCAACCATGGACCTATATTCATGAACTAACTGTGAGCATATACACATAGGCCCATGACGCAACCATGTATTCTTCCCTTTCCCTATGGTAAAATGCCAGTAAGCAAAATCCCATCTTTTTTGTCTTTATGTACCAATGTACGCATAAAATTATCATTTATACATGAAATATGATTTCCCGTGTAGCCCTAACACCGGAAGACGTACCTTTTTCATTAATCACCAATATGGCGGCTGCACCTCCGACGCTGGTTGGTTCATGCTTAAAGATTATGACGCAACTTCCGAATGTACAGAATGGGACGTTATGGCGGGAACACCTTACTTCTATTACTCTGCTTCAACTACCAAAGAAAACTGGAGCTCAGGTAAAATCTTATAAATGATAAACTCAGATGAATCATACTTTGTATGTTTTGCAAGTGTTATGACTGAAGGAAAAATACAGTAACTAGTAATGCACATTATAATTGATCCCAAAATGCATATTCATATTTTCAGTTATACAAGAGGATTATGGTGACATTTTTGTGATGATAAAATGCATTAATTATTAATTTTATATCCAGTTGATTTAAGAAATAAAGTCCGCGTTTTCGTGAATGTTGCAGAATAACCTCCGTGGTCGAGAAATGTTGTTTGAAAGATAAAAGCCGAGGCGCTAGCCGAGGCTTTTATATTTCAAACAACATTTCGAGACCGAGGAGGTTATTCTGCATCATTCACGACAACAAGGACTTTATTTCTATTCTACCAAGTATGGTACAAACGCTAAATAAGGGATAATCGTTTCCTCTATAGAGAAACGAATTAGGTCACCCTGTCTAAATTACGCTGTTTCATTTAACACCAAAGGTAAAATTTGTTTGCTTACCTGTACATAGAATGCAGACGATCTGAGCTTTCGTTACATTTAAAATAGCCTTATTTAATTACTAATATGTTCGTAATGTGGATTGATCAGTTAAAAAGAATATACAATAACAAAATCATGTTCCTGTTTTACTGCTAAAATCACGTTGTTTAATGTGTAGGGAGGTCCGTGGAATAGCCTCGCTTAGCTATAAAAACCGACATTCATCCGCATCTTGATGCAATTTACAGTGTTTATACTGCAAAAGACGACACATCGATGCGGTCTAAACAAGTATTTCATTCTACAGCCCAAACATGCATTTGAATTGTTAAGATTTGATACGTGTTTCTGATCTGATAATTTTTTGATGACGTTCGTGATTTATTGGAGAATAATGTCCGGCGGTTTCCTTTGAAGTTTACGATAATCGTGGTAGAATTATTCTTCTTTTTCCCTTTCTAGGAAACAAAGGCACCGCTGACGCTATGGTTGTTTCTGTAATGGGTATGTACATACTGTAGGCAAAATTAAATAGGAAATGAGGGATATAAAAGTGTTTTGATAATGATACCTATTGCAACTCATTTTCCTACTTTGGATCAATGCATTTGCAATAAGTTTTATTTGAGCTACTTGTAAATTTTTATCGTGAAGGTTACTTTTGAACTAATTTTATTTATCGCTTAATTCATGTATAAAACTAATAAATTTTACTCACACAGCCTGGGACATGGTATTTAAGGCGGTGGAGGGCGTGGTTCCTCCCCAGGGTGGCCTGAGACAGCTGTGGTACTCCTCCGACACCCTGAACAGTGACAACCCCTCCGCTCAGACCCTCACCAAGGCACCGAACCTCGTGTACAAGTCCAAGAATGTAGAGACCTGGAGAAGCATTCCGGGATTTTTCATCGAAAGCGTAAGGAACTCAAATTATTTTTGCTGGACTATTTAAACATCATTGAATATAATGGTAGACCATACATCCTCACAATGTTAGGGGTCATGAACCCGATAGTGGAATATGATCTATCCTCACAATGCCACGGGTCAGGAACCCGCTCATCCAATGAGTGCGCCGTCCACCTTGAAGGTGTCAGGATGGTCAATAGTTCTTAAGTTAGCCATGGTATGATAAGGTCGTTGTGGTATGCTGCACTCTGGTGCTTTTATTTCTTTCTTTAAGTTCTTGATTTTTGACAAATGTAATTTGCTATGTTTTTTTTCAGGTAAAATACGCATACTTTACCAACGGCGTAGAGGTTGCCTTTATCATTTTTGACGGACGTGACGCCGACAAGAATGGTTGGTTCAACGACGACAGAATTCTTTACTCCTACTGGAACGATATCATTGGGTACACAAAGGTCGGCTCCAGCATTGATGGGTACGTCATCAATTTTGATAAAAATTCTGATAGATAGCAATTAATCTAGCTGCAAACCTTGGCGAATCGGCCGAGGTGTGCCGAGTGAAATAACAGTGGATTTTTTTCTTTTTGGATAAAATTTCAAGAAATCGTCAGTTGGAAAATGTTTCTTTTCTTTTTTTCAAAATAGCGATGGTACACGACGATTCTGTGTTCATAAGGAACACGGAGGATGTCCGAATGACAAAGCTTGGATGAACATTCTGGACTCCTCGGATTCTTCCACGCCTTGCTCATGGGATCAAAACGTCAGACCTAGACCATATTTCCTTTACAGTAACAAGAAAACATGGGCACTTTGTCAAGCTAGTGAGTTATAAGTATTTTGAAGTATTAGTAAGGATTTTTGTTCATCCATCGCTATGCCAAGGTATTTTTATTAATAAAGATTGGTGCTCCGTTTAGCTGACATCAAAGATATCTTTTTTTCAGATAATGCTTGGAATCAAGCCGAGTTTCCTGCAGCTGAAACAATGGCAATTTTTGTAAAAGGTAACAACTGAGAATTCTGAGTAAGGTTACCTATAAGAGAGGGGCCCATTTTCTCTATAATTATCAATTTCTTTAAAACGTAAGTCGTTTAACGTAAGTTGTTTTGAAATTATGTTGATTCTATTTTCTGTAATTTTTTTTCGATTCCAAGGTTGGCGAATGGTGATGAAGATTGCCCATACAGTGTCCATTGCACCGGCGACTTCCGTGTACGACTTGTGGACCGGTACTTACACTCTTAACGAATTTGACGCAGACGCTCTGACCATTGGTACAGGCACAAAAACATACAAGTCCAGCGTTGTCGATAACTGGGGAAACTATCAGATATCTGCTGTAAGAATAAAATCTAAGATCGTATACAGCATTTGGAAAACAAATTCAAATGGATATAAGCACATGTAAAAAGCCATATCAAACATATTCTCTGTCACTAAGTTCGTATAGCTTTATGGCATGTTAGTAATGAATTTTATTCTTTGCATTTTAAATTAATTCATCTTCAATTATCAAATATTAGGTGAGAGTAAGCTATTACTCGAAGGGCAAAGAAACCGGTTATGCAGTGTTTGATACACACGGTGTCGCTGACAAAAACAGCTGGTTTGACTGTAGTAGAATTCTGTATTCATCTTATAGTGACCTGACCCGCCTTAAGGCTGTGTCTTATTGTGGAATCCCAGGGTAAGAAAACCTGGCACTTTCTTAAGTTCAATATCAAAGTCTACATGTACATATTATAAAATAAATAAGAATATTACAAATCAGTAATATCAAAAAGACAAACTTGAAACCAGGCTAAGTACTCAGTGAAAGTGCACATTACTAAAATCTCACCTTTTTTTCAATTCAGAGATGGATCTCTAAAAAGACGTTTCTTCATTCAAAACAACTACGGTGGATGCGGGAATGATGCTGGTTGGTTCCTTGTGGTGGAAGGTGACGCATGCGCATGGGAGCGCAGAACCACTCGCCCCTACTTCCTGTACAGCGGCCTACCAGGGCGGGATTTACAAGATAGTCAGTTTTATTTTTCTTTAAATCTGATAAATAAATTTTAAAAAAATGAAGTCACGGTTTCATTATGTTAAACTTTAAACTACTAGTGTATTATTTAAGAAATAAGTGGTATCAGTTTTGTAATGCATGCACAATGATATTAATATCAATATCATAGTAACGTGCAAAATATTTAAAAGTAAATTTGACATACCATACAAACACTTTTTTTCCAGACATGGTTATTGCGGACCTGTTCCTCATTTCCGTTGGTAAGTTGTTGAAAGTATAGACCAAAATATGTTTTATAGCATTGATTAAAAAATATTACTCGGATATCATATAAACAATGAAACTACAGTGGGGCCTCATTTATCCGGACGCTTTGGTTCCTAGTCAATTTGTCTGGATATGAGAAGCGTCCGGATACCTGAATCATCAGTTAAACAAGACTAAATAATGTTAAAAAATTCCGTTCCAATGAAGAATCGTCCGGATACTGCAGCATCCGGATATCTAAGGTCCACTGTATTCAAATAATTAAACCATAAACCTTGTAGTCTTACACCTTTTGTACATTCATTAAAATTGTCTTTTACTGCTTTTGAGTTGGGCGTCAACTTTAATTTTCAGATTTAGTTGAACATGAATCATATCTATTTAGTTATGGACAATTGTTACCCCAACCCTTGTCAAAATGGTGGCACGTGCTATAACGAGGGAATGGACTACACGTGCACGTGTACTGGAGATTGGCTCGGTCAAAGGTGCACTGATAGTAAGTTGTATTCTCCTTTTTCGCCAAACAGATAATGTGGAATCCACAGGCTTTAACATCGACTAAGATATTTTAAGATGTAAATCAAAACATTGCTTGTGTGATTTAAGTTTCAATTTCCATGTTTTTGTACATAAAGACTAGCAGCAAGCTCATCTGAGCGCGCTTTCTAGAAGTTACTTCTCCTATAGCGAGTTGTTTAAGATATTATATTATCTTTATATTTAACATGAATAACGATTTCAAACAGAAAATGGCGCTTGGGGATCATGGGGTTCATACGGCGCATGCTCCAAAACTTGCGGAACCGGAAAGAAGACAAGAACAAGGACATGTGACAATCCTGCTCCTCTTGGTAACGGCGCCACTTGTCCTGGTGACGTCAGTGAAGATGCCGACTGCAACACGCAACCATGCCCAAGTATATATTTTTCTTTGTCCTGTTATATGAATGGCTATAAAGTTAATATTCATTAGAAATTTCGAGAACCATTTGTGTATAAAAGAGATGATAGTATGAAAAAGGAGGTTGAATATATTTTTCTCTGATAGTTGATGGCATGTGGGGAAGTTGGGGATCATGGGGCACTTGTTCAACTACTTGCGGTGGAGGTAACCAAAATCGTACTCGGACCTGTACCAACCCACAACCTCAACATGGAGGTAACGACTGCGTTGGAAATGCTCAGGACACGCCCCAATCCTGTAGTACAAACCCATGCCCTAGTAAGTCATTGTTACAAAAATAACCTTTTCCCTATTTAATAAAGGTTCTTTTTGATATATTTAAGGGACTACGGCATTTCATTGATTTTCAGTCGATGGTGAGTGGGCGAGCTGGGGAACCTGGGACACGTGTTCTGTCACATGCGGGGGAGGAACACAGGGGCGAAATAGAACATGTACAGATCCGGCCCCTCAATATGGCGGAAAAGACTGCGTGGGTAGTTACACGGATTCACCTCGTGACTGCAATACTCAAGTCTGCATCAGTATGTGTTGATTTCTTCTGCGTTCTTAAGTCTTAAGTTTTGAGGGGAAAATCTGTTTTATTTCCCAGCAATTTGAGTCTGAGAATAATGAAAAAAAATTAATGACTTCAAGCTTTGAAAACATACCTATTTTTTTTTAATAGTTGATGGATCATGGGGAAGTTGGGCTTCTTGGGGCACGTGCACGAAGACTTGCGGAGGAGGAGAGTGGTCCAGATCACGCACGTGTGATAACCCAGCACCTGCGAACGGAGGAAAAGATTGTGTGGGTGCCATGTCTGAATTCAATGACTGTAACACAGCCGCGTGCCCAACGGTGGCCGCAGGACAATACCAACAGGTGCATGGTGTTTTATCCCTCTTTCTACGTATACACGACTGTATATAATTATAATTTGTTTCAAGAAATTAAAAAAAAGTAAGCACTGTTACAGTAAAGATTTCGCTTAATGTGGAGAAATTGTAAAATTATTTAATGCGTTTTTCAGATGTGTCCATCCGGGTATTTTACCTGTGAGACTGGTTCGATGAGCTGCATTCAAGAGTCATTCAAGTGTGACTGCTCCAGTGACTGCGACGACGGAAGTGACGAAACAGAAGGCTACGCCGGATGTCCCGCTACACAGGCAGCCATGTGCATGGCGGAGAACTCTAGTAAGTGTTCCGCTAGTAGAAATTGATGCAATTTGCATTTTTGAAAATATTTTTCTTGGTCCTATTTTTCAATTTCATATCGGTCACGGTAGCATAGTGGTAGATCGTTCGCTTCTTGATCGCGAGGCCCGGTTTCGATTCCCGTTCGCGGTTCGGCGTCATACCTTACACGTAAACATAGATTATGACTGTTCCTTCGCCAAGTGCTCGGTACTAGTAGTGAAAGTCACGGGTCTTTCATATATGACCTCAAAAAGGTAGGTCTCGTGTCACGGTAGGCGTTGACACGATAATAAAGAACCCTCACAGCTCAGTGGCTCTGAGTGCCGAGTATAGGTCTCAATTTAAAACGCTTCACCGGCATACAGTGAGTGAAAGATTCTCGAGAGGGACATTAAACAACATACAATCAATCAATCAATGTCATATTGCAAAGAAGTTTTTGAGTGGATGGATTCATTCCTTTTGCGGTTCAGTTTATGGTTCCTAGCTATAAACTGTCGTAATTTGAATCAAAAGTACAGTTAAAAATTAAAGCGACAATAAAATTAAACTGTTCGAAGTCCAAAAATGAACCCCCCTCCCAACCCCCCAAAAATCACTAAATAAAAATGTTTTGATTTTCTTTTAGGTACAACAATGTTGTTCTCACTAGCTCTGACGATGGTGGCTGCTGTCATCGCCACTTTGTTGTAGTCCATGGAAACAAAAAGGAAGAGCATACTAAAAAACGATCCTGTATACAAATCTGTTTCCGAAAAATAAAATCATACATCGAAAAAAAAAGTTTGTTTTCCTTTTTCTTACATACTATGCAGAGTTCTGTAAATTTATTCATCCTGACGTGTAATGATGTGACTTTTTCTGCAACAGAGATGGCGTATCAATAAAATTAAAGGTACATAGACACAGATTTGAAGTTAATATTTTCTGTATAATATCACGAATCATACAGTGTAATAGCATTTCACACGAAAATATGTTAAAAATCTTATTTCATCTAAAAGTTATAACAACTTCAAATTTTTGGATGGATTTGATTGACACATCCTAGCACTTTCACAAATTTTAATTTTATTCTTAATACTTAGGGGGAAAAAATATTTTCGTGTGTAATGCTTCTGCAACATATAAGTCGTGATTTTATACAGAAAATTTGAGAAAATATCAACTTCAAATCTGTGCCTATGCACCTTTGATACTTGAAAGAATAGTAGATACAAAGTACATGCATTTTTTATTTTGTGGTTATGCGAAAAGCATGAAAATTGTTACAAGTTTAAAAGATACAATGAAATTATTAAAACTTTCCATCCTGCAAAAATGGATGAAAATTTATGTAATTTACATTGTCTTTCATAATTTGTTTTTTCTCACTTTGCTGGTTGCGTTATAGATATGTGAATGATTAAATACACATTAGGAAATATATCCCTTGTATTGATATTACATTAAGTTACTTGACGGTCAGTGAAATGTTAAGCACCCCAAAGTCTTGGTTAAAGAAGAGGTCAATAAATGGATTTAACTTGTTGGTCTAGTTTTCTTTAAAAATAATGAAATCGTATTAAGATATCAAACATCTAAAACACATATTAAAGAGATCTGACATACGTTTGAACAAAAACATGTCCATTAGTGCACAAACGTGTTTTTTATTGTCTTGTTATAATAAATACTGGAGTAAACAATTTCTTTTGAATGAATTTGGAAAAAACAATAATGGAATCTATAGTTGTGATATGACATATACTTAAACATGATCCCAGCCGATATTTAAAAACTTTAAGAGCCCCTTTTTCTATTTTTTCCTTATTATTATTTTTTTTTGGGGGGTTACATCATAAATTCAAATGGACAAATAGGATTAAATTTGACCTTAGAAGATTATATAAACCAGGTATACACTAAGTAGTTCGAGGGATAAATGTTCGGACTGTGCTGAATTTCTTTGTTGAGATTAACTGCTTACATAATAACGATTCTAAAATCTTTAAGATCATTGTAACCCTAATCTAACATCTATTTATGTGTGTGTACTTTTTAATTGGGTCACATTGGATTAAAAAAATGCCTTTTTTTCTTTAAAATAAAGATTAATTTTTTAACTTTAACATTTGATTAGTGTGCATCCATATGATTGGCGAGACAAGGTTTACTCAGTCGCCATGGTAATGTTTTGAATTTATTTATTCATTTATCTAATATTTAAAATATTTTTGATTATTTTGATTTTATTTTACACAGATATGAAATATTCTAAGTATTTTGATATCTGTTCAATTTTTGATTTTTTAATTTTTTTTAAAATTTTTATTCATTTTTTTTTTTTATTTTTATTTATTTTTTTTCATTTTTTTTTACAATTTATTCAATTCAAAAATTAAAAAAAATCAGAATTTTACTTTAGAATGTAAAATTTTGTAAAACAGAATCGTTTTAATTATGCCCATATCTAAAAATTTAAAATGGATACCAATAAAATATAAAAATATATTCAGAAAATTTCATAGATAGAATAATTTTGAAATAGATACGTTTACTTGGATCCAAAAAAGTTCTTTTTTTTTATTCTAAAACCTTGTTCTCCATCTAGTGAACAACAACAAAAATAAAAACGAAATAAACTAACTTACAGGCTATTTTAAAAATTGAAGCAAAATAATTTTGATATATTCGTACATATTTATTTTTCAATCAAAATTATATTATTTACATTGCGACCTTGTTGAACTAGCTTTTTCTTTTGAAATTAGTTTGTCTTGTAAACGCCAAAAATATAATGCTGATAATATACACAGTGAAGAATAAGAAATTTTTATTTCACAGATTGAGCAAAAGCTGTCATCGAACAACATTTTTGCACTCCTTTGCTTGCTTCTTTTTGCTGGTAAGTATACGTAAGTTTATTTCAAGTACAGGAGCAAAAATTTATACAGTGTGGAAGAAGCAAGAGCTCACGCTTGAGAAATTTGAGAAAATAGTTTGGAAAAAATACGCTCAAGAAAGTTTGTGAGAAACAAAAAAATTTGCAAAAAAAAAAAAAAAAAAGATTGTCAAACAATAATTTAAACGGGAATTTCATGATAAGCTAGTGTAGAAAGTATTTAATATTTAAAAAAAAAATAGTGATACGGGACAACCTCGGAAAGAATATTTCCGAACTTGCATACCCTTTCCCTTTAAAGCTATCTACAGATTTTTTTTGTTTTAAATGGTGGGGGATTTCCACCTAAATTTATATCTGAAATAAAAAAAAAAACTTTTTGTGCTAGTTTTTGAGGTATTCAATAAAAATAAAAGAAAATCCCATGGAGAATCATGTATATAAAATTACCCCATGAAAAATCCCACAGACACCCCAAGGGGTTTTAAATTTACCCCATGGGTAAAATATACCAATATAACTTTTAATGGGGTTTAACCTCATATATGACTAAAAATTTCCTGTGAGTTTTCCCCCCTACATTATTTTTTATTTATATATAATCCAACATCAAATTGATATTTAACGTTTTTCATTATTGTAGGTTGTACTTATGCTTACTGTCCAAGCGGATGGTCTAAGTATGGCAACAACTGTTACAAACTCTTCACGAGTAAAAAGGAGTGGTCAGTGGCTGGCAGAGATTGCCAACGTTACGGAGCAAATCTCGTCAGTGTCGAGACTTCCGGGGAAAACTATTTTGTAGAAGGTGAGCTTTTGAGCTTGAGTACTGCCCGTAATTTCCATATTTTATGTAAATGCTTTTAAACAAAAGGAAATTTTTCCGTTGATGTATTTTTCGTAGGACTAAATTGGCAATTCTAATATTTGCAACCTAAAAAAAATTCTCAAAACGAACAAAAGAAAATAATACTAAATTTGAAAGTATTTATTTTAAAAAACGTTTTAACATGTTTAATGTGAAATGAAAATTTCATTTCTGCATGAAAACTTAAAGTTTTTGTTAATTCTTTGTTCTCTCAAATAATACGGCTAATGTCCATGTAAACGTGCGTCCGTGTAAGCCAGTTTACAACTGAAAGTTTTTACACGGCCTTTATTATTTTTTTAAAGAAGTCAGTTATTTCGTATTTATACGTAGAATGATCTATCTTGGGCGAAAAGGGAGAAAAATCAGCTCAAAATTCATTTATTAATTTATCACATGCCTTCTATTGGAAATATGCTAATAATCTGATATTAATGTATTTTAAGGTCTCATTGGTCGATATACAGTCTGGACCAGCGGATCTGACCGGAACTACGAGGGAGCCTGGGCGTGGTACAGCGGATACGGAAAGTGGTCGTACACAAAGTGGCACAGAGGTTTGTAATTACGGAGCATGCGTGAACGTGCTCGTTTGTTTATGGGGTGAGAGTGCGCATGCGTTACGGAAGTTAAACAAGTACGCTTGTAAATCATTCATATCGGATTCGATATGTTTTTTAAAATTGCGGGAGGGTGTTCTAACTAATTGCGGTGCCCTTATTTGAAATAAAGAGAAGTTTATAATACAAGAAATATTTTAAGAATACCACTGCAATTGAAACTGAAGGCTTTCAAATAAAAACAAAGGTTCCTTAAGCTATATTTCTTCGTATTTCTGCTACTTGCAATTTTTTCTCTCTCTCGGTAGAATAGGGTGTCGTTTTTAATTAAATCATTTTACCAGATTTTAATAGAACATTTGCTAAGTCTGTTAATGTCAAACTTAAGAAGAAGGGATGCGTACACGAAAGTCCCATATTGACTGAAAAATTCTAAAAGAAAATTGATTATTTAAGGTGAACCTAATAACTGTTGTGGAGGCGAACACTGTTTGCAGATCTATGAGAATCGGAGGGGATGGAACGATTTACCATGTAACCGAGCCCTGGCCTATGTTTGTGAAATCCATTGTAAGTACAAGTATCTATGAATTTTTCTTTCTGCATATATGTACCTGTAACTGACATTTTTAATATTACTAGTGTTAAAAGTCAAAGCAATTAATGACAAACACGAGGGGAAACGCTCATAAAGAGAAACTGTCAGTTTATTTTACTAGTAATTCATAAAGTTTTTGAATTTATACCAATTACTTACCTGTTAGCTGCAGAAATGAAGCTCTCTTCTTAAGAAAAATCGGACAGATAAAGTTTCATCCGTCCGAATTTTCTCAACGCAGAGTGTTACAATTCTGCAGCTACTTACCTCTCTGTTTAGTCCATGGAGTTAACTATAAGGCATCGTCGCAAACCACGGTAAAACTTTACGATCCCCTTACATTCTGGAGGGAGCTATATGCGGACTACTAACAGTGGCTTGCGATGATGACTATCAGGCTGTTTATAAGGATCTCCTGTCTGGATTTGTAGATGGAACATCCAGCTGCAGCGGTTGGCATCAGAGGGGCAACAGGTGCTACAGGATGTTTGGAAAGACTAACTGGATAACTGCCCTGAGAACATGTCAGAACAACGGAGCTAATCTAGTCAGCATCGACGATAGCGGAGAACAGAGTTACATAGAAGGTTGGGCGGGAAGTTCTTATAATTTTACCATCTTTGGAGATAAAAGATACGTTTTATGAACATGTATATTACGCATGCGCATAAGAAATTTGACATTGGTTTCTTTTTTTTTTGTTATTTCATGGGTCTATTTTTAGGATTAATTGGAGGAAACAGTGTGTGGACCAGTGGTATTGACGGAAATAAGGAAGGATATTGGTTCTTTGCTAGCGGAACACGGTCCTGGTCCTATACCAAGTGGAACAGAGGTTTGTTTGATCCTAAAACTCAGAATCCCATGGGAGAATGGTGGGATTTTCAGTCTGACATCTGACATTTTTTCTCCCATAGGAGAATGTAGGGATAGTTGGTGGGACTGAAAATCCCACCATTCTCCCATGGGATTCTGAGTTTTAGGACTTCATATCTTTAGAAGTGGAGATGTTTGCGAGTTCAACATAAGATCCTGGAATACTGCGAAGAAATCCCACCAAGTGATGTTAAAATATTTTTGATATCATTATTAGAAATGGTAGTAAAAAGTCTGGACTATGTCGTGTCCAGAGTTAAATGTACTGTTCATAATCTTTCTTAATCTGTCCTGATGTAGAAAACAATTTGATATTCATTTCTTGGAAACCTTGATATATGTTTTGGCAATATAATAATCTTTTCCAAAAAATCTACCTGACATTGTGTATTTAATAATTGAGACATACATAATTTCAATTTAAACATAAATTTTGTTGTAAATTTGGAATTTTTTTTTAATTTGAAAATCATATACATATATGTAGATGCGATCCTTTCTCACGAAAAGAATTACATGTATCATTCACTAGAGAGTTTATGAACGTTAATTAATAGTGTTCTTTTATATAATAAATTAATTTGACAACAGGTGAACCAAATAATTCTGGAGGCGAACACTGTATCCACGTTCTGACCAATAGGAATGGTTGGAATGATCTTCCATGCACACACACCAGTATCTATACCATGTGTGAAAAACCAGGTAAGTGACCTCATGGTTTATACATGTAACATTGCTTGAGGAACTTTTTTTCCATCGATATTGGTAACCGTGAGAGATGATCAAGGCAAAACTACCTTAAGGAAGCTTGGGGTTAACAAATGAAGCATCAGATATATGTACAGTCTATTTCACTTTTTTAAAGGTATGATATAATTAATGTTGGCTGTCAACCATCATTTGGCATATTCTAATCTTATAATATCTTTATATGGAGCTCTTCTTCTAAAGGAGATCAAAATAGTCTGAAAATGGCCACAACCATCCAGTCCTCTTAATGACTGAATGCGTAATACTTTGCAAGCCTCTGTTGAATTATTACGTAATTTGTTCGTACAATTGTCTTTATATACAGCACCGAGAGTCAATGGAAACTGGGGTTCGTGGGGATCCTATGGGAGTTGCACCAGGTCTTGTGGGTCAGGTACCCAGACCCGCCGCAGGTCATGTAACAACCCCGCCCCATCTAATGGAGGGTCAACTTGTCCTGGGTCCTCCTCCAGTTCACGAAGTTGTAACACACATTCATGCGCAGGTAAGTTATGTAAAAAATGTTGTATTACAATGCAATATCCTCAAATAGGTACATAAACATGTTTTGTAGAAACAAAAATCCTTTTGAGAGGAATCTGTAGAATAGGACTATACTGAGGTTATAAGACGTTCCAAATATCCAAAACCATGCATCCATGTCGCAAATTAAATTGAATTCACGCTAAAATTTCTACTTATATGTATAAACTGCAAAGGGAATACGCTTCAAATTTATTTTAGAATCCATTTCCTATTTTTTTTTTACATTACACAATGCCATAAAAATTAGTCTTTCTTGTACATCCTTAATTCTTACAGTTCACGGTAATTGGGGCAGTTGGGGTGGATATGGGTCTTGTACCAAGTCTTGTGGAAGTGGCACCAAAACCAGAAGGAGGTCATGTAACAACCCCGCCCCCGCCCACGGAGGACGGAACTGTGGCGGATCGTCCACCCACACCGTGTCTTGTAATACTCACAGCTGTCCAGGTATGTAAAATATGGTTTATTATCCTTAAATTAATTCGACTTTGGTCTTCATAACGATTTTTAAATAGTATAAATTATTGAAGTTCGTGTGTGAGACATATGTAAGATTATTTAGACAAAATAATATCTTGTGCATCAAAATATTGCTATAATTACACACTTTATTAGTTATATTTGAATAATTGCATACACTGTAAATAATGATTTCAAATGCAGATATGTGTTGCGATATCCTACAATATGAAGTTAAAAAATAAAGACTAAAATTTCCTTGTTTCAGTCCACGGTAACTGGGGTAGTTGGGGAAGCTATGGATCTTGTACCAGGTCTTGTGCTGGCGGCACCAAAACCAGAAGGAGGTCATGTAACAACCCCGCCCCCGCTCATGGCGGAAATAATTGTGGCGGATCTTCCACCCACACCGTGTCTTGTAACACACATAATTGTCCAAGTAAGTTTTTGTTAAATCCTGAATATAACTGTATGAAATTGGAGATTTCTTGTGATACCTTGACCAGAAAGATAAATTTCTTGTGCACAAAGTTACAGATATGTAGCGTGCATAGGCGTCGGAACCGGGGGGGGGGGGGGGGGTGGAAAGATATACCTAATAGAATAGAATAGAATATTTATTCAACCAATTTGGGCCCACAGTGGAGCATACAGAACAGTGTCCAAAATCATCACAGTTATACATATACAAAACAGAACAAAACAAACATTGTATAATGAACAGAGAGTTAGCTATCTTCTTTTAGGATGTATAGAATGTACATTATAAGTTGCCTATGTATAATATCTGCAATATGCCTATATTGAACTATGTTGTTTTCTCTTATTAAAATTTGCATTTAAAAGTTGGCATAATAAAACAACAAACTCAGAATCTTCATTTGACATAATCCATGTAAACAGGTCAACATTGTTAATTAAGCCGTATTAAATTAGGAAAGGTTTTAAAGATTTTATCTAAAAACTCTCTTCTTGAATCATTATAAAGTGGACATTCTAGCAAAAAATGCAATTCATCCTCAGTTGGACTTGAGGTGGAGTAACGACAGACTCTCTCACACCTAGGAAGAATTTCATTTTTACCACATTTATTAAGTTTCCTTTCATATCTACCCGTTTCTACCCTTAAACAATGATTACTAATTCTGAATTTTGCTATAATTACACATTGTCTCGGTTTTTCATATTCAAGTATTTTTCAAAATAAAAAGACCTTTTATACTTAAAATATGTATTTAATTTACCAAAGCCTTCCAAATAATTGGTACGAATATCGTTCCAAGTGTTTAAAAAACTATTATTGAGTTGTCTTTTCATGTACAACTTAAATTTGTTTTCACTTCGTTTTTTACAAAGGGACAAATTAATATTAAGTTTTTCACTGTAGAATAATATACTGGAGTACCAATCACTGTTGATGGTGTTTGATTTGCACTCATTGAGAGCTGCTTTCAGTAGGTTACATGACATGTTCTAGTCTATACCAGTACATGAATATTTGCTTTAACATGTCTATATATAATGGGTACCTCCCTAGTTCAGAATAGATTCCTACATTTGTACAAGATTTAGATACACCCATAATGTATTTACAGAATTTCATATTGAGTTTTTCAACTTCTAAATCTTTAAATATATCAAAAAGCGGGATATTTTTCCTTTTTGGAGTAATATATGTAATAAAAATTGGGGTTTATCTTTTTTTGTAGGTTTACCCCCCCCGCAACTTTCAATTACCACCCCCCCACTTTCAAATTGCTGCCGACGCCTAGTGGCGTGCATACATGTATATGCTGGTCTGAAAAATATCAGAGAGCTACAATACCACTTATCGAAAAAAGTGTAAAAAATCATTGGGTGCTAAAATGAAATCAGATAAGATCAAACTAATTAGAATTGGATCTTTGATCCGCTCCTGTTATATGGCTACGTTACACAAAGCGATCTAACAGGGGCGGATTAAAGATCTAATTAAATTGGGATAAGATTTCCCAAGCATGAATGGAACTACAGACGGTGCAGCAGCTGGATTTTTTTAAGTAGAATTCT